CCCCCGTGGTGTACGGCCTGAACCTGCCTCGCTAGTGACCGTCTTCGTCTTGGCCCTCTTGGGGGAGGGGGCGTTGGGGTGGGGGGTGGGGGACTGAGGGTCCCTTTTTATTTAAGCCGAATCTGCGTCGTAAATGTCAGTTTTTTTTTATATATATATATTTACATAGAATGGTACAAGTTCCTTCAATAAAGTTCATTCACGTTACTCTCTGTGTTGATCGTGAGGAGTCTGTTGCGGTCGGGACTTCCGCCTCTCTGCCCCCCCCCCCACACCCCCCCCACCCCTCCTGCCCTTTGGAACTCCATCCCACATTCCCCTCGCGCCGCCCCCTCCCCACTCCCTCGCCTCCTTCAAGGACCGTCTCGAGACCTTCCTCTTCGATTGCGCCCCCGGTCACCCTCTACCCCAACCCTCCACGGACCCCCTCCTGATCCTGATCTCTCTTCTCCCCCTCTCCCCCCCCCCCCCCCACACACAGCTCAGGTCCAAATCCCTGACTGCGCAGCGCCTTGGGACGTCCTCCCGACGTGAAAGGCGCCGTTTAAATGCCGTTACGGTGCTGGCGTGAGGGAGAGCGCGTGGACACTGACCATTGGACCCAACCAGTGTCGGACCTTTTACCAACTGAGTCATAGGTGTTCACTGACCTCTGTGATTTACGGGGGGGGACACACACACACACATAGCCTCAAGCTGTGTGTGTCAGGAGAGTAGATATGTGTGTGTGTATGGGTTGGTGGGGGGGGCACTGTGTTTGTGGATCTGTGTCTGTGAGGGGGGGGTGGGGGCTGTGTGTGTTGGGGGGTGTGGGGTGTGTGTGTGTTGGGGTGGGGGCTGTGTGTGAGGGGTGGGGCTGTGTGTGTTGGGGGTGGGGTGTGTGTTGTGGGGGTGGGGCTGTGTGTGTGTGAGAGGGGGTGGGGGCTGTGTGTGTGTGAGGGGTGGGGGCTGTGTGTGTGTGGGGGGTGGGGGCTGTGTGTGTGTGGGGGTGGGGGCTATGTGTGTGTTGGGGGTGGGGGCTATGTGTGTGAGGGGGTGGGGGCTGTGTGTGTGTGGGGGTGGGGGCTGTGTGTGTGGGGGTGGGGCTGTGTGGGGGGTGGGGTGTGTGTGGGGGGTGGGGGCTGTGTGTGTGTTGGGGGGTGGGAGTGGGGGAGGAGAGGGTATGTGTGAGGTTTTTTTTCCTTCCCCCCCCCCCCCCACCCTCTGGACAGACGATGACGCGCTTCCCACCAGCCGCCGCCAGGGGGGGGTGTGCGGGGCGACCCGGTTGTGTTATGTTGCGTGGCGTTGTGTTGTGCTGCGTTGCGCCGCGAGGGCGGAACCTTTGTGCGGAGGGTTGTGGTGGTGGGGGGACGGGGCGGAGCGCTGCACCGGGCGCTGTGTGTGTGTGAGGGGGAAAGATGGCGCAGACGGTGAATGTGGCGGAGCTGCCGCTGCAGCAGTTGGAGGCGCTGAGGAGCCAATTAGAGCAGGTGAGGCCGAGGCCTGGGGTGGGGGGGTGGGGGGGGGGTCTTCAGCCCGTCTGAGGGGTGGGGGGGGGGCGTAGGTTAGGGGTACACAAGCTCCCCCACCCTCCACAACCACCATCCCCCCCCCCCCCACCCCCCCCACCCCCATCCCCCCCCCCATCCCCACCAGGGTGACAGTACTCTGTAAGACAAATCCTGGGGACACACAGAGTGACACACACAGAGACACAGAGAGTGACACACACAGTCACAGTCACAGATACACACAGAGTGACACACACAGAGAGTGACACACACAGTCACAGTCACAGATACACACAGAGTGACACACACAGAGAGTGACACACACAGTCACAGTCGACAGATACACACAGAGTGACACACACAGAGAGTGACACACACAGTCACAGTCACAGATACACACAGAGTGACACACACAGAGAGTGACACACACAGTCACAGACACACACACACACAGAGTGACACACACAGAGACGCAGAGAGTGACACACACAGTCACAGACACACACACACACAGAGTGACACACACAGAGACGCAGAGAGTGACACACACAGTCACAGACACACACACACACACGGAGTGACACACACAGAGACGCAGAGAGTGACACACACAGTCACAGACACACACACACACGGAGTGACACACACAGAGACACATACAGTCACACACACAGAGTCGCAGACACAGAGACACAGAGAGTGACACACACAGTCACAGACATACACACAACACACACAGAGGCACATACAGTCACACACACAGTCACGGACACACATACAGACACACAGTCACAGACACAGTCACAGACAGTGACAGACACAGTCACAGACACACAGACAGTGACAGACAGACACACACACATATAAAACAAATAATAATAATAATATATATATAACAAACATTGAACTCACCACAATCCCTGAAGCCGACCGACCGTCACTGGAGAAATCTGTTGGATTCGTGGCTGTGTTTCTCCGATGACTGAGAACCGGTTTAGGATTGTACTGTGCAGTGGCTCCGCGTCTGATCGGGCAGCGGGTGTCACCGCGTTGCCTCTCGTTTCCAGGAGACCGAATTCCTCACGTCCTCGATCCAGCAGCTGAAGATGGTGCAGACCAAGTACGTGGAGTCCAAGGAGAGTCTGATCAAGCTGAATAAGGACAACGCAGGTCAGCGTTTCAGGGTGCAGCGGGTGCACGTTCCGGGGTTCACTGGGGGAGATGTTTTCACGTGATGAGACACGGGCTATAGTGCAAGGGTTGTATTTTAACGAACACGACGAGGCCGATAATCTCTCTCTCTCTCTCTCTCTGATTCAGGCAAGGATGTGCTTGTTCCACTGACCAGTTCTGTATCCTTGTCTTGACGTCTCGTGGTCTCCATCAGGACAGTGTGTCACCGACAGCAGCGTTGATCACAAGATTTTGCGGGCAGTGTGTGTGTGTGGTGGTGGTGGTGGGAGAGAGAGGGATGAATTCGTCCCTTCTCTGCTAAAGGCATTGCCTTGTGTTTGGGATGCATTGCCGGCCCCTCAGAGATAACGGTGGCCGCTTACTCACTCACTGTGCAGTTCCCACAATTAAGGAACCTCTGTCTTTGGTGGAAAGTAAGTCTGTTTCCGGTTAAACGCCACCTCCTGCTGCCACCTCCTGCTGACTGAATATGGCACTGTGATACCTGTCTGGCCTTGGGTTTGGTTGCAAGCTGAGGGCCAGCTACATACGAGGGTAGGTACCACCAACCACAGCTCTTGCCCAACCTGGGCCTAATGCTCTCCAGAATTAGGTAAGCAGGAGGCGTCCATCCAGGGAGAGCGCGTTCCATCAATCTATCCCTGGGATTGCCACGTGTAGGCGGGAGGCCTGGAATTCTGTTGGTTTCGAGGCTCTAAAGCAACGGTGACGGGTTTCTGCGCGTGTCAGACACCCGGTTGACACCCCCCCCCCAACAATACATGGGGATTCCCAACTCGTTTCTGCTCCTTAACTGGGGATTTTCCCAGATGTACGTCCCAGGAAAGCTGAACGACGTGGAGCACGTGCTGATTGACGTGGGGACAGGCTATTACGTGGAGAAGGTGAGATTCCTGACGCTGACGATGATTCTCTACGTAGAGGGAGGAGGTACCTGTATTGTCCCTTCGTGGAGAGTGGGTGAGACGCAGAGTTTTTCCGTGAGATTCAGGCGAGATGTTATTTGGATTTGAGGTACAGATCAGCCAATATCTAATTGAATGGCGGAACGGGCTCGGGGGCCTGAATGGCCTACTCCTGTTCCCTGTCTATGCCCTGTCGTTAAAGATCCCTAATAAAAAAAATTATTAAAGTGATAAGGCGCTATATCAAATGCAACGATTATTATTATTATTATTATCCCCCGGCGCTATCAGGAAAAGAGAAGGGAATTGCTCTCTCCCGGTTTCCTGGCCGACAATCCCCCCCCCCCTTCCCCACCCCCCCAAATAGAATTGGTCACTCACTTCATGGTTGTTTATGGGACACTGCCTGGTGCAAAACACGGCAGCCACAATTGCCTATAAAACAGTCACGACACCTCAAGGCAATTCGCTGGGAAGCGCTGTGAGATTACATGGGCTGACCGTGATTGCGGTGTTATTTTCTGCGCGTGGTCGAGCTCGACGGTGACCTTGCGGTTTCTCGCAGACGGTGGAGGAGGCCAGGGAGTTTTTCAAACGGAAAGTGGACTTTGTGACCAAACAGATTGAGAAGATCCAGCCGGCTCTGCAGGAGAAATTCACCATGAAACAAGGTGAGGGTTCGGGGCAAAGCCTGGGGACGGGAAGAGTGGCATCCGGGACAAGGCAGAGTTACTGGAGCGTGGCTGTGACAGAAGGCTGGAGCCAGGGAGAGAGAGCGTGACTAACACTTTTTCTTTCTCTCCCTCTCTCCCAACAGCTGTGACGGAAATGGTTCACCAGAAGATTCAGCAGATAGCAGCACAGAACGCCTCTCAGTCCGGCATCACCAAAGCGTAGTGACTGTGTGTGGCGGGCGGGCGGGCGGGCGGTTTGTTGCCATGTGAACCGGGTTTCTTTTTATTTATGCCGAATGTGCAACTGTTTCATTTATTGCCTTTGGGGCTTTTTTTTTTTAACTTGCCCAGCGGAGATTGATTATTAATAAAGACGTCATTGCACACAGGACCCGCTTGAAGCCGTCGTCGTCTTGCTCCTCGTCCCAGGAGAGGGCAGCTGGCCAGTGAGGGCTTTAATGCCCACCCTGGGCTGCGCTGCGCTGCGCTGCACACGCTTCATTGCTTTCCTGACGCCGCTTGCTTCCTTTTACTGGGTTATTGGGACACGGATGGATGGATGGATGGATGGCACTTTACTCACTCTCGTGATACATTGCCCAAGTCACTGTTTATTCCCACGTGAGGCTCGACAGCAGCTCTTGGTAATTTATTCAACAGGACAGGATGGGATTGGATGCATACGGGGAAATCCTTACTCGAAATTCGCGGCTTCCAGTGAGCTCTCTGGACAGCGATCAGAAGCAGGAATTCTGGCTGATTTTCCCACCTCCTTAACTCCGGGCCACTCAGGCAAATTGGAGCCCCCCCCCCTCCGCCGACCCCCGCCCACCCCAGGCTTGAACCCAGAACATGAGCCAATGACATATTGGGAGATTTTTTTTTCAACTGAAAATGTTAATTTGAGTGGAGGAGGAATATGTTTCGCCCACAAAATAGTCATAGAATCCTACAGCACAGGAGGAGGTCTTTCGGCCCATCGTGTTTGAAAAGAGCTTCCAAATCAACCCCACTCCCCCGCTCTCTCCCCATAGCCCTGATCAACCCCACTCCCCCACTCTCTCCCCATAGCCCCGATCAACCCCACTCCCTGCTCTCCCCATAGCCCTGATCAACCCCACTCCCCGCTCTCTCCCCATAGCCCTGATCAACCCCCACTCCCCCGCTCTCTCCCCATAGCCCTGATCAACCCCACTCCCCCGCTCTCCCCCATAGCCCTATCAACCCCACTCCCCGCTCTCCCCCATAGCCCTGATCAACCCCACTCCCCCGCTCTCTCCCCATAGCCCTATCAACCCCACTCCCCGCTCTCTCCCCATAGCCCTATCAACCCCACTCCCCCGCTCTCTCCCCCCATAGCCCTGCAAACTCGTCCTCCCCAATTCACTCCCCAAACCCCAAGACAATCCATTTTTACAGCGGATCCCGTGAAGCGCTTTGTGAGCCGTCTGGAAACCGCGATGAGAGGCGCTGTGTCCCGTCAAACGCGAAGACGATTTGATTATTATTATTATTATTATTAAGACGAGCGGAAGAAGAAATTTTTGCAAACACAGAGCAAATTCCCTGATGGTCATCCAGGAGCCCCCACCCCCCACACACACTGCCCCCCCCACCCCCACACACTGCCCCTCCCACCCCCACACACTGCGCCCCACACCACACACACACTAACCCCCCCACCCCACCCACACTGCCCCCCCCACCCCCACACACACTGCCCCCCCCACACACACACTGCCCCCCCCCCCACACACACTGCCCCCACCCCCACACACACTGACCCCCCCACCCCCCACACACTGCCCCCCTCACACACACACACACTGACCCCCCCACCCCCCACACACTGCCCCCTCCCGCAACCAACGAATGAATGAATGAACGGAGCACGTGGCTCGGGATACTGGCGTCTTTCCTTTCTGCCAGCATCAAAGATGGCGCCGGCCGACCGGAAGCGGTCCGTCGACGCACAGCGTCCCCCACAGTCCCCCCCCCCGCCCGGGGCGGAGGTTCCGGATGCTGTGGCTGCGGCTCTGTCCGCGCCGCTGCCTCACCCGCATGTCCGGGGCGCAGAAGCGGCTCCGCGCGATGGTTCGCATCGGGACCCACGACGGCTCCTTCCACTGCGACGAGGCTCTGGCCTGCTTCCTGCTGCGGCAGCTGCCGGAGTATCGGGTACAGGGGGGGCGCGGGGGGGGGGGGGGGGAGGGGGGCCGCGGGGGGGGGAGGGGGGGCCGCGGGGGGGAGGGGGGTTTGTCACAACTGACCACAACTGGTCATTGTCTTGACATCGACCACAAATGGGTTTTGTCTTAAATGCCCCTCTCTCCCTCCACACCTCCTCCTTCCCCTCCTCCCTCCTTCCCCCTCTCCCTCTCCTCCTCCCCTCCTCCCTACCTCTTCCCCCCCCACTCCCTCCTTTCCTCCCCTCTCCTCCTTCCCCTCCTCCCTCCTTCCCCCTCTCCCTCTTCTCCTCCCCTCCTCCCTACCTCTCCCCTCCTCCTCCTTCCCCTTCTCCCCTCCTCCCTACCTCTTCCCCCACCCCCCCCACTCCCTCCTTTCCTCCCCTCCCCTCTCCCTCTCCTCCTCCCTCCTTCCCCTTCCCCCTCTCCTCCTTCCCCTCCTCCCTCCCTCCCCCCCTCCCTCTCCTCCTTCCCCTCCCTTCCCCCTCTCCCCCTCCTCTCTCTCTCCTCCCCCCTCCTTTTCCCCCTTCCTCCCTCCCTCTCTCCCCCCCCACCCCCCACAGCTTAAACCGGTTACAGATCAGATAATAATAATGATAATAATCCTCGCATTTGATATAGCGCTTTTCACGTCTTCTCGACGTCTCCAAAGCGCTTCACAGAATAGACTGTAAAGTCAATCAGAAGCTGGTTGTCTCGTCTCAAGACCCCCACCGCTTTGACCGCACTTTCATCCAACAACTTGCATTCACAGCCTCCCCCCCCCCCCCACCCCACCCCTCCCCGCGGGGTAGCGTAGCGCCTCTGAGCACTTGACAGTGGCGGAGCACAATGCCAAACCGGGTGTGTGGGGGGGGGGGGGGGGGAGGTGACCGTTGGCACTGGTTGAAGAGGAAGGTCTTCAGGCGTGACCTGAAGAGGGGGAAGGAGGGGACGCGGTGGAGGGGTAGAGGAAGCGCTTTGCGACGTCCTCCCGACGTGAAAGGCCGCTGTCTGTCGTTGGGGAGGGGAGGTGGCGGCTGCCCGTCGCCCCCGGCCCGGCCCGTAACTCTCGCTGTGTTTCCAGGAGGCGGAGATTGTTCGGAGCCGGAATGCCAAGCTGCTCGCGGAATGTGACGTGGTGGTGGACGTGGGCGGCGAGTATGTGCCTGAGAGACACCGATACGATCACCATCAGAGGTAAGTAAGCTGCTGAGGGCTCTAAACTCACTCTCCGACTCACTCACTCACTCACTCACTCACTCACTCACTCACTCACTCACTCACTGATTGATGCACTCCCTTCCTCCCTCCCTCACTCACTCACTGACACTCTCACTCACTTACTGATTGATGCACTCCCTCCCTCTCTCTCTCTCTCTCTCACTCACTCACCCAAGCCCAAATCCCTGACTGGCCCATTGCCTTGGAACGCCCTTCCGACTTGAAAGGTGCTGCACAACTGTAATTTGTTGTCGATTGGCTTTCTCACTGTTACACACTTACCTGATCATCCATCCTCACTCACTCACACACACACGCACATTCACTCACTCACTCAACAACAACGCTCACACTCGTACGCTCCCATTACTGTGAGATCCGAGTTGCGGAAACTCGGGATAGCGTGTGCGCGGTGAGTTTTACTGTCGCGTACTCACTCGCTCAATCCTTTCCCAGGACCTTCTCGGAGAGTATGTACAGCCTCCAGCCGGAGAATCCCTGGGTCACTAAACTGAGCAGTGCCGGGCTGGTCTTCTTTCACTTCGGGAAGAGAATCCTGTCTACGCTGCTGGGGAAGGAGGAGGGAGACCCACAGCTGCCAGCCCTGTACAATAAGGTGCGTTGAGTGTTCCCAGTCAGCGACGGTAACTTGAGTTTTCTGCTAGTATTTTTGCTGGGATGTGCCTCTGAGTTTCCTTCCCTCGCTGGCAGATGTACGAAAACTTCATCGAGGAAATTGACGCCATAGACAACGGGATTTCGCAGCACGACGGAGAGTCGCGATATGCTTTGACCACGAACCTGAGTTCCCGTGTCGGCTACCTCAACCCGCCCTGGAACGAGGAGGAACAGGACACGGAGGTGAGTGACTGTCCTGAAGCTGCTGGTATTCCCTGTGAGTCGCGGGGGGATTGGGATTCGAACCTGCACACGTTGGCACCTTAACCTACTCAACCACCGGGTAGAGCCAGCACCAAAGATATGTGCACCCACACAGCTTGGGAATAATGATCGTTTTCTGGGGCTAATCATCTGTCAAGAAGAAAAAAAAATTGTCATTCAATTCACGACTGTTTGTGGGACACTGCTGTGCGCAGTCAGCTGCCGGGTTTCGTTCCACAAAATGCGGTCAATCCGCCTCCCCAAATGTTCGGAAAAACTCTTTGAGACGTCTCAACGACGTGATATAACGCAGTATCAAACGTGAGGATTATTATAATATCCGGTACGGCATATGCGCACTCTCTTGCTTAACACACAAACGTACTTGCTCATATAGACACTATACTCGCCCTATCCCTATCCCATTGCTGTTGCGCTGAACCCATCACAGGAATTCCGGGGAATCTCCAGAACGGAGATAAACCTGTTTTGTTTATTATGTCCGGCTGAAAGTGCCTCACAGTACTCACTCCCTTCCCTATCCCAGGCAGGTTTCCGTAAGGCCATGGAGTTGGTGGGGACAGAGTTTCTGGACAGGCTGCAGTTTTTCCACAAGTCCTGGCTCCCGGCTCGAACTCTGGTAGAGGAAGCCATCAGGAAGCGATATGAGGTAAGAGCATGGCTGCCAGCATCCGTCCGCTTCACCCTGACTCCCTGGGATCCGCTTTTCCCGGGCCCTGGCACGTCTTTCCGACGTGAAGGATGCAACAGTTGGGTAAATCGTTGTTGATGCGTGTGGACGGGATTAAAGCACATGTGATGTGTGCAGAATAATGGGATATCGTCACTGGGATGATATCTAGATCCAAAACACTGCATTATACCAGGGTCAACCTGTTCCAGAGTTGGAGAAATCCTTTGTCCAGGAGTAATCCCGTAGCACTGCGGATCCCGTAGTGGTTAGTGTGCTCGCCTCGCAGGCGAGAGGACCCGGGTTTGATTCCCAGCCGGGCAGGGTAAAACCTAGGCAAGTTTCCTTACTCCACACACACGCCTCTGTTTACCCAACAGCAAGTGGGAACCCGGTTGTTAGTCGAGTGGTGGCTCGCTTTCCGGGGGAAACAATCCCTCCACAAAACAAATGTGGTCATTCGATCCACGACTATTTGTGGGGACGCTGCTGTGCGCAATTAGCTGTCGCGTTTCACCCACAAAATACAGTCACTACATTTTACAATATATTCAGTGAAGCGTTTTGAGACGTCTCAATGACGTGATAAGGCGCTGTATCAAATGCAGGGATTATTATTATAATAATAATGCAGTGCTGTCTGTCTGTCTGTCCCCAGGAGGATCCCAGTGGTGAGATACTGGTGATGGCGAGGGGAGGCTGCCCTTGGAAAGAGCATCTCTTTAACCTGGAGAAGGAGCTGAAGGTCGAGAAACCCATAAAGTTTGTGCTTTACGTAGACCAAAGTGGGCAGTGGCGGGTCCAGTGCGTGCCCAAGGGACTGCACACTTTCCAGAACAGGTGGGAGAGCGCGCGGCGTGTGGATGCGTGTTGAGCAACTAGAAAACTAATTCCCCGTCAAACCCTGACCCCCGTCACAGTCCTGCAAACAACAACAGCAACTACTTGCACTTCTCCTGCGCCCTCCGTGCAGGGTAGTGTCTTAAGAGTGCTCAGGACACAACGGGCTGTCAAGCCACCCCCATCCAGTCTTCCTCCACGTGAGATACCTAACCTAACCCTCTCCTTCGCGCTCTCTCCCCTGACACCCTTTAATATTCCTCCGTTTCAAACATCTCTCCAATTCTCTTATTAAAAGAGTTGCCTCAATGACTGTTTGCGGCAGAGAATTACGCACTCCCACCTCCCTCCATGCGAAGAGATTTTTTTTCTCTCCCAACGTCCCCTTTTATTGTTATTTCTAGAGCGTAAAACGGTTCATCAAAGGCCTTCGAGGTGTAATAAATCCTGTGAAGCGCTTTGAGACGTCTCAGCGACGTGATAAGGCGCTATATCAGACACCAGGATCGGGCGGGGGGGGGTGGGAAAGCTGATGAGCGAGAAAAATTGGCAAAAAAGTAAACAGTGATTGAGAATGGTTAGCGCTGGTGTGAGCTTGTGCATGATTGCTGGTGTCTGTCAGGCTGTCGTTGCCAGAGGAGTGGAGAGGCGTTCGGGACGAGGCGCTGTCTGCTCTGAGCGGGATCCCGGACTGCGTGTTCGTCCACAGCGCGGGATTCATCGGAGGGAACAAGTCGAAGGCGGGAGCGCTGGAGATGGCGAGGAGGAGCCTCCGGGACCAGTCCGGTGACGGCGACACCGCTGTCTGACCGTCACCGCGGCTGCGTTTCAACTTCCAACACGATTTAAATTAAAAAAATATTTTTTTTTTGCATCAATCTCATCGCCGCTGTGTTCATTCCTACCTCAGTAACTGCATCTTAACGAACAAATGAACGGATGGAATTGGTAACTGGAATGTATGACCTACACATTCCCAGTAACTACAGTAATAATAATTTTGCATTTGATCCAGAGACCTACTGATTCCATGTGCTTCACAGATCGAACAGTGAGTGCGATGTAAAAATAATCGCGCTCTGCGACACTACACTGCGTGAGAGGCGCTATGTAAATGCAAGTTGTTATAATAAAGGCACAGATACTACACTCGACAGTAAATTTTTGAAGTGCTTTGAGACGTCCTTCCGCTGTGAAAGGAGACTTCCTAAGCGGAAGGATTGTTAACTTTATTTTGTGTGGACACAGCGCCGTTTGCATAACCGCGAACATTTCAAAGCGCTTCCCACAACACGACTAGTTGGAAATGAAGTGACGGGTGTCATATCAGCAAACATTGCCGGTAATCTGAGCCACACAACAACCCAAAGGCTGCACTGCACGCATTCCTCGTTAGTACTACCATGGTAATCCTTGTGTTTGAGCTGACGCCTCATCACATCTTCAAGACTTCTCACCAGCGCATCACAGAATATACTGTAAAGTGAATTGACCGTATATTTTGTGGTGGGGGGGGGGGGGGGAAACGCAGCAGCCACAGCAGTGACCCACAAAGTCGTGGATTGAGCGACCAGATTATTCCCCACAAAAAGACGATCGACTGACAACTGCCAATCCTACGTACTACTGGGTAAACAGAGGCGTGAGGAGTAAGGAAACTTGCCTAACATCTCACCCTGCCGGGAATCAAACCCAGCGCCTCTCACTTGCGAGCGCTCTAACCACTAACGCGACGGGACTCCCAACAACTAGTTAAAACACCGCAGCTTGTTTGCTCCGAGGATCCGTGGACAGCGATGCCTCATCTTGACGCCGACTGTCTTGCACGCTCTCGTCTTCGGCCCGAGCGGCAATGTTTTATTGATGGGCTGTGCGCTCAGCCGGGCTGAGCTCGCCCCCGGTGAGATGGCGACATTACACTTGGCGAGGGAGGGCGGTGGGGGGAGGAAAAAGGCCTCTGTAACTGCTCACGCTTTCCCTATCTACGTATCTGCCTGAACAGCGATCAAGAGACTGAAATAAGTCTTTCCCCCTGGGAGAGACTCGCTGTTTCCTTTCTGACGTCATCCACCTACTGTGTAAGGAATACTGGTGTTAACTCTTATCGGGAAGATGACAAGGAGCTTCTCTATGCAAGACAGTCACTTCAATGGGCCTGTCGCCTCCCTCATTGTAAATCAGCTGAACAACAGATTCATATGGTGTTTTTTAACCTGAGCAAGGTCTCTCTCTCTCTCTCTCTCCCTCTCTCCGAGGCAGCTTTATTTAATTAACTCGCGCCGTCTTGCTGAGATTAACCACAAACGGATTCCAAGTCTCGCATCAACAGCCGTGGAAGGACCAGGAGGAAGGTATTGATTTATATTCTATCTACTCTCTCGCTGCCCTCCAGCACATTTACTTTGTAGTTCTCCAGACGAGAATGGGTGGTGGGGGGAGGGGGGAAAGATGAGAATGGGGGAGGGGGGAGATGCAGACCCTTTGGGAATCTGACAGTGCCAATGTCTCATCAGCTACGCTGCACATCCTCCGAATGAAGGAAAGAACATTTTTTTTTAATCAGAGCTATTCATGTCAGACTGTCGCCAATCGACTCGGTGATTACTGTTGAGAGCAGCACAGGTATACCAGGGGGCAGGAAGGTCAGTAACTTACTGTACAAATCAGCACTAACTCACTGAATGACACTTAACTCACCAGACGACACTAACACACCAGATTACACGCTAACTCACTAAGTGACGCTGTGGCTCACTAGACACATCACTGCTGTAACTTATCCCCAAAGGCCAATCAGCTAACGCTTAAATGTCTGGGAAGAATGGACATTTGAAGGTTTTCCTCTTCGATCGTGCCTTTAGTCACCCCCCCGTCTCCAGCTCAGCGTCAAACCACACCGCTGTTAAGTGCTCTGAGACACTGCTCACGTGAAGGGCGTCATATAAGTGCAAATTGTTGTTGCTTTTCAGTTAATAATAATAATCCTTGCATTTGATGTAGCGCTTGCCTTTTCACGTCTCGGGACGTCTCAAAAGCGCTTCGCAGAATAGGCTGTAAAGTGAACTGACTGTATATTTGTGGGCAAAACTTGGGCACAGCCGTGAACCGCAAACAGTCGTGTGTTGAAAATGACCAATTCACTGTTATTTTTTGTTTCGGAGGGATTATTATCAGGCGTGTGGAGTAAGGAAACTTAACCCAAGGTTTCGCCCTCTGCCTGGAATCGAACCCAGGTGACCCGCTTGCAAGGCGAGCGCTCTAACCACTGAGCTGCAGGACTCCGCGGGATGCCAAGTTGCTCCCCGTTGAGCCACACCTCGGTGATGAGTGGAGGGAAGGAATGGGAGCACGAGTGCTTTATGCTACGGCTGTCTCTGTGCCCAACTGATCAATTTCAGATCCTCCCACTCACCTTCGAACCCCTTCATGCCCTGGCACCTTGCTTCCCCTCCGACCTGCTTATCCCCCAACCCACTACCTCCGCTCGACCGGATCCTCCCTCCTACTTGCCCTCGTTTCCACTATCGGTGGCCGCACTTTCAGCCACTATGCCCTGAAGTTCTGGAACCCTCTCCCTCTATCTCTCTGCCTTACCCCCTCCTTCCCCGTCTTCAGGTCATGCCTGAAGACCTTCCTCTTCGACCGAGCGCTCTGGGACGCTACCCTGCGTGAAGGGCGCTTTGTAAACACAAGTTGTTGTTGTTGGTTTGTTTCAAGCAACCCACCTCAGGAATTGGCTCCAGACCAAGTTTGCCAGATGAGCCCATGAGCGGCGGTGAGGGCGGGAGATGCCACAGGCGATGTCCTGGGAGAGGTCTCTGACCGCGACCCTGGTCTTCTGGCTGCTCGGTGTTGGGGGGACACTGGCCTGTCCGGATGGGTGCAGCTGTTCCGGAGAGAACGGGGAGCGTATCGTGCACTGCAGCCACCGGAACCTGAAGGAGATCCCGAAGGATATCCCTTGGGATACGTTCGTCCTGGACCTGGACTCCAACCAGATCACCGAGGTGCCGGACGGGGCTTTTAAGAACCTGCACCGGCTAGTGGAGCTTTACCTGTCCAACAACCAGATAGAGAGGGTCTCGGCCACTGCATTCCGGGATGTGGCGGGGGGCCTGAAGCTCCTCGACCTTTCCAACAACAACATCAGGAGGCTGAGGCCGGAGGCGTTCAGCAGCATGAGAGCCAAGACCAGGCTGTACAGCAACCCCTGGCACTGCACCTGCGACTTGCAGGAGCTCATCAGTGTCCTCAACCCGGACCTGGAGACGGTGAACGACATCATCTGCTCCACGGCCATCGAGGAAGAGTACGCAGGGAGGTCCTTCATCCAACTGCTAAACGCGGGGATCAATTTCTGCAACGTGCAGCAGAAAACCATGGACGTGGCTATGCTGGTCACCATGTTCTGCTGGTTCTCTCTGGTCATTTCCTACGTGGTTTACTACGTGCGACAGAACCAGGAAGACGCCAGGCGCCACCTGGAGTACCTCAAGTCGCTGCCCAATCACCACATGATGCAGGGCGAGGCAGATACAGTCAGCACCATCCTGTGAGGTTTCGTGACCTCCAGCTTTTTTGTGAGCAACAAAGCAAATTCGATGTCCAAAGTGCCTGCGTAAAGTGCCTGATTTTGCCCTCGAAAGGGAGGCAGAATACCTTCAATCAGGCCCCCGTCCCAATGTGCAGCCATAGGAGAAACTGGGCCCTAGAATGCAAGCAAGGGGAGCAAGCTTCCACCCTCCCCCTCTAGTCCACCAGCATCAGTCAGGTTCTAACTGATACAACTTGCACTTAATATAGCGTCCCAGAGCACTTCAATAACAACAACTAGCATAAGCACACACCTTCCAAAGTATTGGAGATTATTATTGCACAAGTCCAGTGGAGGCTGAACGGCCTTTCAAGGTTCTGGCAACATGTAGCCGAGCTACGTTGGTAAGCCAGTCGGGGCTTAGCACTCATCAATAGCACCTTGGACATATTGCAGAGCTGCCTGGGTGTGTCTCCTCAAAGGCAGGTTAACCCCAGGGAAGCGCCCACTGGCAATCAGAGGAGGGGTTCATCCGGGATGGTGGGGTAGAAAGAGGTCAGCGCAGCCCAATCCCTGACCTGACCACACGCGCTTTCCGTCGAGGCAAGGTGTGATTCTACCCAATACAGACGAGCAGGGTAAACCAGGCTCATTTTCCTCTTTCCTAATCCACGGGATGCCGAGGGGATTGCAACTCCCTGCAGCGATCAGTAACTCAAGTGTGTGCATGTACTTGTGTGCGCGTGCACGAGGGAATGCGCGGGCATGTGTTTCACACTAATTCTGCTGCCGCAAATCCAGTGTCTAATTTTTGCACATCATTTCCCCCTTCTCTCCCCTCCCAAATGAATAAAAAAAATGAAGGATTGTTGAGGGTTGCTTTCTCTGACTTTCAAAGAATTTGCAGCAACCGCAGTTTCTGTGCCCCCGGCGAGGTATCCGACCATTCTCCCTGTGCCATCCCGCTCGTGGATGCGAGTGAACCGCACCAGTCTCGGTTTCCGCACCGCGCATTGTGACCAGCGCCTCACGCAGCGAGCTGCTTTGAAACACACTGGCTTTTATTTCAGGGAAACACGGGGTGTGCACTGCGTTTAGCCGAGGCAACGGACTGGATGAGACGTTAAATTCAGGCCCCATCTGCCTGCTGAGACCGACTTTAAAGATCCCATGACATCATTGGCACAGGGAATGGGGTTGTTCCCCAGTATCTTGGCTACCGCTGCCCCAGCTAACGAGGCCATTTGCGTGACCTTAAAGTTACTACACTTAACAGCTTTTGTGGTGTATTTTGAGACAATCTGATATTGCGGGCAGCAGCAAATGAAATGCAAGGGTTGTCATTAACTCAGCTGGATATATCACATGCAAGGATTATTATTATGATTATTCATGCTGTCTAGCTATTAAATGCTGTTGGTCTGGGTTGAATAGCAGAGCCCCGACCCCCGAAAAGAGGCAGAGCGTGACTGCTTCACGGTGACTGCTCTGCATTCCCTCGGCTACGAGGCTATATACTCAAGCCAGAGAAACTTGTTTTGGAAAAAAAAAACACACTAAAATGAATCTGCAGTGGCAGCTTGTGTAGAATATTTATAACTCTGGAGACAACAGGAGCTGAGCCTTGTATTGGCTGGAAGCAAATCACTGATGTGTTGGAAAGAAGTGAATCCCGAGGCTAACAATGACCTACATTTCTGCTGCATTCAGCACCAGCATACACAAGCCCCTGCTCCCCAAGCCACAGTATTTAATAATAATCCTTGCATTTGATATAGCACCTTATCACATCGTTGAGACATCTCAAGTGCTTCGCAGAATATACTGTAAAATGTAGTGACCAGATTTGGTGGATGAAACGCAGCAGCCAATTGCGCACAGCATTTGTACAGATACACCAGGCGCACCCAAAATTCCTCCGAGCCTCAGCCTGTGAGCCCATTGTCCCTTGAAATCCAAGATGGCGAGGAAGTGTGGCTGCAACTTAAAATGTGGAGACCATTTCCCCGCGCCCCCATTTAAGAAGCCCCAACTCTGAAGACGATATCTGCCGCCCTTATCTGGACCCCCGGTCTCACTCTCCACTCCAGTTCCATCACAACTCCGAAAACAGTTCTCGGGACGAGCTGCCATTACTCCGGAACAAGGCAGGGCTGCGCCCAGGGCTTGGCCGGGACATCTGAGCGCTTACAAAGTAAAAAGGGATATTTGAGATTCTGCCAGTCGACCAACCCTAAAAAAAAGGGAAAAGGCGAAAGGAAAAACTCTGCTTAGTACGGCAGAACATTACAGAACACAAACGGGTCCATTGAGGTTAAGGTTACATTGGTGTTTCTCCCCCCACAAGCTATCCAGTCTAATCCCACCGGCCACTCACTTCCAATGCCCTTTAATATTCCCCCTCTTCAAATATCCATCTACTTCAGCTTCAAAATAACGTATGGACTCTGCATTCACACACACGCGCACACGCATTATTGCCAGCAAATCAACGCACCCTCACGCTTCTTTTTATTTATAAACTACTCGCTCAGTTATTCTGATTTACATTCCCGTTCGTTCGCAGGATCACCTTAGTCCCCACCGCTAGTCGCGTAGCATTAATGTCTCAAATCGCATGCCTTTTTTTTAAAAAAAAACAAGCAAAGAAAGCGGGAAAGGGAGGTGTTGTTATGGTGGTGACCAAATTCATCGTAGAGGTAGGTTTTTAAAAAGGAGTGCTTGGAAAGCAGAGGTGAACAGATTTGGAGAGGGAGCTCCAGAGAGGAAGGATGTAGAGGCCGAGGCATGGCTGTTGACAGTGGGCGGACAGGCGAGGGATATGAAGGAGGCCTAAGTTTGAAAAGCAGGTATTATAAATAGAATGTCAATGCCAGCAGTTCCTTACCACAGTGAGCAGGGCTCCCTTCTTGAAGTTGGGATGGAAGCTGAGGAACTGCGGTTCAGCATCAATCTCGCCCTGAATAAAACCACTGGGAGACAAGAACACACACTCGAGTCAGTTGCAAAGCAAACACGATTTTAAGATTTAATGCGTGATCTGAAGGACAACATCTGACAAACACAACACGCCTCACAATACTACAGTGGAGTGTCAGACTGGACTTTAAGCTCGTCTGGATTTTAGTCGAGAGAATGGAGCCATTTGATGGATCATGGCTTTTTTTAAAAAGTAACCCCTTTTAAATGAATTCCCTCTTTTTCCATTATCTTGTAAATTTTTAAAAAAAACTACTCAAACACTCACTCACAAATATACAGTCAATTCACTTTCCAGTATATACTGTGAAGCGTTTTGAGATATCTAGAAGACGTGAAAAGTCCTATATCAAATGCAAGTATTATTGCTACTCAGGTGCTTACCCAGGTCCCTGTTGAACCAGTTGTTTGTGGTAATACAGTAAACATCACATAAGTCACATCAGTTGGAACCATATATTTAATATAACATATGCAAAGTGAGTTATGTTAAACTTGCATAGAATATAAACTCTTGAACAGGACTTGGGCATCTGCAACTCAGGCCATTATATGATTTATACTTCTGTGAGTTTTACTGGAATATTTCAACACCCGAACAACCCCTGTATTGTGTTAGAAAGAAACCAACTTGCAATTTAAGACTGAACAAAAAAATTGTCCACAATGAATAATAATCCTTGTTTTGGGTACTGCGCTTTTCCTGTCAAGAGGACATCTCAAAGCCCTTCATAGGATTCACTGCAAATTGTAGTGACTGCGTTATGTATGCACAATTCTGGGTAACCTTCAAATATTTTAAGACAAAATGATCTTCCAAGGTAAAACTAAGAGGTGCTTCGAGTCTCTGAACCGCAGTACATACCAGGGCAGGAGTTCGAACACAGGGCTGACGTTGGTTTTGAAGACTGCAACTAAGGTTTTGCTTTCTACATTAGTTGGGTCACCTGGGGTGGGGGAAGAGAAAGAAAGAAGACAAAAAAATAAAGTACACGGGCAACAAACACATACAAACAACCCTTTCACCCAAGTCAGAATAATTTCCAGCCTGCCACGAGAACTACCAAGCTCTGTACGGGTCAGTGTGATGTCTTTGCAGAACGGTTAATGTGCGGGTGAGTGAATGGTCCAATTACCTCGGAGAATAACTGCAAGTCTCTCACCGCTTGGGTCCCACACCATAGACTGCACCTCCCCTCCGACCCTGACAAAGACATCCATCAAAGCTCAAGTATAAACCTTTCGGTTGAAAATAAAAAACATTCAGGGGAATATCTGACATCAACTCTCCTCCCTTCCACCCGTAGGACACTCAGAACCATAGAAATTTAAAGCGGAGAAGACAGCCATTCGCCCAGGGCAGGTTCTTTTAAAGAGTGGATTAAAGAACAGAATTGGTGCCAGTTTTACCCTTGCTTGCAACACGAAGAGGCGCATTCTACCATTGACCACATTGCTCCTCTGCAGGGCCAGGTGGACGGATAAACAACCTGCAGTCAGAAACGTGCTTACCTAATTTCAGCCTGCTCGATCTCAAAGGTAGTCTTGGATAAGTCAGCACAAATCAAAGCTGTTTTTGAGCCCCCAACTTTTCCCAGTAATTCCCCTAAAAGCAGCGATGAAGAGTTGTTCAAAGTCAATTACCGCTATAACAATGTCCAGCTATTTCACAAACAAAATACAGTCAATCCACTTGAGACGTTTCAACGATGTGATAAGGTGATATCAACTGCAAGGATACCATATTATTATTGCAGTAAAAAACAGATCCAATAGGTAGAGGCACTAAACAAATAACATTTGTATAACGCCTTTCACATCAGGAGGACATCCCAAAGCGCTGGACAGTCAGGCATCTGACCTGAGCTGGTGGTTGGGAACAGGAAGGGTGGAGAGCAAGGAGGGTAGGGCTAGGAGAGTGACCGAAGGCACAATCGAAGAGGAGGGTCTTGAGACGGGTCCTGAAACCCGGGTAATAAACACAACAACGGCACTTATAAAGAAACCAATTTCCAAGTTACAACTAAATTCAAGAAATTTCCACAATTCTTTGCAATCTTAAAATTTGAAGGCAAAATGTTTCACAGGCTACAATTAGATAGAACTTATACCAGCTATCGGGCATAGCTTGGAGCAAAAGCCCCTATTGCAGGGGAAACCAATGCTAAAACTGTTTGACATTCAGTGTAAGTTACTAGTTCTGAGAAACTGGAAAGGGTATCCTTTTCTGTCAGCGCTAAAATTTCAAACCTACCAGTGTCCAAGAACGTCAGTAAATAAATCACAGATTCGCCTTCCACTGTGAACAATAAGTGGGTCCCATCCGGGCTCCAGCACCCTGTCTAAAACACAGCAAGACAAAGACGCACAGCGGGGGAAATCTCACATCAAAACTAAGTTAGAACAAATTCAGTTTCTGGTTAAAAAAAAAAAATTAGGCCTTTCTGTTCGAGCACGTACCTGGCACTGCCCATTCAGTGTCGGCCAACGCTCACAGGTCCACGTGCGAGTTTCCCAGACCCTGTAATAAAGGAGAGAACATCGTAGAATATAGAATCCTACAGCACTGAAGGCCATTTGGCCGATTGTGCCTGCTCTTTGAAAGAGCAATCCAATTAGTTCCACTTCCCCTCTCTTTCCCCACAGCCTTGCAATTTTTTTTTCTTTTCAAGTACATCTCTAATTCCCATCTGAAACTTATTATTGAATCTACTTCCACCACCCTTTCAGGCAGTGCATTCCAGATCTAAACAACTCGCTGCACACAAAAAATTCTCTTCATCTTCCCGCTGGTTCTTTTGCCAATTACCTTAAATCTGTGTTCCCTGGTCACAGACCCACTCACCTGTGGAAGCAGATTCTCCTCCTTTTTTTAAACAGATTCTCCTCATAGTTTTGAACGCCTCTATTAAATCTCTCCTTAACATTCTCTGCTCTAAGAAAAAGAATCCCGGCTGCTCACTCTTGATCACTACGTTTCACAACCGTGTACCGCTGAATCCCTTCATAAGCTCCCTCTAGATACAACTATAAGCAGCTTTAGCATATTTAAAATGCCTCCTGAAAGTAGTCCCATTATTCCCAGCTAATGTTCCAGCTTATCCCTTTCAGCACCCACCTGAAGACTGAAGATGGGGTGGTGGCCAGCACTCGATTTCCATCGGGGGACCAGGCTAGATACGTGACCCCTCCACCTCCAACTCGCTGCAATGGCACACAGATCTCAGTGGCGACATCCCAAATCTTTGATGGGGGGGAAAAAATAAACACAAGCACACATTAGGCCATTAAAACAAACAAACAAAAAACATTTATAGTACAGATACCTATTGAATCAAAATCTCAAAACATGACAGTAATTTCTGATAATTAACCTTTTTTGTGGTAGCCATTGGTGGTAGCAATTTGCACACGGTAAAATCCCACACAGTCGAACAGTGAATAATCTAGAGAACAGTGGTTAATCTAGAGAACTGTTGGCCCAGACACTGGGAGAAATGCCCATCTCTTCCCTCCCTCCTTCACACCACCCACCTCCATGTTGTCCACCTGAACAAGGAGATTGAGCCTTGGTTTGATGTCTCATTGGAGAATCAGTATCTCTAACATTCGGTTGGGAGAATTTCATGGATACACAAGAAGAAGAAAAAAATGACATGTGTATAGCGCCTTTCACGTGAAAAGCACTAGACAGTCAAGGATATGCTGAGGGTTGGAATCAGGAGGGCAGGGAGGGTCGGGGTAGGAGGGTGATCAACCACACGTCGCCCTTAACATGTCTGTCTCAGCTTCTTACCAGCATCGAAGTGTCGACTGGTGATGCAGACAGAAGCAGCCCTCCTTTGGGGCACCAGGCAAGCGAGGTCACAGGGCAGTGGCCGGGGTGAGAGAGAACATGTGCGCAGCCAGAGGAAGGCCTGAAATAGAGGGAAAACAAAGCTCAGATTTCAGTCTCCAAATTACAACTGTTCAACAGCAACAACTTGCTCTTATGTAGTGCCGTTCACATAGAAGAATGTCTCAAAGTGCTTAAGAAAATTTCCATGCAAAATTGAACACCATGTCTCACGTCTGCCCAAGTTAGAACATGTAAACGCATCAGCGATTGAGCTTTAGCTAAGGGGACTTTGGTTCTAAATGGTAAGGATAGCTCTGTAGTCAAGATTAGTTAGATGCACACTACACCAAAGGACATTATAATGGTTCCCCCTGTACCTGGTGGAGAGGGAGGTGGGATCTACCTGCCAGACCAGGATGCAGCTCTGGCATCCCACAGCCAGCACAGAGGCACACAGGGGTTTCCACGCCAACGCTGCTACGTTCTTTTGCAGCCGGTGTTTCAGTGTCGGTACCGTCTCACTGGAAGGAATAAATATACATGTTTTTTTTTCATAGATTCATAGGTTCATAGAATGTTACGGCACAGAAGGAGGCCATTCGACCCATCGAGTCTGTGCAGGCTCTTTGACAGAGCAAGTCACTTTCACTAACCCTAATCACCAGCTTTCTCCCCATAACCCTGCAAACCCGTCTTCCCCCGATACCTATCCAGTTCTCTCTTAAAAGCTGTTATCGAATCGGACTTCACTGCCCTTTCAGGCAGATCATTCCAAATTCAATTGAGAGTCAACACACACACTGCACACAACGAAGGACAAGCATAATCACCTTTGAGAATTATAAACACGGATGGAATCGTCTAGCAGAGCCACTGCAAACTTATCAGTGTGCGGATGCCAGGCAAAGGCACGCAGAGAGCACCCCGTCCTGCAAGAGACAGAGCACAGACACCTAAGTCACACAGGGATCTCCACTGGCCACTTAACCCCTGCTTCTATTCAGCAAATAAAGAGGTAATAATACATGCATTTGATATATTGCCTTATCATGTCTTTGAGATATCTCAAAGTGTTTCACAGAATATTGTAACTGCAATGAGGCTTTTAAAGATGGATAGAAGGGTGGGGTTGGCATAATAATATAGCTTGTAAATTAACAACTTATCGTTTCTCCTTGGTCCTCCACAATTAAACTCCCGCCAGCGTCACTCTTGTCCTCCCACTAAACTCCCTCCTGCTCTACCCGTATCCCAGTCGGAGTCTACAATTCACACCTTTGTGTGAAAATAGGAACTCACCAATCGGTTACCTGGGAGAATTTTGCCACCATGTTCTCGCTGCTGAGCTGAAAAGAAACAAGGCGAAACCTTTAACCCGACTGAGTAAGCTTCGATTTGAACATTACCTTGAAGCATCGGCGGAGATACGTACCTTGAGGTGGGGCGACAATGAACCGTGAAAGGCTCTGGCCCAGCGGGCCACAGCCAGGGTACAGCAGGACAAAGCCTTGAGCCATTTGGGCACTAAGATTAAAAACAAAATGGGAGTCAGTTCAACACAGCGACTATCAAAAGCACATTATGTACCACGTGCACCCGTCAGCATACTGCAAACCAATCTTTCTACAAGAAGGCACGACGGCCTGAATGACCTGCTTCTGTCCTGAAAAATTCAGAATCTATTCTATAAAATGGGCTGCCTTGTTCGCCTACCAATTTATAGTCACTATAGTTATCTGCAAAGTACTTTGTTACCTTAACATTATGGCGCGGCTGTCAAATGCAAGGAATTATTATTTATCGCTTTGCTGTGCAATAGCATCACAATAGAGAAATTACCTTCATCAGGCGAGTTAGTTATTTCATCTAGTAATCCGTAAAGTCCTGAATCATGCCTGGAAATAAGAGGGAGACACAGAGGGTCAGTTGATGGTTATTTGAGGCTGGGATCAGTCTCTTCATAGTATGAAGACAATGTCAGCTAGGGTGAGAAAACCCCACTACCTATGTTCCCAAATCAGATCTTTGTCAGAAAAGTGTCTGTGGTGCCCAGTACAACCAGTCATTATTCTTCAGCAACAAATATTCCAACAGTTCCCATGCACTTTAGTCCAAAGGAAACTCAGAATGGGATTGTACGTACCAAGCATTAGCACTGCGTTTCCAGACAGGCTCACGGTGATGGATGAATGCTGCTTTGGCGCTGTGCTCCAGGCGGCAATGAGGCTTCAGAGACTCTTTTCGAATGAGCACAGACGGAAAGCCCAATGTCTTTAAAAAAAACAGATAGCATTAACAGCCTCCTACAACACCAGATTTACATTTAAACCAAACTGCAGACATGCAAAATACTGTTGGCAAAAGTCTCTAAGAAGAAAAACGGGACAACTAATAATACTTGTAATGAATATGGTACTGATAGCATCAAAACACTTGAGAATTCCTATCAAATGTAGACTGTGCAACACAGTCTGAGCAGATGAACAGTACTACATAATTGCAGCAATAGTCTGTTTTTAAAATTAATGTTTGTTTCCAGTACCTACTGAAAGGCGATAAATAATAATCCTTGTATTTGATATAGCGCATTATCACATCTTCCAACCGTCTCAAAGCACTTCACAGAATAATAATACCAATCCTTGCATTTGATATAGCGCTTTTCACGTCGGGAGGACGTCCCAAAGCGCTTCACAGGACACACTGTAAAGTGAATTGACTGTATATTTAGTGGGCAAAGCACAGCGGTGTTTACTGTGTGGGCCATAAAAGAAGAAAATGCATTTGGTTAGCCACCACTGGGCTGAAGTCTCTGTGGCTCCAGGTCGAACGAAGGGCGCAGCACACACCTGGGCCTGAAAGTTGTAAACCTCTTCGTCATTCTGCAAGCCACTGACCAGCTCGTTGTTCAGCTCGTACAGGGTGATGTGACCCTCACAGAGCGGTGGAGGAAACAGGTCCAGGGAGCACATCGTCAGACAGAGCCTGTGGGGAAACAGAGGGACAACAAATCACATTTGTATAGCACCTTTCACTATACATACACACACACACCCACAGAAGTGTATATATATATATACACATCTATATACACACACACACACAACTATATACATCACATAACTTTATATATCATATGCAAAGGGTGTTTCGCCCACAAATATGGAGTCAATTCACTTTACAGTATGTTCTGTGAAGTGCTTTGAGACGTCTGGAAGACGTGATAAGGCGCTATATCAAATGCAAGGGTTATTATTATTATTATTATTATAATAAACATATATTACAAGGATCATATAGATCTATGATCTATACAGGGTGACCAAAACAGTCATGGTACCATTGCAATATCTACTAAGTCTTAAAAGAATGTATGACATATTATTTTAGATAATAGGGTAGTTATCAGTTGTCACCCTGTGTGTGCGCGTGAGTGTGTGTATATGTACACACACGTGTACACACACATGTATATACACACCACACATGTACATACATATACTATACACATAAACACATGTATTATATATATATTATACACAATCTAGAAAAGAGCCAAATAATCTCTGTATGCAAAATAATTCACTTGAGTATCGTGGAGCCCTGTGGCTCAGTGGTTAGAGCACTCGCTTTGCAAGTGAGAGACCTGAGTTCAATTCCAGGCAGAGGGCGAAACCTTGGACAAGTTTCCTTACTCCACACAGAGCCTAATAATAATCCCTCCAAAACCCAAAACAATAATAAATTGGTCATTTTCAATCCACGACTGTTTGTGGGACATTGCTGTGCGCCATCGGCCGCCGCGTTCGCCCACAAATATACAGTCAATTCACTTTACAGTGTGTTCTGTGAAGCGCTTTGGGACGTCCTCCCGACGTGAAAAGCGCTATATCAAATGCGAGGATTGTTATTATTATTATTATTACACTCGCGGCCACAACATAGTGGGGCGGGGGACACGCACAAAATAATCACGACGCGCTATATATAATAATATAATACACACACACACATATATATATATATACATATAAACCGAGAGAGAGATAAGGGACACACGGGCTCGCAGCCGCTCCTCTCTTAAAAGGCCTCGAGCCGCAGGCTTAGGCGCTGGCCGGGCTGCCACACAGGCCTGGAGGCGGAGGGGACGTCAAACCCCGTCGCCGCCCGAGTCCGGCCGCCGCCGCCGCCGAGCGACCTGAGTTTACCTCAGTCTCGAGCGCTGCTCCAGTCAGAGAGCGGCGCCAACCGCCACCAACGGACGAAAACGCTCGCGACGCCCCGCTCTTTTGGCGCTCAAACCCGCCCCTCCCCCGCCTCCCGACCAATCAGAGGCCCGCGTCGCCAGCGCACCAATCAGCAGGGACTTTGGCTTCAGGCCGGACCGGCCAATGGCAGCAGGGCGGCGTCAGGGCTCGACCAATCAGAGGCCAGGACTCGAGAACTGGCCAATCAGAGGCCTCGGGAGGAACTGGCCAATCAGCGCACTGGCCAATCAGGACGCTGTGAGGATGAGTTGGGGGGGGGGGTGAGGGGGCTGTTGGTCCCTCTCTGTCCAACTGTGGCCTCGGAGATGTTTGTAGGGTCAGGGTATCAAGGGGTCCGGGGCCAAGGCGGGTGATTGGGGTCGAGGTACACAGATCGGCCGTCACCTGATAGGGCGGCGGAACGAAACAGGCTCGAGGGGCTGAATGGCCTCCTCCTGCTCCCATGTCCCCCCCCCACCCACCCACCCCCCCAACCCCACCCCCATCCTCCATCGTTGCGCAATGGCGCCCAAGTGCGGGGGCTCCAGTTCCGCCAACACCACCACCCACCCGTTCGGGCCTCACCGGGCGCCTTCGACGGACAACCATTGGCCACCATTGGCAGCAAAGCCAGGACAACCCCACTGCTACCCCCCCACCCCCACCCCAACTCCCAACTGGGGGCGGGGTGGGGGGGTGGTCTCGCCCTCTCAGGCGAGGGTGGTGTGTACTTGTGGGTGGGAAGTGGGTGAATTTCGGGGTGTGATTGCGTCGGGACGTGTTTGGAGTACCCGTGTGGTGGGTGTCTGTCTGAGGGGGTTATTTGTGAGGGGCGGTTGTGTATGTGTGCGAGGAGTGAGTGAGTGAGTGAGTGAGGGAGGGAGGGGGGGCATTTGTGTGTGTGTACGGGTGTGGATGAGTGTGTTTAGTGTGAGGGGTGTGGGTGCGCAAGGGGGTACTTGCCTGTATTGTGCGTGCGCGGCTACGTGTTCGTGAGTGTTGAGCGTAAACGGTGGTACTTGTGCGGTGATAGCGGGTGTGGGGGGGGGGGTAATTCTGTGGGGTGACAAGTGTTTGGGGAGGGGGAGATATTTGTGTGTGAGGTATATTTATTTGTATGACAATGTGTTCGTGTGGAGCGCGGGCGACTGTGTGTGCGTGGTGGTGGGGGGGGGGGGGAGAGGTATTTGTGAGTGTGTGGGTTATTATTTGTGACAGTGAGTGTGTGTGTGTGTGGGGGGGGGTATGTGTGTGTGTGAGTGAGTGAGTATGATGTGTGGGGGTTGTATGATAGTGGGGGTGGGGGGGGGTGACAGTGTGTAAGGGGATTCCTGTGATAATTTGTGTGTGTGTGTGTGAAAGGGTTATTTGTGTATATGTGTGTGTGGGGGGGAAGAGTATTTGTGAGTATGTGTGTGAGAAGGGGTATTTGTGTGTGTGTTGGGGGGGGGCAGTATTCGTGTGTGTGTGGGGGGGGGGGGGGTGGGGGGGAGAGTATTTGCGAGTGTGTATGTGTGGGAGGTGGGGTCACAGTGTATGAGTGTGTGTATGTGAGAATTTGTGTGTGTGTAACTGTGTGTATGGGTGGGGGGGGGGAGTGCATGTGAGTGTGTGTAAGGAGGGTGTGTGGGTGTGTGTGTATATGGGGGGGGGTTAGTGTGTGAATGAGTGTATGTGTGAGTGTGTGTGGAAGGGGGGGGTTATGTGAGTGTGTGTGTAGGGTGTAGGGTGTGGGGGGGTGAGTGTGTGTGTGTAAGGGGGGGTGATAGTGTGTGTATATGGGGGGGGTTATGTGAATGTGTGTGGGGGTGTGTGAGTGTGTGTGTGTAAGGGGGGGTAATAGTGTGTGTATATGGGGGGGGTTATGTGAATGTGTGTAGGGTGTGGGGGGTGAGTGTGTGTGTAAGGGGGGGTAATAGTGTGTGTATATGGGGGGGGTATGTGAGTGTATGTATGGGGGGGGGGAGTGTATGTGTAAGTGTGTGTGTGTAAGGGGGGGTTGATAGTGTGTGTATATGGGGGGGGTATGTGAGTGTATGTATGGGGGGGGAGTGTATGTGTAAGTGTGTGTGTGTAAGGGGGGGGGTGATAGTGTGTGTGTAAGTGTGGGGGGGGTGTGAGTGTATGTATGGGGGGGGAGTGTATGTGTAAGTGTGTGTGTGTAAGGGGGGGTTGATAGTGTGTGTATATGGGGGGGTATGTGAGTGTATGTATGGGGGGGGAGTGTATGTGTAAGTGTGTGTGTGTAAGGGGGGGGGGTGTGAGTATATGTATGGGGGGGGGAGTGTATGTGTAAGTGTGTGTGTGAAGGGGGGGGGGGGGGGGTGTACACCGGGATGCTGGTGCGGGAGGAGTTTGGCCCTTTAAACCGCAGGGGGTGCGGCACAGCTCGGCTCTGGGCGTGTCTGAGGATCGGATCAGCTCAGAGCGGATCGGTGGTGGTTGAGGAGGAGGAGTGGGGGGGTTGTGTGTGTGTGTGTGTTGGGGTGTGTGTGTGGGTGTGTGTTGGGGTGTGTGTGTGGGTGTGTGTGTGGGTGGGAGCCGGACAATGAAGCTGTGAGCAGCGGTTGCAGCAGGAGCCAGAGGGGTCGGGGGTGGGGGGGGTGGGGGTGGGGGAGACAAGGCACCACCAAGGAGCCAGGCTGAGCAGGTAAGAGAGAGAGATGGAGAGAGAGAGAGAGAGAGAAGAGGAGAGGAGAGAGAGAGAGAGAGAGAGACACACACACACACACATACACACTCGCTGCATCCTCAGCCAAAGGAGGTTGTGGTCCTGATGCTGAGCTGGGCGATGGTGATGGGAGAGATGGGTGTGCAAACACTGACTGACTAACTGACTGACTGAGCTGTACTGTGTTGTGTGGGTTGGGGGTGGGGGTGGGGGTGGTGGTGGGGGAGGGGGGGGGGATCCATCCCCCTCTCAAGCCAGGCAGGCACCCCCTTGTAAATCACAGGATTTGCAAGGGCGATCTCTGCTCCGCGTCCGTCCGTCCGTCCGTCCGTCCATCCCCGGCAAATCCTGGGCTGCTGCCGCCGCTTCTTTTTTTATCCCCCTCCCTCCCTCCCCCCACCCCAGCAAGTCCTCCCCCAAAAGCCATCTTTCAGAGCTGAGATTCGATTAGGCAGGCGGGCGGGCGGGCGGGCGGGCAGGCAGGCAAGCGGACGCAGACTCCTGCAAATCGGCCTCCTGCTTCGCCCGCCAGCGGTTAATCTGGGGCAAGCAGGCCTGGCGCCCGATGCAGTTCTGCGGTGCAGCAGCGTTCAAACGTCCAGCCCAGGGCTTGGCGGGTAAGTGTAGTGGCTGGGTGCACAATAATAATAATAATAATAATAATAATCCTTGAATTTGATACACCGCCTTATCGTGTAGTCGATACGTCTCGAAGCGCTTCACAGCATATATTGTAAAAGTGGATTGACTGTGTGTTGTGTAGGCAGCTGTAATAATAATAATAAGAAGAAGAATAATCCTTGCATTTGATATGGGCACCTTATCACATCGTCAAGACAACTCAAAGAGCTTCCCAGGATATGCTGTATAGAGTAGTGACTGTTTGTAGGGGACAGTCAACTTCTCAACTGGGTGAGAGAAACCCTCTTCTCTTTTCGAGTAGTGCCGTGGGATCTTTAAGTTGTTGCTGAATTGATGTCAAGCGTAGTGACTGCGTCCGGCTTGGAACGAAAGATGGATTTTTTTTAAAAAAAGAAGGACTGCTTTATAATATTAATAGTGAAATAGCAATCATCGCATCTGATACGGCGCCTCTCGTGTCTCAAAGCACTTCGCAGGATTGACTACAAAGTGTAGTGACTGTGTGTTTTTGTAGGAACTTTTCAAAACCCGGGCTGATCTTAAACTTGCCGATAATGGATTTAAGGCTCAGACCACGAGAATTCCTTGCCCTAGGTTTCTAAGTTTAAAAATAGAACCTCGCTAGGTAATCTCGATTTACATAAACTCAAGAGGGCTGAAATTCTACGCGGTCTAATAATAACCTCCGCGTTTGATGCATCGTCTAATAACATCCAGGCGCCTCAACACACGTCACAGGGAATTGTTGTCAAGTGTAGTGACTGTGTGTGCGTGTGCACTTGAAGGCAAACAGGGCAGCCAGTTTGCGCACAGCAGATTCTCTCATGCAGCACTGAAGTGAGTCACCAATTTTTAATTTGGGGGATTGTTGGTCAGGTAGCGCGGGAGAGAGAGAGAGAGAGAGAGGAACTACTTTCTCTTTTCACTTCACGGTTGTTTGCGGGGACGTCGCTGTGTGTGGATTGGCTGCCCCACGATCGCCTACAAGACACACTCGTCAATCCGTTTTACAGTAAAATCCTGTGAAGCGCTTTGAGACAGCCTTCTGATACGAAAGTCGCTGTAGCAAATGCAAGCATTATTATTATCATTATATGTGGAAAACTCCTTTTTATAATTAAAAAAGCACACACAGAACTGGCTCCGAATCAATCCCGAATACAGGAAGTTTGCACAGATACAGGGATTTTTTTTGCAATTGGCTGCCACGTTTCGGCAATGAAAAACACAGACAATTCACTTTACAGTATAATTTGTGAAGTGTTTGAGACGTCACAACGCCTTGACGAGGCACTAGATCAAATGCAAGGTTTATTATTATTATTATTATATATACTGATTTGATATAAACCAGATGCTAAGGATCCCATGGCGTTATTCGGAAAGAGAAGGGAGTTTCTCTCTCTCTCCCGGCGTCTTGGCCGACAATACCCCAGATTATTATGATTAGATGCATTTTATGGCAAAATGTTCACACAGGCCTCTGTATTCCAATCTCCTTGCTTTTAGTGACTTCTGGTCTGCCCGCCTGCTTTGTTTCTGACATACGTTCAGTTATTGATTATTTCTAAGTGCATATTAGTATCTCTAGGTCCTGCCCAGAACTCAGCCTCCCCATTAGCTGTAAAAGCATTGGCCCAGCTCAGCCACTTAATGAGCGTAATGGTGATCTGGAAGCAACAGCATTATCTTCCATTACAGGCTCCGGCTGATGCAGAACTCCGCAGGGACCTTGGCTGTGTGTGGAGTGGGCCCGGCTTTGTTCTATCTGTGGAAATAATTCACACCTCAGTGGAACAGCAGCTTGCCGAAGGCAGTGAGTGGGTTTCGCTGAAGAGAGGGAACAGGTAAGGTGGGGTGGGGGGGGGGGGGAGGAAGAGGAGGAGGAGGAGGAGGAGGGATGAGTCGGAACAACAACAACAACTTGTATTTATACAGTGCCCTTCACACGGGCAGTGTCTCGGAGCGCTTAACAATGACGGAGCCTGACCCCGAGCTCGGGAAGGGGGGGAGGTGACCATAAGCACGGTTGAAGAGGAAAGTCTTCAGTCAGGATCTAAGGCGGGGATGGGACCTCGGTTTAACATCCCGTCCGGAGGATGGCATCTCCGACAATGTAGCGCTTCTGCCCCCCCCCCCCCCCCACTCCACCCCACACTGTCTGCTGATTGTGCTGAACCCCCACACGCACATAGGCACTGCGGGGGGTGGGGGGGCGGGGGCCTGAGGTGGGTGTCAGTGTCCAAAGCGCTTCACAGAATCATAAAATCTTACAGCAACAGAAGGAGACTATTCGGCCCATTGTGCCTGTGCTACCAACTAGTGCCACTCACTCCCCCGTTCGTATCCCATAGCACTACAACTTCTTCCTTTTCAAGTACTGTACCCGTCCAATTCCATTTTGAAAGCTCTCATCGAACCTACTTTCATCACCCTTTCAGATCGACGTGAAAAGCGCTATATCAAATGCAAGGATTATTATTTGTTATTATCGTAACTACTCTCTGGGTGAAACAAAATTCTCCTCGTCTTCCTTCTGGTTCGTTTACCAATTATCTTTAATCTTTCCAGCATATACCGTGAAGTAAATTGACTGTGTATTTTGTGGGTGAAACAATTTTTTTTCGGATTAGAGGGGAAAAGTTGCTGGTGTCACATGCATCTGATCATGTGGCTGGTGTGGTTGGGTTTAAGGAGGTCAAACAAAATCTCTCCTTTGAATCAATCCCAACCTTGAAATCCTCAATCCTCACGGTTAATCGCTCGCTCACTTTCAGAGCTGTTTGCGGGACTTTGCTGTACGCAAGACTGGCTGCCACATTTACCCACGAAAACAGTCACTACACTTGACGGCAGTTGTTTGTGAACCGCTTTGAGAGGGTTTAAGGTGCGCTCGTGAGAGCGCGCGCGCGCGCGTGTGTGTGTGTGTGATGTCTTCACTCCATCTGCTAAAAGGGGAAGGTTCCGGCAGAATTATCAGTGTAGCAGTTAACGAAACAACAACAACAACAACAACTCGCATTTATATAGCGCCTTCACTCGGGGCAATGCCTCGAGCGCTTAACAGTAGGTGGAGCCTGACGCCGAGCTGGGGTGGGGGGAGGAATGGAGAAGGTGACCGCAAGCACGGTCAAAGAGGAAGGTCTTTCAGTCCGGATTTAATGGAGGAAATCTAATGTTGTTCGAGTGCATTTGATTGTGTGTGTGTGTGTGTGTGCGCCTGTGAGTCTGCGTGCATGCGAGCTTACACTCGGTCGCAGAACATGACCGAGTTTAATTGTTCGCCACGATTCCGCGCCACCATAAATCATAAGGCAAAGAAAAAAAAAAGGGGTCGGGCGGCCCGAGACCGGCTGGAATTTGGGGGGGGGTGGGGGGGCGTAGGGAAGTCCAAGTTCCTCTTTTGTCTTTTCTGTATTTTTTTTTAAAAAAACAACGCGCCCGCGGGCGCGCGCGCGCACACGCACAAACACGCTCGTGGGTGCACGCATCAGTGGTGATCCTGCTCTGAATTGGTCCTGATGATGTTGGTGCCTTTACTGACCCCTGGGGACTGTCGATAGGATTTACAATGCAAAATAAGAAACTGTGTGTGTGTGTGTGTGTCTCTCCCTCTCTCTCTCTCTCTCGCCGCTTTTCCATTGCCGTTGATGCTCTGACTCGGTACTACTTTGGCGAGGGTGAACAGGCAGTGGGGGAGTGGGGGAGTGGGGGAGGGAGTCCGTGTGTGACCCTCTCTCCTCCAGCGCTTGATATGGCTTTACTGGAAGTGACGCACGAATGTGTGTGTGTGTGTGTGGGGGGGGGTGGGGGGAAGGTGGGAGGGAGTCTCCAGGCATCAGCTGTGCACGGTGCCGCCTGAAATTTTTATTTCCGCGAGGGGGACATTAAACGATTGATCGCTCTCTCTGCAGAGACGCTTCCCAGAACACTCGTGAATCCTCGCTCAGTGAAGACTATTTATTACACTCCTCTTCTCCCCCCCCCCCCCCCCACACCTCCCATACTGCAAGGCATCTTACAAGTCTCTGACGAAAGTACTGCAGTGCTCTATCCTGTGTTATTCAGTAACAGCTTTGGTGATGGACACAGCATCTATCACATCGCTACGTGTGTAGAACTGCAGCAAAGTGTAGTGACTGCGTATCTGCTGGCAAATAAGGTGGCATTTTACGTGCTGCAGGGTCCCCTGAACCCCACGGCTGTGCGTTTCAACTCCACCTCGGCCTGCAAATAAATACGCACTTGCCTACAAATGCACATTCTCGTGAAGCGATTTTGAGATGTTTTGACGATTGGAGGCGTTGCATCAAATGCTAGAATTTAAATCCTGGGAATTAACATGACTCAGTTGCAGGGAATGTGCTGCTGCTGATGACCCCCTAACCCCTGCTGGGTCTAAGTCTTGGGGAAATTCCTTTACTATTGTCCTCAGGAGTCCTGGGAGCAGAAATCCGAGATTTCCATTATTCGTTACCTGCTGTTCTCGCACCTCCTCCAGTGCCTCAACCCTACCCTTCCTCCTTCCCCGCACCCACCCCCACCCCCTCGCATTACAATGATCCTTGCATTTGGCATAGCACGAATTATTGCCAGAATGGCTCCAAACAAACAGCTCTGCAAAGTTACTGTAATGTGCATTGACTGTATTGCAGGTAATTGTGGCTAATTTGTGCACAGCAGTGTCCCACAAACAGCTTGCTTGTATGATCAGTTTATTATTAATAATAATACTTGCGTTTGATATGGCGCCTGATCACGTCGTTGAGACATCTCAAAGTGCTTCACAGTATATATTGTACAGCGGATTGTGTGTTTTGTGGGTGAAACATGACAGCCAATTGTGCACAGCAGTGTCCCACAAACAGTTGTGGATTGAGTGACCACATTTTTTTACACATGGAGAGATTATGAACCCAGGAAAGCGCTCCGCCAATCGACTTACAAGCGGGTTCCTACTTACTGCTGGGTAAACAGAGGCGTGTGGAGTAAGGAAACTTGCCAAAGGTTTTTCCCTGCCTGGGACTCGAACCCGGGTCTCTCGCTTGCGAGGCGAGCTCTCTAACCATTATGCTCAGGGACTCCATGGGAATTTGTTTTTACCCCAGGGGGATTGTCGGGCAGGATACCGGGAGAGAGAAACTCTTTTCTTTTCCGAATAGCGCTACGTAATCTTCAACGTCTGCCCGGACATGGCACAGCCGGGGAGCGTGGGTTAACGACTTGTCTAAAGGACGGTGCCTCTGATAATGCAGCAGTGCTCTCGCCTTCGTCAGTACTTGTGGAGTCCTGTAGCTCAGTGGTTAGAGCACTCACCTTGCAAGCGAGACACCAGGCAGGGCAAAACCTTGGGCGAGTTTCCTTATGCCACACGCCTAATAATTTTCAATTTCATTTCATTTTCAATCCACGACTGTTTGTGGGGACGCCGCTGTGCGCAATTGGCCGCCGCGTTTCGCCCACAAATATACGGTCAGTTCACTTTACAGCCTATTCTGTGAAGCGCTTTGAGGGGTCGAGAAGATGTGAAATGCGAGGATGGTTATTATTATTATCATCACTTTGAGCTCAGTGTCCCCAAAGTATGGGCCTTAAATCTGCGGCCTTCTGACTTTGAGGGGAGAACCCGACCGACCGAGCCTCGATCAGAGAGCCACCCATTGTCATTGGAACAGCTCCCGTAACTTCTCCATAGCGCTCGGCGGGAATTACCATCCCATGTATTAAAAAGAATAGAGCCTTATTGTGTTGGGAGGTGGTCTGAAAGCTGTGTGTGTGTGTGTGTGTGTATGTGTGTAAGGGTGAGCACAACTGAGCATGTACAGAACAGGTCTGGGAGTCAGGTCTAATCTTATCTGGTTACCTCATGCTCGGGGATTGATCTGTGTTGCTTGGTAACTACTCCCTGCCTCCTTGTGCCTGTCCTCTCCCCTCCCCGCCAGGCTGAGAACCAGGAAGATGGCTTTTCGCACCATTGCAGTGTGACGGCAGGAGTCTTTGGAAGCAAAATGTGCAATTAAAGAAAGCCATCGCTCTACTCTGCTCGTGTGTGAGTGCGTGTGTCTCTGTGTGTGAGTGTGTATGTGTGTCCTCAGTTCAATGTAAGCCTTTCGCCTCCTGTCTCTCACCAACTATTATTACTGCTTCTCGCGTGGTGACTGCTAACACAAACAGTCACCGTGCTTGACAGTAATAGCAGTAATAATAATGATCCTTACGTTCATATCGCGCGCCGTATCATGTCGTCGAGACGTCTCTCAAAGCGCTTCGCAGAATATACTGTCAAGTGCAGTGACTGTGTACATTGCAGGGCGAAACGTGGCAGCCGATTGCGCGCAGCAGTGTCCCGCACACAGTGGTGGATTGAGCGACGCTATTAAGAAAGATAAAAGGACTTTCTCCCGGTTTCCTGGCCGACAATCCTCCCCCTCCCCCAATGCCCCCCCCCCCCCCCTCGCCCGCCACCACCATCGGATAAACCTCACGGTCCCAAAATGTCCGACTACGTTTGTTTACAAATACACCATAATAACATGTGCAGTATCCAACACAAATTATCAGTGGATAAATGAGGGTGTTAGGCCCTGGGGGGGGGGGGGAGTGTGAGCAGGTGGGTGAGGGCGATGGGGGCAGAGGGAGAGGTGGGGGCACTTTTATGAGCTCTAGATTCAGTGCCCTGAGGGTTAAATGGTTTATCGCTTCCTTCCCCGCTGTGCTTCGTCCTACAGATGTGCTTTCTCTTTTGACTTTAATGAGTGCCGTGGTGGTGGGGGGGGGGGGGGCGGAGAGGCGGGGAGATGAAAGCTCGGGATGTGTAGCGGTGAGGGGCAGGGTGTATGTAGGTAGGCAGGATACAGTCCGTAATGGCCCCTTTCTCAGCCGCTCAGCAAACACTTTAATCCGACCGGATGAGATCATTCGGCGGTGGTGGGGGGTGGGGGGGGGGGAGATAAGGAACGTAAAATCCACCTGCTTCAGTTCTCCTGCCTGCATTCCTGGAGTCTGACTCATTCCCTACCTGCTCTCTCGCTCACTCCGACACCTCCTACTCCTCCGCTCATTGGCTGTGCTGGTTGCACGAGGATATGCCGAGGCTGATTCCTTGCACTGCAGTCCCGTCACAGACTGCAGTCCTGGCTCTCGTAACCCGGCAGCACAGCCACCGTCCCCGGCGAGGGGAAAGGCTTGTACCGCGGGGTGCGGACGCCTGGCTCTGGCTGGCACCCTCCGAACTTAAACGTCCCGTTCGCAGTGAAGGTGAGAGGGCGAATCAGACTGTGATGTTTTCGGATTGTGTGCGTGTTGTGTGTGTGTGTGTGTGTGTACTGGAATGTAATCAATGCAGTGTGTGTGTGTGTGTATGAAGGAGGAAGAGAGAGCTACACACACACACACACACACAGACAGACCAACACTGTGTGTGTGTGTGTCTGAGGGAGAGAGGGAGGCTGTGTTGTGAGAGAGACTGTGTGTGTGTGTGTGTGAGAGAGAGAGAGAGAGAGGGAGAGAGACACACACACACACACACACTGTGTACGTGACGGAGAGAGACTGTGTGTGTGAGAGGGAGAGAGTCGCTGTATGAGTGTGAAGGAGAGAGACTGTGTGGGTGTGCGATGGAGAGACGCACTGTGTGTGGGTGCGTATGGGTATGTGTTTATTTGTGTGTGTGTATGTGAGGGAGACAGAGACAGCGAGAGAGGTGGGGGGAAAGTGTGTGCATGTGTGACTGTGTGGGGATGAGTATATGGTGAGTGAGGACAATGTGGTGGTGGAGAGTGGGGGGGGGGGGATGGGGTGAAGAGTGTGGGAGTGTGTATGAGGGTCTCTCTCTTTCTTGGTGACACATTAAGCCAGCCTGCCCGGTGTCTGAATTGGTTCCCCCTCCCCTCCTCCCCCCCCCCCCCCCCATCCCCAAGAGGTGTGCCTGGAGTGACCCTGAGTGTAACTGAAAGACACATTCCTATTCACTTCCACTACTTCCCCCCCCCTCTCCCCCCCTTCCCATTTCAATCTCTCCCTTTGCAGGTCATGTTCCAAACAAACATGGTTTGGGATAAACGTTTAACTTGGGGGAAATATGAGCCCCGCAATTTTACCCGGTCCTTTCGTTTCGAATTTAAGGTGGGGTGGAATTGTGAAAAAAAATTCTTCACTTCGCCTTTAATTTCTAAAACAATTTCCCGCTGTTTCTTTTCCTTCAGTCTCTGGACCCTTGGTGGATTATTCCCGACAGGATAAGTGACTGTGTATTTTGTAGACAAACGTAGCAGCCAATTTGAGCTGAGAAAGATCCTGTAAACTGCTTTGACGTGAAGGAATGGGTGATTTTTATCTGTGAAATTGGGACTGTCTCCCTTCTCTCTTTCTTCGTCCACCTGAACAGGCGCAGACGGCAGTGGAAGAGGTTCTCATTCCGACCCCCCCCCCAATCTTCCATGTGAACCACAACCTCTCCCATCACACTCGGGGAAGGAGTGTGTGTGTGTGTGTGTGTGTACATTGGTGCAAACAACTGTATCTGTAAACAACAGGGAGGGAAGGAGGGAATGAGTGAGTGAGATTGAATATGCAATTGAGTGAATGCGAGAGAGCGAGTGAGTCAGTGAGTGAGTAGCTCATTCATGGGTCCGTCACCTCGCCTCACGGCTGTGTGGGAACGATTGACAGAGTTGCAAAGCAGACTCAATGACTACCTGTGATGATAAGACAGTGAATGTGATGGTCAATGTGCTGCTGATGGGGGCTGTGGAAGATTCAGGACCATGAACAGCACCTGACATTCACCCACACCCAGCGTTTCATTCCTCACTCGCTCACTCACTTTCTCTCTCTCTCTATCTCTCCCTCTGTCTCTCTTTCTCGCTCACTTTCACACTATTGTCTCTCGCACTTTTGCTCTCACTTCGTGTCTTACCCTCTCGCCTCCGGGAATGTGGGTTCACATTTGATTCGCGCAGTGCCGTGCGGGGTGGCACTGCGTAGATGGAGGGGAGGGGGTAATAACCCCTTTAAAAAAAACATTGAGTCACTCAATCCACAACCTTATGGGACACTGCTGTCTGCAATTTGCTGCTGTGTTTCGACCACACACAAAAAAAAGCAGTCAATAATCCGCTTTACAATATATCCTGTGAATCGCTTTGAGACGTCTCAACGGCGTGATAAGGCGCTATTTCAAATGCAAGGATTATTATTATTTTCATCATTAAGTTCTTTGCAGCAGTGAGGTGTTGTACGCTGTGTCTTTTAGACGGTTGATTCCCTGTGTTGATTTTTTTCAGGCAAGGTTCTGTGACGCTGGGAGGTGAGGAGAGAGAGAGAGATAGAGGGAGAGAGAGAGAGACCTGGACCAGGTGGTGTTGTGTTGGTGGGTTTGGTGGCTTCTCGGTGAGCAACAATGGCGTGTGTGGAAGAACCAAGGAACCTGCCGGCTTCCCTGAGCAACTTCCAGTCCACGCTGAAGGACCGGGAAGATAACTTCATAGCCTTGCGGAAGCTGGAATCCCCGGGGTCTCGCACCCCCGGAGGGACCCCCGAACAGGACCTGTCGCCCACTCAGTGCGTGATGCAGAACGTCCTGTCTCCCGAGGGCGGGGGTCACAGCCCCAACGCCATGACGGATGTCAGCGAGGACGCCCGCGAGCACTTCTCCAACAGCGTGCTCCAGCTGCACGAGAACGAGGGGGGCAATGTGGCGGGGGCTTCCGGGAGCGAGGGGGCCGGGGGGGAGTGCAGGCGGGACGCCAGGCGGCTGGACCACGTGAGGATACAATGCACGCAGTCCGGAGGGGGCTTCCTGGATGGGCTGTTCGGCTGCCTGAAGCCCGTGTGGTACATCATCGGCAAGGCTTACTCCACCGAACACAAGCTCCATCACGAAGGTGAGCCCCTCACCCCCGGGCCTCCCATAATCCCCCCTCCCCCTCGCTTGGCCACAGACAGCGCTGTCCATACAGACCCGTCCGCCCCCTCCACTCTACTGGGCTCCAGCCTGCTCCATGTCCTGCCCCTTCTTAGCCCTGCCCCCCCCCCCCCCCCCCCTCCACCATCGACGGTCAGGCCTTCAGCCTCTCTGCCCTCATCCTTTGGAACTCCATCCCACATTCCCTTTGCCTTGCTCCCTCTGTTGCCTCTTTCAAGGCCCGTCTCAAGACCCTTCTCTTCGACCGGATCCTCCTTTGGTCACCCTCCTACCCCCACCCTCCCTGCCCTCCACCCCTCCTGATCCCAACACCCAGCTCGGGTGCAAATCCTTAACTATTCAGTGCCTTGGGACATGTCCCCCCAACATGAAAGGCACTGTGTAAATGTAATTTGTTATTGTTGTTGTTTCCGATCTGTGGTAACCCCTCGAGCTGCCTATTTCCTGATCTTAGGCAAGTTTCCTTACTCCGCACACACGCCTCTGTTTACCTAGCAGTAAGTAGGAACCCGCTTCTGAGTCGATTGGCTTTTCTGTTTTAAAAAAAATAATAATAGTGATTTGGTCACTCAATCCATGACTGTTTGTGGGACACTGCTGTGCACAATTGGCTGCCGAGTTTCGCCCACAAAATGTACAGGCAATTTATTTTACGGTACATCAGTGAAGCACTTTGAAACGTGTCAACGACATAATAAAGGGCTTTATCAGGATTATTAATATTCCTATCAGTGCAGAGCGCCAAGTGTGTAAACGAGTGTGAACCCGCCCTGGGACGCTACCCTGTGTGAGGGGCGCTGTAAATGCAAGCTGTTGTTGTTTGTGTAGGCATCGTGCTCTGTTTGTCCCCAGAATCCTGGGAGGTGCCGTTTGAGGAGATCTCGGACCTGCAGTGGGTGGGCAGTGGGGCCCAGGGTGCTGTCTTCCTCGGCAAGTTTCACGGGGAGGAGGTGGCCGTCAAGAAAGTGCGGGATATGAAAGAGACTGACATCAAACACCTGCGGAAACTCAAACACCCGAACATCATCACCTTCAAGTAGGTACAGCCCCAACCGAAGCACGTTTTCCGCTCTTCCTCTCTCCCTCTCTCCTTGTTTCTCGTTCTCTTTTTCTCTCTTTTCCTTTTTCTCCATCTCTGTCTCCCTGATTTTCGTTTTCACTTTCTTTCTCTCTCTCTCTCTCTCTCTCCCTCTCTCCCTCTTTCTCTCTACCCCTCTCTGTCTTTAAAGCGCTCTGCGATGCCGTCCGGCGTGGAGGGCGCTAAATAAATCCAAGTTGTTGTTGTTGTTGTCTTGCAAGTTTGCAGAGTCTGGGTTGAAATTAGTTGCCTGTCTCAGGGAGCGCCGACAGCTGACTTCCTGGATGTTTGTCTGCAAGCGCTCTGCGTGAGGGACGCTATATAAATGCATGTTGTTGTTGTTGTTGTTGCTTTTCCTGGTCATCCACTTCCCAGCTCCGCTCCCCTCTGGTGTGGGAGAGAGTGGCCTGACGGACACCTGCTCTGCAGTGTGTGTGGGCAGGAGCAGCCCTGGGGATAAGCAGGAGCCAAGGACCAGACAGTGATCAATACACAAGAAGTCAGACATCTCTCTGAGCACCGCTCACTCAAGTCGGACCCAAACCCTGAGACCCGCTGTGTATCTGCATGTTGTATAACCATCCTTAATAATAATAATAATACTAATCCTTGCATTTGATACAGCGCCTTAATTGCGTCTTAAACCGTTTCGCAGAATAGACTGTAAAGTGAATTGTATTTTGTGGGCGAAACGCGGCAGCCAATTGCACCGAGCGGCGTCCCCACAAACAGCCGTGGAGGATTGAGTGGCCAATTTATTTTTTATTCTTTTAAAGCAGTGCGCCTTATCGCGCCTTAGGCGAGTCTCAAAGGATTCACTGTGAAATGTAGTGATTGTACGTTTCGTTAAAGGGGAACCCAGCAGCCAATTTACGTCTTAAATGGGGCAGCTCTGGGACGCTATATAAATGCGTATATAAACACAAGCTCAAGTTGTCGTCGTCGTCGTCGTGGCCCTCACGGTGGTACTCTTCCATTTCCGCAGGGGTGTGTGTACCCAGGCCCCGTGTTACTGTATCATTATGGAGTATTGCGCCCAAGGGCAGCTGTACGAGGTGCTGAGGGCCGGCAGGAAAGTCTCCCCTACGCTGCTAGTGGAGTGGTCCATGGGCATTGCCGGGGGCATGAACTATCTGCATCTCCACAAAATCATCCACCGTGACCTGAAGTCACCAAAGTGAGTGCTGGGGTGGGGGGGTGGGAATGGGGGGGGAGGGGGAGGGCTCCATAATAATACTACTAATAATAATCCTTGCATTTGATATAACGCCTTATCACATCGTTGAGACGTCTCAAAGTGCTTCACAAGATACACTGTAGAATAGATTGACTGTGTATTTTGTGGGTGAATAATACAGTTATTAATAATTAATAGTAAACAATCCACATTGACAATACACTATAATTAATGTTAATAAGGATCAATATTTAAATAATAATGGGTGGTAAAATTAATAATCACTATAATAATAATACACATTAATAATTAATGATATCAGATAATTATCCTTGCATTTGATATGGAGCCTTATCACGTCATCGAGGTGTGTGGGGTGGGGGTGGGGAGAGGAGTGTGCGGAGGGGGTGAGGGGAAGGGGTGATGGTAAGGAGTGAGGTGGGGGTGAAGGCAGGGGATGTGAGGAGAGGGGGTGAGGGGAGGGGTAGGGAGGGACGGTGTGAGAAGAGGGTGTGAGGAGAGTGTGTGTGGGTGAAGGTCAGGATGACATGTCTCCACTCTCCCCGCTGCAGTATGCTCATCACCTATGATGATCTGGTGAAAATCTCTGACTTCGGGACGTCCAAGGAACTGAACGACAAAAGCACCAAAATGTCCTTTGCCGGCACCGTGGCCTGGATGGCCCCTGAGGTCATTCGCAATGAGCCTGTGTCTGAGAAAGTGGATATATGGTGAGGGGCCAATAAACAGGCACATAGCCAGCGTGTGTGTGTGTGTGTTATCTCACTCTCTGTCCCTGTGTGTGTGTCTGTCTCTTTCTCTCTGTCCCTGTGTGTCTTTGTGTATATGTCTCTCTCTCTGTCCCAGTGTGTGTGTGTGTGTGTGTCTTTCCGCCTATCATTGTGGTTTGTGTGTGCCTTTCTGTCTGTCTCTGTGTGTACATATGTGTGTCTTTCCATCTGTGTGTACGTGTGTGGGCGGGTTATCTCTCTCACCCTCCCTCTGCGTCTCTATGTCTTTCATTGCCTCTGACTCTTTCTGTGACCCTCTCTCCCTCTCCCTCCCTCCCTCTCTCGTTCTGCGTCTGCCGTTCTCACTGAGCAGGAGGCTGTAGATTAGAGATTGTCACAGCAAAGAGCAGCTCTCTGTGATTAAACTAATTATTCTGGGTCTGTTCGAAAGGGTTAAACAGAAAAATGGTGATTAGTGGGAGTGGGGGGCGCAGGTGGTGGGAGGAGTCCTGTGTTTGGTCACACAATCTGTTCAGAGAGATTTAAACCACCTCCCGCAGAGCGAGGGCTTTAATCTGCTTCTCTCGCCTGTGCAGCAACGCCCTCCCTGGCAGCCCCCTCCCCGGCAGATCCTCTCCCCCTCCTTGGGGGCACCAACGCTGTCACCCCCCACCCCTCCCTGTCCCCTGTGCCCCAAGAGGGAGGATCGCCTGTTTCAGGGACCGTTCCAACAATCACCTCACAGAACAGTGACATATCACCGTCAACCAGGCTCCAGTTCACACCCAACACTCAGTGTGTGTGTGTGTGTGTGTGTGGGGGGGGGGTGTCTGTGCATGTGGGCTTCTCTCTAGGTGTGCATTTGTTTGTCTCTATAAATGTGTGTATGTGTGTTTGTCTCTGTGTATGTGTCTCTCTGTTTTTGTGGGTTTCTCTATCTCCCTTTGTGTGTGTGTGTGTGTATTTGTATGCGTGTCTCTCTCTTTCGGTGTGTGTTTATCTCTCTCACTGTGTTTCTCTCTCGCTCTTTCTGTGTGTATTTTCTCTCTCTCTTTCAGTGTGTGTGTGTCTCTCTCTCTCTGTACATGTAGGTATCTGTGTGTGCGTGTGTGTGTGAGACTCTCTTTCCTCTGCAATTTTATACGTCCAATGAAATGAAATGCAGAGTCGCTCCCATCTACTGCCACCCAGAGGAGACATTGTCCCACGCACACAAAAGCCCTGAAAATCAGTCACTTACACTTGACAATAACAATAATAAACCTTGTATTTGATATAGCGCCTTATCACGTCTTCGAGACGTCTCAAAGCGCTTCACAAGATATACTGTAATATACTGATTTTCTCTCTCCTCTCTCTCTCAGGTCCTTTGGTGTGGTGCTGTGGGAGCTGTTGACGGGAGAAATTCCCTACAAGGACGTTGACTCGTCAGCCATTATCTGGGGCGTCGGGAGCAACAGCCTCCACCTCCCTGTGCCCTCCGGTTGTCCGGACGGATTCAAGCTCCTTCTCAAGCAGTGCTGGTGGGCTTTTGTTCCCTCCCCACTTTGACGTGATGTGTGTGTGTGTGTGTGTGTGTGTGTCGGCTCCACTGACTCCCCATTCCCCCAGAGGATCGAGTTCAGAATCCTTGTCCTCGCTTTCAAAGCCCTCCACGGCCTTCCTGCCTCTGTGACCTGCTAACCTGATACCAACTTTTCCGTTCCTTCCGCTCAGTCAGCTCCGGCCTCCTGCACGTGTCCCTTGGCACCTCCGCTCCACCATCGGCAGCCGTGCTTTCAGCCACTACACCACCGAGACTGTCCCTCCCTGCCTCTACCCCTCCACCTGCCCCTCCTCTCGTTGCCTGGCTTCAGATCGAACCAGGAGACTTTTCTCTTCGCCCTCTCCTATGGTCACCTCCCATCTCCTGCTCCGCCACTGATAAGCAGTCTGAGACACTACCCCATGTGAAGAGCGTTGTGTATTGCAAAGGCTGTGGGGAGGGAGAGTGTCATCGGGGAATTGCAGGCAACAGCCTAGAGGTAAAGTTTCCTTATTATTTATCAGGAACGGGAAACCCAGGAACCGTCCATCTTTCCGGCAGATCCTCCTCCACCTGGACATCGCGGCGGCTGACGTGCTGGGCACTCCCCAGGAGACTTACTTCCAGTCTCAGGTAACTGAGGGGCGGTGGAGGGGGGGTAATAATCCCTCCCCCCAAATAAATAAATAAATAAAATAATCATAATTTAGTCACTCAACCCATGGCTGTTTGTGGGGACGATGCTGTGTGCAATCGGCTGCCGCGTTTCGCCCACGAAACGTACAGTGAATTCACTTTGCAGTGTATCCCGCGAAGCGCAGTGAGACGTCTCGAAGACGCGATGAGGCGCTGTGTCAAACGCGAAGTTAATTATTATTATTACTAAACCCCTCTCATCTGGGTGAGCAGGTGGAGTGGCGGGAGGAGGTGAAGCAACATTTCGAGAAGATTAAGAGTGAGGGGACCTGCATTCACCGCCTGGACGAGGAACTGGTCAGACGACGGCGAGAGGAACTCAGGTGAGAACCTGCCGGGTGGGGGAGCGTATCTGGGGGATGAATGGACGGGGAGGGGGGAAATCTCCGGCCAGTATTCACCTCTCTCTCTCTTTCTCACTGGCTCGGGCACACAGGCACGCGCTGGATATCAGGGAACATTACGAGCGGAAACTGGAGCGAGCCAATAACCTGTACATGGAACTAAACTCGGTGATGCTACAGCTGGAGCTGAAGGAGAAGGAGCTGATCAGGTGAGGCTGACTGGATTGGGAGGGGGGGACAGGCTGGAGGGCGAATACGGCAGGGGAGAAGGGTCGAAAGGATTATTATTATTATTATAACTGCATCCCGCATTCCCTTCACCTCGCTCCCTCCCTTGGTCCTTCAAGGCACGAATCAAGACCCTTCTCTTCTACCGTGCCTTTGGCCATTCTCCTATCTCCAACCCCTACCGCCCTCCATCTCTCCTGATCTGAACCTCCCCTCCCCGACCCCCAGCTCAGGTCCAAACCCCTGATTGTCTAGCGCCTTGGGACGTCCTCCCGGCGTGAAAGGCGCTGTTAAATGTAACTGTAAACGCCGGCTGACCAGAATAAACAAGATGCTGACTGTGCTCCGACAGGCGGGAGCAAGCCCTGGACACCAGCTATCCTGGAATCTTCCGGCTACACCCGGTGCGGCCCCTGGTACACGCCAACTCCGTGGAGAAGCTGCTGAAGAAAAGGAACACGTCACACAAACCGCCCGCTCACAGCAAGAGGTCAGCAATAGATAGATAAGGCTTTGTATCGAACGCGAGGATTGATATTCTTAATGTTAGGATCACGGTCCCCTTGATTGTCCCGATAACCTGCCCGGAAATCCTCCAGATAAATTCAGACTTGGAGTCCTGTAGCGTATCGGTTAGCCTTGTAAGCGGGAGAATCCGGGTTCCCGGACAGGGCGAAACCTTAGGGGAGATACCTTACTCCACACACACACACACACGCCTCTGTTTACCCAGCAGTCACTTTACAGTGAACCCTGTGAAGCGCTTTCAGACGTCCCAACGACGTGATGAGGCGCTGTGTCAAATGCAAGGTTCCCGCTGTCAGAGTAAAGCCCAGAGCTCGGTGCCTGGCACGACGATTCCCCTTTGTTACTTTAATCTAATCGCTCACAATCCTTCTCCCTTATCCCTGCCCGTCTCTCCAGGCCTGACCTGCTGAGGTCCGAGGTCATCCTGCCGAAGCTAGACTCCGCCGTCACCCAGGTGACGATCCCGACCTGTCAAAAATCCTCGGCTTCTCCCGGCAAATCCCGGCACCGGGCGAAATCCCGGTACAGGAAGGTGACCAACAAGGGGAGCCACGGTGACCTGATGGGAGTGCCGAAGGTGGTGGTGGGGGCTGGCATGGTGGGTGCGGTCAGGGACTCTCTCTCCCCGCCGCTGCACAGCCCGGCCTGTAAAGACCTGGCCACTCCTTGCTCCCAGAACCTCCGCTACTTCGGGCCCACGGCAGCCCTCCGCAGCCTCCCCCACGACCTGCTCCAGAAAAAGCTCTCCTCCTCCAGCCCGGACCTGATCAGCAGCACCATGGAGGCCGACAGCCGCAAGAACAACAACCGGGGAGCAGGAGGTGACGCTAACTGTAACCAGCAACCGCCTGGCCCGACTAGCCAGGACCCGCCCTGCATCGCGCCAGGCTCCCCTCACCTCTCCAGCAGCCCCGACTCGCCCGTGGACAGGGGCAGGCTGCTGGGACGCTCGCACGGCTCACTGGCCCCGGTACAGAGACTGTACGAGGCCGGACAGGCTGAGCACGCGGCCGGGCAGAGCCATGGGGGGCAGGGGGCTGAGCGCAAGGCCTTGGACTGTGCCTCACAGGCCTGCACCGCGCCAGGCCTGCCTGGCCAACCGGCAACACTGGGCAAACAGGTAAATAACAGCCGCGGTAGCTGTGCCGACCGCACGAAGATCACGACGACACTTACGTTTAAGTGGTGCCCTTCGAGTCCGGAGAGCATCACACAGCGCTGGGGTGGTTGGGAGTGGGGGGAGCGGAGGGGTGGATAGGTTTCTGGGATTAAGAGTGTGGGTGGGGGTGGGGTGGGGGTGTTGGAGGTGTCCAGCATTGGGGTGTCCACGGGGAAGAGGGAGGAAAGGACTCAGTTCCCCCCCCACGAAATGCACAGCCACTACTACCCTTACGGTACATTCTGCGAAGCGCTTTGAGACGTCTCGAAGACGTGATAAGGCGCTGTGTGGGGAGGGGTGAGGGTGGCGGTGGGGGAGGTGGGAGCTGGGAAGAGTCCAGGCGCATGGAGGTGTCGGGAGGTTTATGTTTTCAGTAAAAGCTGATTTCTTCTCCGCAGAAAAGGGGAATTTCGTCAGAGGAGGAAGAGGGTGAGGTGGACAGTGAGGCCGAGTTTCCACGGAGACTGAGGTGAGAGGAGCGAGCGGGAAATAAGAGCGTTTAACGGAAAAACGAGTTCCCAGCCTTTGAGGCGTGGCACACAGCAAGGGAGTTCGCCCGACCCGCGCCCCTTGTCAGACGCCCCGGCTGACCATAAAATAATCTCGTTACAGGCGGAACCTGTGCTTCAGCACGTGTCAGTCCTTCTCCACCTTCAGCTCAGAGAATTTCTCGGTGTCGGACGGGGACGAGGGGAACACGAGCGACATGTCACACAGCTGCACCCCGGACGTGCTGAGCACCAACACCGACGAGAAGCTGGACGACCGCTCGGACGACGTGCTGTCGCAGAGCTCGGAGATCCCGGTCGACCTGCTCCTGCAGTCGGATGGGCTGTCGGAGAAGGAGGCAGCTCTGCAGCAGGTGAAGAACCAGGTGTCCTCGGGCAGGCTGGGCTCTCAGTATCCAGGCTGCGAGGTGGGTACAGACACCGGGCAAAGCTCCCGCAGGCGATTCCATATCCCCCACACCCCCACCCCGCGCTTTATACAGAGAGAGACCACCTTTATAACCTCCCCGTTTAATAACACGGTCACTGCACCTTACAATATATTCTGGGGCTGTTCGCGGGATGTCACCGTGTGCGATTCGGCTGATCTGTGCGCGCGTGTGCATGTTATAACATATAAATATTGCGGTCACTCACTCCACGACTGCTTGTGGGGATCCTGCTGTGCGGGCGCGCGTGCAATTGGCTGTAAAACGCTTTTGAGACGTCTCGATGACACGAGGTGCGCTATTAAATGCAAGGGTTATCAGGATTAATATCTCGGTTTGTTTGAAGATTCGAGACCCCCCCCCACCACCGGCAATTGTCTTCCTGCATGTAAACCGCCTGATCCTTCCTTTCTCCCCCCGCAGAGCTTATCGCACTGTGAAGACTCTGACTGCGACATCCCAGAGATGGAACGCTCCAGTACTCCCAACACAAGTCACAAGCCTCGGAGTTCATGCTCCTGGTAACTGTGACTCCTGGAGCCGGGCACCAGGCTGGACACACAGATGTACAATTCCTGTAAATACATGATTTGAAACTCTCCTCTCGCCCCCCCACTCCCCACCCACCACCCCCTTTGTGATACTGAGTGCAATAAAACAACCCTCACATGCTTCCAGTTCACCAACAACTGAACCCGAACCAAGGACACAACCTCCTTTGCCATGAAATTGCCTCAGTCTTGACTCTGAACTATTAACTACCCGCGTAAGACCGTGGAGAGCCCGGGCACACCCGAGGGCGAAGAGGATTCCACTTAACCCCATGTGGGGCCTGACCGTGACACGGGCTGGTTTTACAGACAACATACGCTGGGTTAAGCGGCGTGTGCACACGCGTGTGTTAAGAGTGCGAGCGAACGAACAAACGCCTGTGATCAAACATGGAACTGACAGTAGTCGGTGACAGGACTCCTGCTCTCACACCACAGTGAGACACAGCTGCTCTACATTAAACATTATTATTTCAGACAAACCGACTGGGATCGTGTGGCTTTCTAACCAGCGGAACCTGTGAACTGCCTGTCCCCCCCCCACCACCCCCCCGAGCAGAGGTTGCTACAGCATAGCACCCAGGAATATACAGAGAGGAGGGGAGCGAGGCGAACAGGGTACAAAGTGAGCAGTGAAGGTTAGTGCAGCCAGGGTTAGGAAACCGATCGGTGGAAACTTATCCAAGTGTTGCTCTCCCTGCAACTTGCCTGAGGAAGAGGAGTACAACTTCCACTTGAATAGCACCCTCCGTCCAGGGTCGCGTCTCGAGCGCTCGACACTAAAGTAGTAAAAGTAGTAACCTTTAGTAAAGCTTGGACTCTGCCACTCTCCTCACTGCCACCAACCACAAGCTCAAAGTGCAGTGCACAGGCAAGGGAGGAGTACAAAACCGCACCGTCCTCCCACACAAGAAGAAGATACCATTTATAGAGCGCCTTTCACGTCAGGAGGACGTCCCAAGGCGCTGTAACCGACCAAGGCTCCAGGTTCACCAAAGAACCCACTTCCTTCATCCTGGTCTTCATAATCTCCCCGCGCCCCCCACCTCCCATTTCTTCACCCATTCCCCTACTTCTACCCTCCAATCCTTTTAACTCCAGTTCACCACTCATTATCCCACCCACCAGCAATGGCCGAGTCTTCAGCCACTACATTGTGAGACCAAAAAAAAAAACCACTTGTATGGGTGAACAGCTTCAGTCCACGACCTTACTCTCTCCTCCCTTTCCTCAAACACTTCCCGAGCGTTGAGGCCTTCGGCACATTCAACAGGAGACCAGCTGTGGCGCAAGTCACTTACCTGGGCAGTTGGTGTGTGGTGGCTGCAGCCGTGGAGACGGCCTGGTTTGATCCTGAATGATTAATTAATAATTAAAAAAGCAGGAACACAAAAGAGGCAAAAATAAAGACTCCGGTGGCGAAAACTCCAGTTCTGATGTTTTGTTTTTATTAGAAAAAAAATTGACATTACAGAGTTTGTCATCACTGCTGTATCTCTGTGCCACACTCAGCTTACATGTTTCTCTATTTTTTTTTAAACACTGGATGCAAATCAGAACAGAAAAAAAAGCCCAAAAAAGTTGTACAATAAAATAGAGAGAGAAAGAGATAAGATAGATATAGGGCGTAGGGGAGAGAGGGGGAGGGGAAGAGAGCGAGAGAGGTGGGGAATGGATTTGGATGGGGCAGAGACGGGGGGGGGAAGGATGGGACGGTGGGGTTGTGGGGAAGGGGGGACAGGGAGGAACTGGGTGTTTAAAAGAAAAAAAAATACAAATTTAGGTGGGCGATACAAAGGAATACGAGACGTAATCAATCAAACATCCAGAATAAAATAATTTGCTTTTTTTTTTAAACTTTACTGGGGTGGGGGGTGGTGGGGAGGGTGGGGGGGGGGGAAGAGGCGGCGACGGAGGATAGAAAAAATGTACAAACTGGAACAGTTGTGTGAAGTGCTCATGAAATACACAGTAGAATCATGGGGAAAGAGCTGGTGGGGGTGATGGGTACATTTTATTGGTTCCCCATTCCAGAGGCTTCAGAGGATAACCTAGAATACAGAGAATCGAGGAAAAGAGCAGTGTCTTAACACGTTCTGTAATACAGCAAAGCAGCCATGCTAAACGTGCGCTCCACTAAACACAGTCAATACACTGTTAGGCACAGGCTACAGACACGATCCACAGGCTGAACGGCAGAGAGGGGGCGTTATCAGACGGAGCTGAGCGCGCTCCGCAGGGTTTGGCGGCACTGGTGGACGGACTCGGGTGAGGGTGTGCGGGGCCCTGACCTCCTCTACCGCGCTCCCGAGCCTGGCTGAACAGGCTCGAGGGGCTGAATGGCCTCCTGTTCCTATCTCCCCCCCCCCCTCCCCCCCCACCTGCAGTGTTACCGGCTGAGTGCAGAGGATGCCCTGTGCTGGGTGTATAGACTGGCTCAGTGTGGGGAGAGCTTTGGAGCCGGGTGTAGAATAATCCTTGCATTTGATATAGCGCCTTATCATGCCTTCCGGCTGCCTCAACACAAGGACAGCCCTACCCTGGGTGTATAAACTGGCTCAGTGGTGGGAGAGCAGCCCTGACTGTGTATAGACTGTATGTACTCTGTATACACTCTGGATGTATAGCACATGCAGGGCCCTGCCTGGGTATAGAGACCGGTTCAGTGTGGTGGATGTCGTATGGTGTATGCACTACAGCTGAAGGGGAAACAGCACCGTCCACACAGAAAGCCGACCTAACGAGCACGAGTGCAGCCGAAGCCCCTTCAGATAAACCTCCTCTACTGTCGTTCACAGCAAGAAATCTCCAGCTCCTACACACTGTACAAGCTGCTCAGCCTGATCAGAGGGAAGGGGGGGGGCACGAAAGCACAACTCCCCCTCACTAAACAGAGGCCTGCCCCCACTTCCCAACAACCCAGGTAGGCTGCAAGGTCTCTTGTTTAGCGGGCGAGAGAGGTTGGGGGAAGGAAGGGGCGAGGAGACCATTCGAGGTTTTACACTCAATTTGGGATCAGTTTCCGGTTTGAAACAGAACCAGATCAACTCCCAGAAATTCCCAGGCTTCGAGGCGTCACGTCCGACCGCATTAACAGTGGCGAGGGGTTTAATACAATAACGGACGCTTACACCCGGCCTGCAGCGTGGGGTTACCTTGGGAAAGTACTGAACGAGCTTTTAAAATTCGGCAGCTGAAATTGGCCTGGGGGGGTGGGGGGGTTGGGGGGCAGGGGGCCGGATGTGGCCCGCGGGCCGCCATTTGGACCACCCCGGCCAGGGCAACGCTAATTCATTGAATTGATTTAACAGTCGGGAATGGAGGGCTGCTGGGTCGGTCAGAAACTTTTTGCCGTTCGTTGTGGTCTTAATGTCTTCCCAAGGTATCGCCCTCACCGCCGGCCAGGATTGAAGTCCGCAAATAAAATCTCTCTTCCACCCACCCACCCACCGACCCCCCCACCCCCTCCCACAACTCTCTCCCATCCCCGATGAGGCTTGAGCACTTGTCAGCAGCTAATTAAACACATTAATGTAACATCGCTAATCCCTCTGCTAGCAGTCAACAGCCCCGACACAAAAAAAACTGCCTGTCTGTCCAAAAAATCGCTCACACAAAAAAGCATACATTTTCTTTCAAAAACAGTAAATCCTGGCTTCACATCAGATTCTAAAACGTTTAAATGCAACGTCTCCTGTAAATAGCAGAAAGCGGTTTCTCTTTTTTTTTTTCTCTTTTGTTAATGAAAAAAAATTAAATGTAATCCACATTTTTTTTTTTTCTCTCTCTCTCTCCTACGACTACTACTAATAATAATGAAAAGAAAAAGAAAAAATAATAAGCTCTACAGAAGCATCATTGGTCATTATATTTCTCAGCTGGTTTTCCTTGTGGGCAGAGCGAGAGAGAGAGAAAAAGAGAGAGAGAGAGAGAGAGAGAGAGAGCTCGCTGTATAAACGCAGAGCTTTTCAGTAAGGAGAGAACCGCAGGTTTTCTGATTTCTTTGCCAGATTGTTAGACACGTTTCCCGAGGAGCCCTTAGAAGCCACGACATTAAGAGCCAGTAGCGGGACGGGTTTCATGCTAAGCAGACTGGAGACATAAGGGGTAGTCGGTAGAGGGGCAGGGAGGCTGCTGGGCAAGTCGGACGTTGCCTCAGCCAGCTCAGCAGTCGTGGAAGGGGTAGAGGTGGGGGTGGTGGGTTGAGAGAGGTTCATGTTGAGATCAGGGGCCGTGACTGAGGCTTTCTGGATGATGGATTTAGCACTTTCTAAACTGTAACAGAGAGGAAGAGGAACAAACGGGTGGGTAGGGAAAGTACGGAAGGCAAGATAGGACAAACAGGTTCACATTAGATACAACCAGGTAAACAGTTAAGGTGAGGGGAATATCAGGAAAAGCGAGAGGGTGTGTTATGTGTTAAAGAGGAAGAACATTTTGTGGGGCGGGGGGGGGGGGGGCATCCCGTGAATCAATGAGTCTCACACCACTCCACTACAGTTAGGCCACAGCGTAAATCCTGTTATTGGGAGTCAAGCGAAGAAACGTACACTCGCACGCACTCGCTCTCACTCGCTCACTCACGCACAGTCAGGCTCCACGTCACCGCAGCTTCGGGGAGGGGGGAAAGGGAATTGGGGGGGGGGGAAAGAGGACTATACCCAGCTCCTCCTGCAACCAGAATTCAACAAGCAACAGTCCCCGCACTCGTCTCTCTCCCCCCCACCTGGCTATACCGTCAACACCTACATGATAACAATCTTAGTTACAGATACTACAGCAAAACAGAAGCCGCTCGGCCCATCAGAACTGTGCTTATTCTTCACCCCCGGACCACAGCACTGGGACTCTCTACTCTAATCCCATTCCCCTGCTCTCTCTCTCTCTCTCTCTCTCCCCATCCATATTGAGAACCCGAAACAGGGCTGGAAACGTGACCGACTCACATCGCCCGTCTCCCCGAGTCAACATCGACACCATGTCCTTCACCCAAACCCTCAGCCCAGCTGCTCCTCCCCACCCCGGGATTCGGAAAGGTAATAAGCTTCCCATTTGATATCACGCCTTATTTGCTCAGCGCAGTGAACTCCTGATAACCCGTCGCTCCGAGGGGAAAAGGGGGCTCAGTGGCGAGTTATCAGGAGTGGTGCATTAGGCAACCACACGGATAAATACACAAATAAACATGGCCGGGTTATTGACAGCTTAAGTTGTAGTTAAGGGTCGAATTATCAGAAGCTCCCTGTAGTACTGAGAAGCCTCCCCCGCGCTCTCATCACCTCTCCCCCCCCCCCGCCCCCCACCATAATGGACGTCCTGCACAAGGGCTGCCCTGTGACTGTGCTGTGTTGAATTCTCGTTCGTGGCAGGAGGTTGTGACTACTGCAGTCTCTAGCTGACGCTGGGGCGGGTGGGTTGGGGGTTGGGGGTGGGAGGGTGGGGGGAGAGGAGGGGGAAGGGCTTACCTTGCATTGATGAGGTACTGAGCCAGACTAATGTTGGCAGGGGACCCGGTGATGGTGATCTGACGGTCACTCGATCCCTCCGTGGGGTTGGAGATTTTGATCTGTGCCCCTGACATCTGCCGGATTTCATTGATTTTGCTGCCCTGACGTCCAATGATGCATCCAATCAACTGGAAAGACATGGGATTGGGAAGGAGGGAGATGAAAGGGTTAATGTTGCACATGCCACCCCCCCACTATAACAACAGTACATCACATTTACACACGTCGGGAGGACACCCCAAGGCGCTGGACAGTCAGGGATTTTGACTCGAGCTGGGGGTTGGGATCAGGAGTGGGGGGAGGGCAGGGATAGGAGGGTGGGCCAATGTGCGGTCAAAGAGGGGGGGTCTTGAGACGAGCCTTGAAGGAGGCAAGGGAGGGAGGGAGTGAGGTGAAGGGACCGTGGGATGAAGTTCCAGAGGGTAAAGTGATGAAGGTGAAGTGGGGGGAAATCATTTTCACTCGTCAGGACATCAATTTAACGTCACCAAAACAATACTAAAGGAAAAGTTAGGGGAATAATTTTATGTGCAGACACACACAGCCACCAACCACACTCACACACACAGACAACCCCCCCAACCACATTCCCTCTGCCAAACACCACACAAACACACCAAACACATTACACACACAAGGAAGCCAGGGCAATAACAGGCCTTTTAGAAGAACTTGCGTTAAAACACTTACATCATTTGGAATGGCAATTTCATGGGAGCTGGTTTGGGAGGAGTCCAGGCCTGCACAGAGAGAGGAAGGAAGCCATCTTTAATATTCACTGAGACCCTCGACCAGGATAATATTTCCTATTAGAAGAGGGGACGCCAAAGACGTACGTCGTTTCTGTACTGACCTGAGAAGCCGGGGCTGGTCTGCCCCACGGGATTGAAGGGAGTCTGCTGCATGGCCAGCTGGTGCAGCTTAGTTAACTGTGGAAATAAGAGGACATCACGTCAGTCAAAGTTGTCTCCAGCCACACACAGGATCATGAACAGAGAGCAGATACCCACACCTAATAGCGGGAAAGGAGGAGGCGGGGAAGGGAGGTGGGAGAGGAGGGGGTTGGTTTTTTTTTTGTGGGGGGTGGGTGGCGGTGGTGGTGTCGGTAACACAGGTATCCAAATAATACAGGTCGAGTTTTCAGGTCTGAAAAGAGGTGAGATATAGAGAATGAGCCTGTGCGCTGTGAGTGTAGTGCGTGGGTGTGTGTGCGCGCGCTCAATATCCAAGCTTTCGCTTCAACTTCAAATCCTCTGTGTGTGTGTTTTGACTTGAAATCACCGACAGAAAATATTCTCTCGCTTCTCGCCTCGAGAACGGATGGGGGGGGGGGGGGGGAATGGGGCTAAAGAGAACATGTCTCTCATGTTAACACTGTGGGGGCTGACACGATACATTTTTGGTTGGGTGGCTTTTTTTTGTGTGGGGAGAGGAGATGCTACCAACACTGCTCAGCTGCTGCCGGTGGTGGTGGTGGGGGGGGGGGGGCGATGCGGGGAGGAGGAAGGGTGGGTGGGGGGGGGGGGGGGGGGAGGCAGATGGTCGCATTAACGCCTACTCTAACTGGGCTTTTTTTGAGTTTAAAGAAATATGTATTTCTTTTTCTAAAAAAAATATTATTTTAAAAAGTTAACGGTTACAAAAAAATGTTTTACACAAAAAAAATGAGAACTCACATCGGGATGTGGAATGGCAAACTGCCCCTGAAGCGAATAAGCCTACAGAATCGAAACACAAAAAAAAAGGAGCTGTGAATATCGATAGCGAAATTAACTGGCGTTCTCTCTCTGCCTTGATTCAAGTTTACATGCACTGATTTAAACGCACACCAGTAGGGCTCTCTCTCCTTTGTGGGCTGGTTAGAAATAATAAACCATAATAATAATAATTCTTGCACTTGATAGAACGCCTGAACACGTCGTTGAGACGTCTCAAAGCGCTTCACAGAATACACTGCAAAGTGTAGTGACTGTGTATTTTTGCGGGGTGAAAAGGAATCATTCGTCAGTTGCTCAAATCATTGTAGTGGTGGTTTAAAACAGAGAGAACACACACACCCCCCTCCGCCCCTCCCACACACAGCGAATAAAGAGGCTGAGACATTACCTGACCGCCAGCGAAGATGACTGGAGCGGACACAGGCTTAGGCCGATAAGGGACAGTTATGCCTTTGGGAGGAGACTGTATTTTTTTTTAAACCATAAAAAATAGAGAGAGAATGCACAATTAACAGTCACATTGGCAACAGCCTGGTCAAACACAAGTGCCTAACAAAGAAGATAGGAAGCACGAAGAAGTGACAAGCAGTGATGGCTCCTGTAGAGGGGGAAATACAGTGGGTGTCTCTCTCTCTCTCTATCTATCAACAGCGTAGAGATCATTCCCTCCCTCCTCCTACGAGCAGGTCACCCTCAATCCCACCCTTCCTCCGTCCCACACTGACTGAGCCCAAGGGACAATGCTTCTTTTCCGCCAGTTGACAGACCAGATTGTACTCTGTACTCTATTCTGCCCCACTCCCTCCCTCCCACCCACCCACCCACCCCGGCAGTTGGTTCCCTCTCACAGAGTCTCCCTACCAGAGTCCCAGGATTCCAGCCTCCCCGCCAGGGTAGTCTGAGGACAAACTGTAAGGTCAAGGAGCCATTTTATCTGATGGTTTAGATACTGGGAAGCCGGGTGTCCGACACACGCAGAAACCCTTCACTGTGTCTCCAAACCAAGCTGAAATTTCCATGCATCCCACCTTCATGTGGAAATTCCAGATAGATTGTTGGAATGGAATGCGCTCCCTCTCTCTCACCTGAAGGACACACCCTGCTTACCTAATCCTGGAGAGTATTAGGCGCAGTTTGGCAAGAGCCAAGCTTTGGGGGAAACTCAAAGGCAGGTCATGGGAGAAAGAGGCTCAAGGCTCATAATAATAAATAATAATTGCATTTGATATAGCGTTTTTCACGTCTTCTCGACGTCTCAAAAGCGCTTCACAGAATAGACTGTAAAGTGAATTGACCGTATATTTGTGGGCGAAACCCGGCAGCCAATTGCGCACAGCAGCGTCCCACGAACAGCCGTGGATTGAAAATGACAATTTATTATTGTTTTTGTTTTGGAGGGATGATTATTAGGTGTGGGGAGTAAGGAAACTTGCCCAAGGTTTCGACCTCCCTGGAATTGAACCCAGGTGTCTCGCTTGCAAGGCGAGTGCTCTAACCACTGAGCTACAAGACTCCAGGCTCATTGCTCTGGAGCACACTGTACGGGTCACAGTCAGCCCATTGGGAATAAATCATTTGGCCATTAGCAAAGGTGCAGTTTATATTAAAGAAACATCTATTTGGCGCTAACACTGTTGAACACGTGCTTTTAAGGAGCAAAAATATAAAGATTTAACAGCAATATCTACTCATGCAATAATATTAATCAGCAAGAGTATTTTAACAGTAAAATTAATAAGAAAATATGTATTTTAACAGTAAAATTAATAAGAAAATATGTATTTTAACAGTAAAATTAAGAAGAAAGTATTTTAAAATTGTAATAACCAAACAACAAAAATACTGAACTTTAAAATTGAGCGGGTAAACTATTTTAACAGTTAAAAGTTAACCAACAAAGCATTTAACATTAAAATGAAGCAAAAACTACTTTTTTTTAAAAAAAAACAGTAAAATTAATAAGAAAATACACTAAAACAGTTTTAAAAAATGAAAGCAGCAAAAATCATTCAACTTTAAAATTAAATCGGTAAAGTAAAAACATGAAATTTAACAGCGAGAAACATTTAACGTTAAAACTAACGGGAAAGGATAGAACCGTAAAATTATCTGTTACACATTTTAAAGAATATCCATATATTATTTTAAATTAAGATTTGAATTAAAAGCGTATAACAGTGCATGCTTGAGAGAAGGTTGAAAAGCCCAGACTCGGTGCCAGACCTCGTGTTGATCTACCTCAAGCATCACCACACAGATCTGTTTGGCACACTCGATGATGGAGACGGGAGTGCCAGCGATGGTGATGGCACGCTCGGTAGAGTTAGGCAGCATATCCCCAGCCACCTGCACCTGAGCCCCAGTGGACTGTCAAACACACAGAAAACAAGGCCGTTAAGTCAACCTCCTGAATGCACGCGCGCATCACCTCCTCCCGTCGACACGCGCGCTCACTCACTCCATCCCCGCGCACTCACTCCCCACGCACACACACCACACTCGCGCGCGCTCTCTCTCCCCACCACCACGCATACTCACTCTTACTCCAAGCGTGCGCGCACACACACTCGCTCACTTTCGCACGCACACTCGCTCACTCTCGCACGCACACTCGCTCACTCTCGCACGCACACTCGCTCACTCTCGCTCACTTTCGCACACACACGCTCGCTCACTCTCGCACACACACACAGCGCACATTCTCCCGATGTATACAGTATATGCACATAAATACTCCCAACTGCCCCCACCCCCCACATCTATGCATTGCCTCCCGCCCACACACATTCCATGTGTACATTCTGTGCAAATCTACGCAAGCTGCTTCTGAAACGAGTCCCAGTCTCGCCCCCTCAACAACCCTCTCCGGGAACCCTCCCCAGCCATCGATCACCGTCCCTATACAAACACGTCTGCCCTAAAAACACCTTAGTCTCCTCATGTCCTACTGGTTGGAATGCCTGCGAGTGTTGCTCCTGTGTAGTCTACCCCATGTGGTATCTACACACCTCTATCTCCAGGACATCTCTTTGCAGAGCTGAAGATTACTTACTGAGACAGTTCCACATAGCCCAGCCTCACAAAAAAAGCTTCTGTACATAAAAATAGCACCACAGGTCCGTTTGCAAAGCATTATTTAAGGCTTTTTTGCGGGTGTAGAAAAAGAGAGCATATAAAATAAACACAAAACAGTTTGATATTTTTAACCCATTGCATACAGAGAGAGGGAATTATAGAATCTTACAGCACAGGAGGCCATTCATTGAAATAGTTACCCGACTAGTCCCACTCCCCCGCTCTTACCCCATAGCGCTGCAAATTGCCACACAGTGAATGTTTATTCCCACCGCAAAACAATTAAACGTTCAGGGTTTTAGAATGTCTTGAGAATATCACTTCTCATCTCTTTTCTCCCTCCACCCCTCGAAGCTTAATTCAGTCCCACCCTGAAGGCTACCCCATTGCTCGCCCTTACCTCACGGATCTCCTTGATCTTACAGCCTCCCTTGCCAATCAGTGAGCCGCACTGGCTGGCAGGGATAACAATACGCAGAGTCACAGGGGGCTGGCTGGTGGCGGTGCTGTTCGCCATTGAACTGTTGATATCCTAGGAGGCACAATGGGATTGGGAAGAAGATCTGGTGAAAACCAACGGCCACGATCTAAAGAGGGGCTGGATTGTCTGTTGGAAATACTTCCAAGCCTTGTATCTGAATAGGTATCTTAACATTGAAACAACCAACGGATCTCCATGTAATTATTGTTAAGCGTTTACTTGCGGATGCAACAGCGGCAGCCATTTTACACTCAGCAGAGTCCCACACAAATAGCCGTGAAGTGAATGGCCAATTTAAGTGGAGACTGCTGCCCAGGCTACCGTACAATCCTACAACACAGAAGGAGGCCATTCGGCCCATCGTGCCTGCTCTTTGAAAGAGCTACCAACTAGTCCCACTCCCGCGCTCTTACCCCATAGCCGTGCGATTTGCTTTTCCTTTTCAAGTAAATATCCAATTCCCTTTTCAAAGTTATTATTGAATCTGCTTCCACCACCACCACCCTTTCACCAACTCGGGGAAACACCCTTCTCTTTTCCGACGCGGTCACAGGATTATTTTTTTTTGGAACGCTTTTGACTGATCAGTTATTCGAGTGGGCTGGAGCAGCTTACTGAATGGTGTGTTACAATGGTATGTGGGGCTTGTTCACTCGAGCAAATAAGGTCAACGAAAGGAAACCAGTAATGAATACCTCTTCCAGTTTATGGGTGATCATAGCAAATGCCTTGAAAATAGCATTGGTGGGTCCAGAGAGTGTGACAATACGCTCGGGGCAATTTCCCTCAGAGATGTTGATGCGAGCACCACTCTGCAGAGAGAGAGAGAGAGAGAGAAGGGGGGGAGGGCGTAAAGAGAGATAAAGAGAAAAAAAACGGGAGAGAAGGGGGAAAAAAACGGTTAGTGTGCCTCCTGGCTTCCTTCAAGACATATCTCAAGCCGTTCCTCTTCGACCGCGCTTTCAGTCAACCTCCTACCCCCTCTCTCCCTCCCTCCCTGCCCTCCACCCCCTCCTGTTCACAACCCCCAGCTCGGGTACAAATCCCTGACTGCCCAGCACCTTGGCACATCCTCCCGACGTGTAAAGGCGCCGTGTAAATGTAATTTGTCGTTAGCTCTATACTTGGGAGGAATCAGATTGAAATGGCTGAACCCAACTTACCTCCTCACGCATTTTCTTCACAGTCTCTCCTTTCTGGGGAAAGAAATGAGACAGGTAGTGGCAAGAGAATACACTGGTGTAAAAGCCCGAGTCAATAATAACAACAACACTGAAATAAATGACCAACCTTGCCAATGATGCTTCCAACTTCCTGCAATGAGAACACAGACAAAATAAGTTCAGAGCTAGCAGAGACTCATATCCTCGCTCCTCCCCTCCCCCTCACAGCTTTTCTCCTTGAGGCTTGCAACCATGTCCCTCTTTCCCCCAACCATTTGTTAGATCCTTCCCTAAGAGGCCAATAGGTCTGTACTCCGGCTATTGAATCCTGTTCCGACTGGTGAGGGTTGCCAGGATATTTGAACTCACTCTAATCACGTGCCCATGGTTTAAGACTCATCTCTTTGAATGTGCTTTCTATGACCTCCTCTGAGCTTCTGAAGCCCTTTTCCTTCCAAAACGCTCTCTCCGTCTGTCTCTCTCTCTCCCGCGCTGAGGTCAGGGAGGATGGTACCTTTCCATGCATCAGCAGACGCAGGGTAAGAGTGACATTCAGGCCGCCTTCAACAACACCGGTGTCCATGGCAAATCGCTGGCTGGAGTCGATGAAATGTCAAGAATCAAATGCCTTTGGTCACAAAGAGGAGCCTGAAAAACACACAGGTCTGTGATTATTTACCCCCAAACAAACAGCTTCCACCTCAAACACCCAGCGAGCCGCACAAGCAAATACCTCTGGGGGAGGGGAGGGAAGTGCTCCTTCTGGAATGCCTTGTTGGAGCTGGGGACAAAGGACAAAGCCTGCCCCCAACATTTTAGGGGGTTGGCATTGACTACATGGTCCCTTCAATCTTCCCACATCTCAGTAGAGATGAGCCCCACCCCCCCACCCTTCACCATTCAGCTGCCCTTGAATCCAGCAGCACGTCTGCCAAGGAATTATCTGGGGAACATTTTATCTTTTAATAGAAGTCTGTCACTCAGCTAAAAAAAAAGCAACGCCTGGAAACGGATGAATTAACTTCAACGTCAAAGAGATGGAATTAATAATCCTAAAGGATTAATGCAAGGAATTGCACCAGTTATTTGGACCTTGCTTTCCAAAAGCTTCCTTCTATTAGATTATGACTGATCTGTACCTCAACTCCAATTGTCTTTCAATTGGGGGGGGGGGGGGGAGAGGAGAGAAGAGGGGAAAGATGGGCTCACAATCCTACCCTCCCCAGTGGATGGGCTTTCACCCATTCTTCCCCCCACTTACTTTTTGCCTCTGAACACTAACCGTGTAGCACAAGATGTCAGCTGCTTGAACAGTTCAGGTGTTCACTTGGCTGTAGATGAGTGAGGAACTGCAAAACAAAACCACACAAAACAATCAGTCAGGGGGGGGGGGGGGCTACAATTATACATAGGAGCAGGAGCAGGCCATTCAGCCCCTCAAACCTGTTCCGCCATTCTATTAGATCATGGCTGATCTCTACCTTTCCGCCCCTTGCAGGAGGATGGAGCAATCAAAAAAGAAAAAAACCTCTCAAACCGCACACGTGCACATTTAAAAAAAAACTAATTTAAACCCCAAATCTGCGAAAAAAATCCCCAAACCCAGGTTTCACAGGCAAATAACCCGGTGCAATAACTAGTTACTGGGAAGCGGGAAGAGTCGCCACTTAAATATTAAACAAAATATATATATATTAAAAAATTAAAACTAAATTAAAAAATAGAGTTTTTTGGTAAATAACCGCCTCCCCCATCACAGTCTACAGGACACGCAATTCACGGGCAAATAAACCTGGTGATCTAGTTCCGGGGGAGAGAGAAACAGTCACCACATGAATATTTAAAAATACTGTAATATAGTTTATATATATATAACTTTACTTAAATACTAATTATAGAATCATACAACGCAGAAGGAGGCCATTCGGACCACCGTGTCTGTGCCGGTTCTTTGAAAAGTGCTACCCAAATCAACCCCACTCCCCGCACCCCCCCCCCCCCACCCCGCAGCCCCGCAGCCTTGTCCATCCACCCCAAACATCTATCAACTTCTCTCTTGGAAAGTTGTTACCGAATCGGCTCCCACCGGCCCTTTCGGGCATTTACATAGAAAATAAAAAAAGATTTGTTTCTTTCAAAAAAATAAACAGAACAACAACTGCCCCCGGGGGTGGGGAAGGGGGGGGGGGGGGGTGTAGAGAGAGAAAAAGAAGATGGAAACAGCCCAACCGACCCAAATGATGTGTTTTCTATACATATATAATAATAAAATTAAACATACATAGCGAGAGATCCAAAATAAATTACTTTTAAAAAAACAAATAAAAAAAAGCCCCCCCAAAATCTACATTTTTGTTAGAAATAATTCTCTCAACAAAAATCACCCCCTCCCCTCTCTGAACCCCGTCTCTCTCCCCCACACCCCCCCTCATCGCCCCCCCCCCCACTCATCCAACAATACATTTAAAATTAATGATACGTGTTTTTATATCTCTCTCTATATATATAGACAACACACACACAAATACAAATAAAAAAAACGCAGCAACAGGTGGGGCTCTGGACACGTGTGAGGTGAGGCCTCTGTGTGTGTGTGTGTGTGTGTGAGAGAGAGAGAGGAAGAGAAAATAAAATAAATATAAATATATATATATATATAGATAAATATAAATAAACTGCGTGTGTGTGTGTGGGGAGAGAGAGAGGAGAGAGAGAGACATCAGAATAAAAAACAATTTATCTTTCTCTCTCTTGTGTGTGTGTGTGTGTGTGTGTGTGTGTCCCCCCACCACCACCACCAAAAAAAAACAAGACGAGGCTCTCTCTCTCTCTCTCTACACACAGTGTGTGGGGGGGAAGCGAGAGAAAGCCCCCAACAAGACACCCACAGGGCTGAGGTACCCCCCCCACACACACACACCACCACCCCCCCCCCACCCCTCTCCTCCCCGGGCGGGTTTAACTCCCACCCCCAGGCTTCGAGGCCTCCCCCACACCCCGCGTGACTGGAGGCCGGCGCCGCGGGCGGGTAAGCGGGCGGCCTAAGGGGGGGGGGGGGGGGGAAAGCGCGCCGTTCACCCTCCCACTCAACCCCGACCGCCCCGCGCGCACTCCCGACCACCCGCACCCCTACCCCCGGGCAGCTGGGAAATCGAGGGCCGAGGCTTGTGCGCGGGGACTAGGCCGCGCGGGGGGCCCGAGAGGCCGCGGTGGGGGGAGAAGGACGGGGCCGCGGCGCTTACCTGTGAGGCTGTGAGGGCGGGACGGGCGGGGGAGGGGGAGGGGGGGGAAAGGAAAGGCGGGGAGGGGGGGGCCGGGGCCGGGGAGCCGGGGTGCGGGCGGGCGGGCGGGCGGGTGGGTAGGAGTTGGGAGACGGGAGAGGCGGGAGAGTGATGGCGGCGGCACAGAAACAAAGAGGCAGAGGCTGACCCCTGACCCCAGGCCAACCCTGACCCGCCTGCGCGCGCAGCCGCCCCGTTACACCCCCTCCCACCCCCCACCATTACAGTCCCCCCCCACCACCATTACAGTATCTCCCACCCACACCCACTGTTACAGTCCCCACCACCACCATTACAGTATCTCACACCCACTATTACAGTCCCCCCCCACCCCCCACCATTACAGTCCCCCCACACCCACCATTACAGTCCTCCCCACCCCCCACCATTACAGTCCCCCGCCACCACCATTACAATACACCCACCGTTACATCCCCCACCACCATTACAGTCCCCCCCCCCCCCCATTACAGTCCCCCCCACCCACCATTACAGTCCCACCCCCACCCACCATTACAGTCCCCCCACCACCATTACAGTCCCCCGCCACCACCATTACAATACACACCCACCGTTACATTCCCCCCCCCACCATTACAGTCCCCCCCCACCATTACAGTCCCCCCCACCCACCATTACAGTCTCCCCCACCCCCCATTACAGTCCCCCCCACCCCCCCCTCACCATTACAGTCCCCCCCACCCCCCACCACCATTACAATACACACCCACCATTACAGTCCCCCACCACCATTACAGTACCTCCCACACACCCACTGTTACAGTCCAACCCCCCCCCACCGTTACAGTCCCCCCCACCCACCGTTACAGTATCTTCCACCCACACCGTTACAGTCCAACCCCCCCACCCACCGTTACAATACCCCGCCCCACCGTGACAGTCCCCCACTGCACCCCGCTGTCTCCATTACAATCCCACCCCCCCACTGTTACAATGCCCCACCACGCCACGCTGTCTCTTACAATCCCCCCCCACCATTACAGTCCCCCCCACCCACTGTTACAATTCCCACCGCGCCCCACTGCCTCCATTACAACACCCCCCCCACCATTTACATTCCCACTGTGCCCCGCTGTCACCATTACAATCCCCATTGCACTATTACTGCCACCATTACAAGCCCCATTACACTATTATTGCCTCCTTTACATTCCCCATTTATATAACACCCCTCATGCAAGGTAATGCCCCCGAGCCATTGGTGGTGGTTGTTGTTAAACCCACAATCATCATTACACAGTCACCAATATTCACTATTACACTGTACCAAACTTGTAATGTTAGCTTCCTTTTGGGGTCAGCGACACGCGGTTGACCTCAGCGTGCCTGGGCTGGGGGGCAGGAGGATTCCGCCGTAACGTGAGTCTTGCGTTGTCTTTATCCTTTCGCCCGTGCTCCGAGAAGTCGGGAATAATAATAATCCTTACGTTTGATACAGACGGCGCCTTTCGCCTTCGTTGAGTCGCTTCACAGGAGGTGTAGTGACTGTGTATGTTAAAGAGCGTGTGCAGGGAAGGCAAGGAGGGTGGGGGAGGAGGAATGGAAGTAAAAGATCAGTTCACGGACCAATGGTCTGCCGGGGGGCAGTGGTCAAGGCAGGTTCCATGTTGGCTTTCGAGAGGAAGCCGTGTAAATTGAGTCATTTAATAGGGGTTGTGGGGGGGGGGGGGGGGGCAGGTAAATGGGACTGAATGGATTGGTCACTCAGAGAGACCGACACAATGGGCCAAATAACCCTTCTTCTGTGTTGTTAATCTCTCTGATGAACGGGGTGGAACTGGCTGGATGGGCTGGATGGCCTCCTGCCCCTGAAACCAGGCTCTCTGTCTCCGCCCAGTGGCCGCTGCTGGGGTAAACGCAACCTGGCTGGAGAATCAGACCCCCGCCCGCCCCCCCCACCCCATCGGATGTAGGACGGTGAGACCGACAACAACAACAACGCCAACACAACAACAACACCAAGGCTACGTTTGTAAACCGCCTCTCACGTCGGGAGGACGTCCCAAGGCGCTGGACAGTCAGTGTTTCGGACACACAGTGAGACACGCACACGCACACAGTGAGACACACGCACACAGTGAGACACACGCACACACTGAGACACACACACAGTGAGACACACGCACACTGAGACACACACAGACTGAGACACACGCGCACAGTGAGACACACACAGTGAGACACACGCACACAGTGAGACACACGCACACACTGAGACACACGCACACTGAGACACACACAGTGAGACACACGCACACAGTGAGACACACGCACACTGAGACACACACAGTGAGACACACGCGCACACAGTGAGACACACACACACAGTGAGACACACGCACACAGTGAGACACACGCACACAGTGAGACACGCACACTGAGACACACACAGTGAGACACACGCGCACACAGTGAGACACACGCGCACACACTGAGACACACACACAGTGAGACACACGCACACTGAGACACACACACACACAGTGAGACATATACACAGACACAGTGAGACGTATACGCACAGAGACACACGTACGCACACCGTGAGACACACACACAGACCCAGTGAGACATATACGCACACGTACACACACAGTGAGACATATACACACATACAGAGACACAGTGAGACACACACACACACGCACCTCGACATACACAAACAGAGGCACACACACACAGACAGTGAGACATATGCACACACACACACTAGAGGCATACACACAGTGTATGTAATAGATATACATACACACAGTGAGAGCCCAGGCCAGAGTTGAAGCTCATTTTATTAAAGCAATTATATTTATGCACTTAAGAGATCACTGTTATCATTGACACTGTATTTGCAAACCTGATTGGTATTTAATGCGCAATCCGAAAATAAATATAAAAAGGATTGTCCGGGTGGATTGTCCTCTTCATTCCTGAGCCCAAAACATCACAGTTTCCATTCCGGGTAGAATGTGGGGAGAGAGATGGTTAGGGGACAGATAGACGGGGAGTCAGGATTGGGGTATGTGGTCAAGGGGGGAACGGTGGGAAAGACGGTCAGTGTGTTGGAAAGAGAGGCTGTTAACGTGGGGGAAGGTGGTCAGTATGGGGAGGGATGTTCAAGGGGTGGGGAGAGACTGTCAGGGTGGGGTGGGGAGGACGGTCGGGGGGTGGGGAGATGGTCAGGGAACTTGCATCTCGAATGCCCGGCTGCTTCGCTTCTTGCAAGTGGTGCTGACGCCGTTTTTCCCGTTGGCGGCGACGAAGGTGATGCTGACGGCGTTCTGCCCGAATTTCATCGACATCCTGCGCTCGAGGAGAGAGAGTGCGCGTTACATGAGGAGAGAGTGTCCGGATCACACGAGGAGAGAGTGTGAGTATTACACGAGGAGAGAGTGCGCGCGTTACACGAGGAGTGCGCGTTACACGAGGCGAGAGCGCGCGCGTTACACGAGGCGAGAGCGCGCGCGTTACGCGAGGCGAGAGCGCGCGCGTTACACGAGGAGAGATAGAGCGCGCGTGCATTACACGAGGAGAGAGAGAGAGAGCGCGTGCGTTACACGAGAAGAGAGAGCGCGTGTTACACGAGGGAGGTGTGTGTGTGTGTGTGTACGCGCGCCACGTACTGGTCGGTGATGTGCAGGGATATCGCGTGGCCTGAGCTGCGGTGAAGCTTTGTCACCAACTCCACCAGGTGGTCACTGCTCAGCAGGAAATCTCCTTTCTTTCCCATCGCGCAGTTCTGGGCGGATAGACGGGGAAATCAGTCAGACCGATAGATCTCTCTCTCTCTCTCTCTCATCCCTCCCCTATCCCTTCCCCTTCTCCCCTCCCCTCTCTCTCTCTCTGTCTGCCTCTCCCCTCCCCTCTCTCTCTCTGTCTGCCTCTCCCCGCCCCCTCACTTACACCCCTATCTTTTTCTCTCCCCCACTTTCTTCCTCCTCTCTCTCTCCCTCTCTCTCTCCCTCTACTCACTCTCTCTTTCCCCCCTTCTCTTTCCTCCCCTCTACACCCCCCCCACTATCTGCCCCCTCGCCCCTCTCTCTTTCCCCCTCTCTTTCCTCCCCTCTGCACCCCCCCACTATCTGCCCTCTCCCCCCTCTCTCGTTCCCTCTAGCCCCTCTCTCACCCCCCCCCCCACCGCGCCGCGCTCTCTCCCCCCTTCTCTCTGCCCCCCCCCTTTCTCTCTCCACTCCCCTCTCTAAACCCCCCACCCCCCCCCCACTCTCCACCCCCCATGCCCCTGCCCCGGCACGCCTCTCTCCCCCGCGCGCTGACCTGGGTGAGGTGCAGGGCGAGGACACCGTCTCCACGGGTAGAGACAGACAGGCTGCTGATCTCCTCCACTTTGAGCAGAGTTTTAATCTGCGGCGACTTGGGGTCAGCCAGCGCCAAGTAGCCGGTGGTCATCAGCAGGATCCGCGGAGAATTCTAGAACGTAGAGAGAGTCCGTGAGCCTCTGGAGAGCCTTCAGCCACCGACCTCCGAAACTCTCTCTCTCTCGCTCCCCCCCCCCCCCCAATCCCTCCGCTTTACCCCCTCTCTCCTTTTCCAGATCGCACCCGAAGATCTTCCTCTTCAAACTTGCTTACAGGCACCGAACCAAACACGAGGAGCATTAATCTTTCTCCCGTTTTTTTCTTTCCTTCCCCCGCCCCTCACCCTCCTCCCCTCACCCATATGCCACTCCCCGTCCCCCCCGTCCACCCCCACACCTTGCCGTCCTTCCTGTTGATCTTGGTGATGGTGTCCAGGAGCAGAGGTTGGCCCTCCATGCTGCTCAGTAGCTTCTGGTATTTGGAGCTTTGCTGCGGCTGTAGGTACTGACCCTGGAATGGTATCCTCACACTGTGGACAGGCAGAGAGAGAGAGAGAGAGAGCAGCAGGTCAGGCCTGGGACACGTGGCGAGGGGGAGGCCAGTGGGATGGGAACAGGAGGGAAGGGAGAAATGTAGCCCGGCAAGCGAGAGGAACCTTGGTTCAATTCCCGGCCGGGTCAGGGCGAAACGTTGGGCAAGTTTCCTTACTCCACACGCTTTGAGATGCCTCGAAGACGTGATAAGGCGCTGTATCAAATGCAAGGATTATTATTATTATTATTTCGCGGGATCTCTTAACATCCACCCGAAAAGGGCAAGGAGGGTTTTGAAATTAATGCCCCTTGTTGCGGGGGTCTCCCAGGTCCCGGGGGGGAGCGCATACGATGTGACACTTGCGTGGGGCGAGGGGAGAAGCTTTACCTGGACGGGTATGCCGACTTCTTGTCCTTGAAGAGCTGGCTGGCATGTAGCTTCACTTCCAGATCAACTTTCCGCTGCTTGGGCAAATTCTCCCTGTATTTCTTGCACTGTAATGGGAGGTGTGGGGGGGGAGACATGTTTATTATACGGTGGAAGCCTATTAAGTCGGACCCATTGGAGGACGGACGCTTTGTCCGACTTAAGAGGCGTCCGAGGTTAGCAGAAATGCCGTTCCCGCCCCGCAGAGGAGCTGTGGTGGCGACACCGTGTAATAATATGGCTTCGCTCGGAACAATGTTAATTAACCAAACAGCACAGCCACCAAGTATTTCAACCGATGAGTTAAAGATAAAACCCTGTACTCTCAACAGAATACAGTTGGAAAAAAGCAAGGATTCTAATAGATCAGGGACCAGGCTCGAGGGGCTGAATGGCCTATTCCTATGCACAGTATATAATATTGTTAATATATATATATATAGACGTTTCGCCCACAAAATGTAGTCACTCCACTTTGCGGCGTATCCTGTGAAGCGCTTTGAGACGTCTCGAAGACGTGATAAGGCGCCGTGTCAAATGCAAGGGTTGTTATTATTATATAGTAAATACCGCCCTCCTCCCCGACCACCCAGCCGCTCTCTCGCCACCCCGGACACCCCCCCTCCCCTCCTCCCCCAGGCCTTACCTTCCAGGCCTGGAAGATGCTGTGCAGGTGTCGGTGAGTGGACACCAGGAAGTGGTACCTTGGTGGCGGCCATGTTCTATCGATGGGCGACATCGGGGGCAGCGAATTCCTCAGGGTCAGTAAGTATTTCTGGATCTTCGGGCAAGAAAATTGGCTTCTGATTAATATCACTCGTTAATATTGTGTGAACTGGTACCCAAACCTTTCCTCCATCCTTCCCTGACAATTCTCTCCGCCCTCTCCCTCCATCCCTTCAAGTCCTCCTCCCTCTGTTGCTCCACTTTCCATTCCGCCATCTCTCTATCTGTCCTTCCTCTACCCCCCACCCATCCCCTTCCTTCTATCGCTCCATCCACTCGTCCCTCCATCCCTTCATCTCGTCCTCCCTGCATCCCTCCATCCTCTATCCCTCCATTCCCTTCTTCCCCTCCTCCCTCCAACCCCTACAACAACTTTAGTTTATATAGCGCCCTTCACGCAGGGTAGCGTCCCGGAGTGCTCTATTCCTCTATCTACTCCTCAGTCCATCCATTCATCCACTCGTCCCTCGATCCCTCCATCTCTTCCTGCCTCTCTTCTCCTCCTCCTCCCTCCCTTACGGACGCCACTGCTCTGGCGTGTGTGTGGTGGAGTGGGGGTTGGTAGAGGGGGGAGAGAAACCACTCACTATTCTGGTGATGATGAAGTGACAGATCTTCTTCACAGCGTCGCTCTTGAAGTATTTCCTGTATTGTTTACGCACCTGGAGGGTAGCGGTGGGGGGGGTGGAGAGAGAGAGAGAAAGAGAGAGGATGGGAGGTGTTAGTGACTGACATCAGTGGCTTGGCAGGCGATGGGGGTGGCAGAGGAGAAGAGCCTGTGTGGGGGGTAGGGGCAATATTCTAGTCCAATGTTAAGCAAACACTGCCCCCAGAATGTTGTCCAAGATTCCTCCCTCCTTTCCAACGCTCCTCTTAACACCCACCACTCTGTGGCCCGGTCACTCCACCTCCCCCACCCCCCCCTCCGCGCCCCCACCCCCTTCGGTTACCTGGTAACCGTGCCAACCGGCGGCAATCAAGCTGACGGCCTGCGCCTCGTGCTTCCGGTCCTTCAGGTCTCTCAGCTGCCGTCGGGCCTGGGGAGAGAGACGCCAACGTCAGAAGCCGGGACCTTGGACAACGGGCTTCGTGGGACCCCTCCTCCCTCCTTCCTTCCTTCCCCACCCCCTCCTCCCCATCCCCTGGTTCTGGGGCCAAATGCAACCCTCGCCCCCCCCCCCCCTCCCCCCACCCCCCACCTCTCTCCCTCTCCGTCAACTCTCAAGACTTTGCTCATGACCTTTGTCTCCCCCGATCCTTGACCTTCCTCACTCCTCGCACCCCCCCCCACCCCGCATTGCAATCAGCAATGCAGTTCAGCAACCAGCCAGGATTAACCCTCTATCTCCCCCTCAAAACCACCCCCCCCACCCCTCTGCCTACCCACATCCCACCCCCCCACCTACCCACCCCCTGCCTCACTCACGCGCCAAACTCTGATCCAGGTCTGAATCACGATAGCTGCCCTCCTCATGTTCTGGTATTTCTTCATTTGCTGTATGTGTGTATGTGGGAGGGTGGGGGGGGGGGAGAGAAGAGAAGATAATATTAATAACAATCCTTGCATCTGATACAGCGCCTCATCACATCTCTTCACAAAATATACTGCACAGTGGAGTGACTGTGTATTTGGTGGGCGGAACCCGGCAGCCAATTGCACACAGCAGCGTCCCCCCCACAAACAGTCGTGGATTGAGTGACCACATTTTTGGGGGCAAGGATCATTACCCCCGGAAAGCGATCTGTCAATCGACCAACAAGCGGGGGTTCCTGCTTAACTGCTGGTAAACAGAGGCGGGTGTGTGGAGTAAGGGAACTTGACTTAAGGTTTCGCACCGCCAGGGAGTCAACCCCTTGCCCTCTCGCTTGTGAGGCGAGCGCTCTAACCACCACTCTACGGGACTCCACGACGGAATGAACACTGTAAAGTGACTGTGTGTTTTGCAAGCGAAACGCGACAGCCCCTCCACACAGCCGGGAACTCCCCCGTCTCTCTTAGTGTGAATTGCGCCCACAAGCTCTTTGACGTCCGCCCGAAAAGTGGATTAGTTTTCCTTTGCCGTGGGTCCCAGGCCCCAGGGGAACACACTTACCATGTGACGCCTGGACCAGGCTGCGATGGTGACCTGACTCTTCTTCATCAGCAGGAAGTGCTTGCGACATGTCCAGCCGCGGAATGTCTTCTGAATCATGGTCGCCAGCTCCCCCATCCTCTTCCTCCTCCGAGCTTCCAGGTCAAAGAGCTGTAGAGAGGGAAGCGCGTCAGAGAGACACAGGTGAGTGGTGCAGATATCTCATAAGAACATAAGAATCGGCTGGCGAAAAGAAGACCGAGATCCATCTAGTTCGCCTTCCACCCTCCATCCTGGCAGTCGCTTGCCCTGTCGTGTCCCCAAACCGCGTGTGTCCCCCTCCCCCCCCCATCCCCCTAAATATTATTTTCTAGCAGAAATCGATCTAAGACGCGGTCGAAGAGGAGAGTCTTGAGACGTGCCTTAAAGGAGGCAAGTGGGGGGGGAGCGAGGTGTAGGGAATGTGGGATGGAATTCCAAAAGGTGGGGGCAGAGAGGCTGAAGGCCTGACTGGGGCGGGTCGGGCGGGGGACGTGGAGCAGAGGGAGTCGTGCCGGTCGCGGGGCAGAGATCTCTGTTGAATACTCACTGTCTGCGGGGTTCTGATGAAGATCTTAGTCTGGCCAAATCTGTATTCTTCCGGCGGGATATTTAATTCACTCAGAAGCGCTTTTACTCCATCCCTGGGATAATAATAAAAAATAATAATAATAATAATCCTCGCATTTGATCCAGCGCCTTGTCACGTCGTCTCACAGCGCTTCGCAGAATAAACACCAAAGCGTAGTGTAGTGTCTGTGCGTTTTGTGGGCAAAACACGGCAGACAATTGCGCACAGGAGTGTCCCACAAACAGTCGTGTTTCTACTCACCGTTAGGAAAAGCAGAGGCTCGCGTGTGGAGTAAGGAAACTTGTCGGCCGGGAATCGAACCCGGGTCCTCTCGCTTGCGAGGCGAGGGCTCTAACCGCCGCGCTACAGGGCTCCATTTTCTTACCTATCGTTTCCCTTCCAGTTGGGCCATGTCCTTTTACACATCATCTTGTAGCGGCGGAGGCACGGCTCGTACAGCTGACGGTAAGCATAGCCAGCTCGACGCACTCGCACGTTCTCCATCAGCCCCAAGTACCTCACCTGTGTCCCCACCAACCCCTCCTCAAACACCCCCCGCTTCTTGGTCTCATTGGGTTTTATGCACCTGTGTGGGGGGGGAGAGAGAGTGACACAGAGAGTGAGGCGGAGAGAGAGATAGAGTGACAGAGAGAGAGAAGAGGAGAGAGAGAGAGAGAGCGGCAGAGAGTGAGACAGACAGAGAGGCACAGAGAGAGAGACAGAGAGTCAGAGAGACTGAGGCTCAATAATAATGATAATAATAATCCTCGCATTTGATAGATCGCCTAATCACGTCGTCGAGACTTCCCAAACCGTTTCACTGAATAGATTGTAAACTACGCGCCCCCCCCCCCCACCCCCCCCCCCATCCTTCCAGCTCTGGGTCAGTTTGGACAAGGTGATTCCAAGTCCCAACAGTGAACCCACCACCTTCTGACTCCGCTCCGAGACAAGAGCCCGAGCGACTGAGACTCTGTGAGAAAACCGAAGCCCATCTGGTTCGTCTCCCACCTTCCCGGCAGTCGCTTGCGCCCATGTCCCCGAACTACCTCCGTAGAGTAATCCCATCAAGTTATTTCCCTCCCTCCAAGAAAAAAGATCCCTAATCTGTGTTTGAAGGAATCAGCAAATGTCTCCCTCGGGAGCCTGTTCCACAGGTTCACTGTTCGTCTCACTGAAATAGTGTTTGGTTCTGAATTTACCTCTCCTCTCGCCCCCTCTCTCCCCCCCCCCCCACCCCCCGCACCCTTCAATCGCAGACCATGTGTCCTCTGGTACACAAATCGATCGGTACCTGATGTAGTTGGGGTTTTTGGCGAGGAGGTTCTTCATGAGGATCGCGACGGAGGCTTTAAACTGGCTGCCGGCCGTGGGCGGCCGCTTCAGGGAGACTTTGCTAGGGTTCCCCTCGGGGAAGAGGGACTTGATGAGGGTCTGTTGGGCTTGCCACATGGCCTGCGAGAGGTCCCGGTACAGCAGGTCATTATTCTTGTCCATGAACCCGATGATGTTATACGTCACCTGGGTGAGGGGTGAGGGGGGGGAGGGAGGGGGAAGGGGGAGACAGAGGTCAAGATTATACCCGTAAAACACACGGTCTCCCCTCTTCCTTGCGCAGGAACGGGACATGGTCCTGGGAAAGCCACTTCCAGCCATTTTGCCAAAGGTGTCATGTGCTAACGTGTGGCATGTTAGCAGCAGTTAGCGTCTCGGAGCGCTATTACGGTGGTGTAGGGCGACGGGGGGGGTGGGGGGGGTGGGGGGGCGGTCAGACGCTGAGTGTTGGTGCGATCAGCGGCATGGTTTTGAAGTGGAATTCAAAGAGAGATGTGGGGGGGGGAGGGGGGGGCAAAGGGCTTGAGGGGAGAGGGTTAGCTTGTCAGGAGGAGGGGCTACATTGACGGGGAGGGGGTATATTGCCCGGGGCTGCACTGCCGGGGGAGGGGTACTGCCGGGGCTGCACTGCCGGGGGAGGGGCTACACTGCCAGGGGAGGGGCTACATTGCCAAGGGAGGGGCTACATTGCCGAGGGAGGGGCTACATTGCCGAGGGAGGGGCTACATTGCCGAGGGAGGGGCTACATTGCCGAGGGAGGGGCTACATTGCCGAGGGAGGGGCTACAGTGCCGAGGGAGGGGCTACATTGCCGAGGGAGGGGCTACATTGCCGAGGGAGGGGCTACATTGCTGAGGGAGGGGCTACATTGCTGAGGGAGGGGCTACACTGCCAGGGGAGGGGCTACATTGCTGAGGGAGGGGCTACATTGCTGAGGGAGGGGCTACATTGCTGAGGGAGGGGCTACACTGCCAGGGGAGGGGCTACATTGCTGAGGGAGGGGCTACCTTGCCGGCATAGTGCTGGACACGGAAGTAGTGGTCAGTCAGTGAGGAGTCGCTGATGAATCTCTGGCTCTGGGTTTCTCGGCTCTCGTAGTGACGGTGATCGCGGCAAATCTGGTTCAGTTTGTGCAGGAAACTGCCGTCTGTCGCCTTCCCCGGTCTCAGGCACTCCTCGTCCAGCATCGCCAACACCCCCCGCCGCCCCTACACACACAGGGGACACACAGGGTCACACACACACACACACACACAGGGACAGTCACACACACACACACACACACAGAGGGACAGTCACACACACACACACACACACAGAGGGACAGTCTCACACACACACACACACACACACAGAGGGACAGTCTCACACACACACACACCACACACAGAGGGACAGTCTCACACACACACACACACACACACACAGAGGGACAGTCACACACACAGGGTCACCCGGACAGTCTCACACACACACACAGAGGGACAGTCAGACACACAGGGTCACACATACACACACACACACACACAGAGGGACAGTCACACACACAGGGTCACCCGGACAGTCTCACACACACACACACACACACAGAGGAACAGTCACACACACAGGGTCACCCGGACAGTCTCACACACACACACACACACACATACACACACACAGGGGACAGTCTGACAATTGGGGACAAGCGATCCACCAATCGACTTAACAAACCGGGCTCCTACTTCCTGCTCAGTAAACAGAGACGTGTGTATGTGTGCGCAGAGTAAGGAAACTAAACCTGTGCGTGTGTGGGTGTGTGCGCGTGGGTGTGGGTGTATGTGTGTGTGTGTGTGTGTGGGTGTGTGTGGAATAAGGAAACTAAGCCTTTCAGGCCCTGTCCGGCCGGGAGCCGACCCCGGGTCCTCTCGCTCGCTAACCACTACGCTCCATTTTTGCCGCCGGGAAAAGAGGGAAGTCATTCGCAAAAGTTTTTTTTTTAAAAAAATCTTAAACGACTTACATTTTCGATCAGGTCACAGATGATGGTGTTATCAAAATATTCAACCTGGGTCCACTTGATGCCCTGACAGACAGAGAGGGAGAGAGAGAGAACGAGAGAGAGAGAGAAGACGAGAGAGAGAAGACGAGAGAGAGAAGACGAGAGAGAGAGAAGACGAGAGAGAGAGAAGACGAGAGAGAGAGAAGACGAGAGAGAGAAGACGAGAGAGAGAGAAGACGAGAGAGAGAGAAGACGAGAGAGAGAAGACGAGAGAGAGAAGACGAGAGAGAGAGAGAGAGAGAGAGAGAGAGAAGACGAGAGAGAGAAAGAGAGAGAGAACGAGAGAAGGTAAATAATATGTTTGATTCCTCGTGGCTGTCTGGGGGATGGGGGGGAATTTGAGGAGACTGTCTGATTGCAGATGTATTGCAGCCCCAGGGTTAGGTCCCAGGGCATAATAATAATAATAATAATAATAATAATAATAATCTTTGCATTTGATACATTGAGACGTCTCAAAGCGCTTTGCAGTCTACATTTCGTAAAGTGTAGTGACTGTGCGGGCGAAACGTGGCAGCCAATTGCGCGCAGCCGTGTGATACAAACAGTAGTGCATAGTGAGTGACCACATATTTGGGGGGGGGGGGAAGGGATTATTACCCCCAGAAAACGATCTGTCCGACTCCAGTTGACTAACGACTGGGTGCCTAACTACTGCTGGGCAAACAACAACAACAACAACATTCCATTTATTGAGCGCCTTTCACGTCGGGAGGACGTCCCAAGGCGCTGTACAGTTGGGTCAGGGCCCGAGCGACGGGGAAATGGTCAGGGTGAGGGGAGGGAAGGGAGGGAGCGAGGAGGGGGGACATGGTCAGGGTGAGGGGAGGGAGGGAGCGAGGAGTGGGGAGAGAGTCGAGAGAGGAGCTGAAGGCTGAAGGTCAAAGAGAAAGGTCTTGAGACCGGCCTTGAAGGAGGAAAGGGAGGAGGCGTAAGGGTGCGGAGTAAGGGATTTCACCCTGGCCGCCCGGGTCTAATTGCTTGACGAGAACTCCAAACACAGGAGCCCCGATACTGACCCTAACTTAGGGTTAGGTCCCAGGGTATGTGACCGGGTGATGACGCCCTGGGGTGGGGTTGGGGGGTGTGGGGTGGGGGGGTGTGGGCGAGTGCTCACCTCCCTCACGTACTCCTCCTGCTCCTCCTTCAGTGTCAGCTCGATGAAGACTTGCTGCAGCTTCTCGTTGCAGTAATTGATCACCAGCTGCTCGAAGCTGTTGTGCTGCGGCGAGGAATGCGACAGGTCAGCCGAGCAGCCGTGCAGCCAATCTCCCCCCCCCCCCCACAAAACAGCCCTGCGTACGCACGCTGTGCGCGTGTATGTGTTGTGCGCGCGGGTTCGGACTGTGTGCATGTGTACGCAAAACCTACCTCAATGATCTCAAATCCGTAGATATCCAGTACCCCCATCACCTTGTGCTCTACCTGCGCTTTCACCTGTGAAGACCAAAGCAGATCATTAGTGAACTGTGTGTGTGTCTGTGTGTGTATTATCTGTGTGTGTGTGTCTATGTGTGTGTGTGTGTGTGGTGGGTAGGGGGGTGTTATAACAATAATAATCCAACGCCTTGGGACGTCCTCCCGACGTGAAAGGCGCTATATAAAGGTAATTTTGTCCTTGTAATCCTTGCATTTGATACAACGCTTTATCACATCGTTGAGACGCCTCAAAGCCCTTCGCAGAATATACTGTTAAATTTAATTGACTGTGTTCTGTGGGGGAAACCGTGTCCCACAAACAGTCGTGGGTTGAGCGAACAAATTTTTACTTATCTTTTTGAAGTGATTCTAACCCCCGGAAAGCTATTTGCCAATCGGCCATCAGCCGGGTTCCGGCTTACAGCCGGGTCACCAGAGGCGGGCGCGTGGAGTAAGGAAACTTGACTAGAGGTTTCGCCCTGACCCCCAGCGCTCTGACCACTACGCTACGGGTCTTCACTAGGATTAGTGAGGGGTGTGTGTGTGTGTGTGTGGTGGTGGTGAGGGAGGTGTCATTACCTGGATGCTCTCATTGATGCGCTTTATCAGCCAGTTGAATAAACGGTTGTACAGATTTTTTGCCAGAGCGTCGCGAGCAAAGTAAGCCTGGGGAACAAAAACTCAGCTCAGAGACATGCATCTCCCCCAAAACCTACCCCCCCCCCCCCCCGCCCATTCCCCTCCCTTCTCCCCCAACCCCCCTGAGCTCTGTAGCTTCCGGGTGTCCACAAAGTCCTGTCAACGGCCTGAAAGTAACTGCAGTCCGCTGTTACTCCTCATTTCCCCCACCTCCCGCTCACCGCCCCGGGGTCTTACCTGAGCTGCGTTCAGTGAGGTGGAGACTTTGTCACTCTTCGCCTCCACCGTGCGGAAGCAGAGGGCGCGTTCAAGAATCTTCTGTTCCAAGCCGATCAGGTCACAGATCTCTGCCAGCGCTGTGGAGTAGAGAACACGAGGGGCCGGTGGGGGGGAGATTTCAGACATGGGACATGACGACGGGTTATAATAATATAACAATAATAATCCTCGCATTTGACACGGCGCCTTTTCACGCCTTCGAGACGTCTCAAAGCGCTTCACAGCAAAGTGTAGTGACTGTGTATCTTGTGGGTGAAACACAGCAGCCAATTGCGCGCAGCAGCGTCCCCACAAACAGTCACGGAATTGCGTGACCACATTTTATTTGGGTGGGGGGTGGTGGGGTGAGGGATTATTATCCGCCAATCGACTAGCCGTTGAGTGAGAGCGACCAATTTTATTTGGGGGATTGTCATCCAGGACACTGGGAGGGAGAGAGAGAGAGAGGTGGGGAGGGGGACAACTCCCTTTTCTTTTCGAATAGTGCTGTGGGATCTTTAACGTCCACCTGAACAGAGCACAGACGGGGAGTGAAGTTTAATGTCTCACCCCCTCTTCCCAACCCCCCACCCACCCCGCTCACCTTTGCCGTCCTTGATGTAGCACCTCTCAGTCCCACTGTCCGCCTGTAGCTGGATGTTGCCGAGCTTCATCACCACAGTGACGGCCTCCATCACCGATTTCACTTCCTGCCGCCTGAAGCCAATCACCTTCATGGCCTCCTGCAACGACAACAACTTGCATTGATACGGCGTCCATCCCTCAGAGCGGGCAGCATCCCAGAGGGTCAAGACTGAGGTGGATAAATATTTGTTAGGTCAGAGTATTAAGGGATATGGGGGCAAAGGCAGGTAACTGGACTTAAGGGAACGGGGTATACGGGAGGAGAGGGAAGTCTAACAACAACAACAAATTACGTTTCCACAGCTCCTTTCACGTCGGGAGGACGTCACAGGGCTATGGCTGGACAGTCAGGGATTTGGACCTGAGCTGGGAGGGGGGGTCAGGATCAGGAGGAGTCGAGGGCAGGAAGGGTTGGGGTGTAGGAGGGTAACCGAAGGTGGAGAGGTCTTCAGACGGCTCTTGAACCAAGCAACGCAAGAGGGGGGCACGGGGGGAGAAAGGGTGGACGGTGAGTCCTGGCAAGCCTGACTTGAGCTGGCCAGTCACTGCACTTCAAAGTAACTCCCTGCTCGAGTGGCTTTAGGCTGTCACATCTCCGCCCTTTCCCCCCACCACCTCCCCCATTACATCTCTGTGCCCCCCCACCCCCCACCTCACCCCCCAACTCACTTACTTTGACGGCCTTAAAATTGGAGGCATCATCCATCCCACTCAAGGTAACAGCCTCGGTGGTGAGATACGAGTACTTGGTGAAGTCCTTGTCTAGCTTGAGATTCCCTATGGAGAGGGTGAGGGAGAGAGGGGGGTGGGGGGTGTTAATCCTTGAGTTGTCCACAGGTTCGGTTTAGGCAGGGTCAAGGTTTGGGGGTGAGACAGGGGCATCAGCAACAACAACAACAAGAGCAAATTAAATTTTCACAGCGTCTTTCACATTGGGAGGACATTCCAAGGCCTTGGACAGTCAGGGATTTGGACTCAAGCTGGGGGTTGGGATCAGGAGGGGTGGAGGGCGGGGAGGGTTGGAGGTAGGAGGGTGACCGAAGGAGGGCGCAGTCGAAGAGGAGGGTCTTGAGACGGGCCTTGACGGAGGCGAGGTAGGGACCGAGGCGGAGGGTCAAGGTTGAGGCGAGGTTACTCACTCAGGGATTTTGAAGAGCCTCCGGCCAACAGCTGGTAGAAGATGTGGAAGTTCCTCTCCCCTCTTGAGCGTTTGACCACCCGGGATTTCTCCAGGAGATCTGTGAGCAAAACAGACACCAGTCAGACTTTGCCCTCTCCTCCTCTCTCCATCTCGCTAACTCCCAGTACCTTCTATCATAGGAACAGGAGGAGGCCATTCAGCCCCTCGAGCCTGTTCCACCATGCTATTAGATCATGGCTGATCTGTAGCTCAACTCAAATTACCCAAGTTTGCCCCCTATCCCTTGATCCCCTGACCTGACGAGCAACTCTCCACCTCAGTCTTGAAAATGTGAATTGGAGGGGTGGGGGAGTGATTGTCACTCACAGTTGTTGATAACTCCGCCCAGAGGATCGCCCTTGAAGTCGAACTCGATGTCCATGTATTTGCCCTGGAGTTCGGGAGGCACAGAGACAGGAGATGGGAATATCCATGAGAGATTTATAACATAATAATAAGAACAAAAACATCAACTTGCATTTACGTAGCACCCCTCCCAGAGCTAATGACGATCAAATTAAGCCTCACATTCGATAAGAGCATCTCGTTTGCTGGGAGTTGCTGCCGAGTGTGGTGACTATGTGTTCCATCCTTTCTGAGCTGCTCTCTCTCTCTCTCTCCTCTCTCTCTCTCTCTCTCTCTCGATCTCTGGCCTCCTGCTTGTCCCTCGTCCCCTCCTCTCCACCATCGGTGGCTGCGGTTTCAACCACTATACCCCCAAAGCTTTGGAAGACTCTTCCCCCAATCCCTCCGCTCTGCCCCACTCCTTCCTATCTTTTAGATCGCGACTGAGGACCTTTCTCTTCGACCGGGCTTACAGTCATCTCCTCCCTCCTTCCCCCTGGCTCGGAGTCAGGCTCCGCCACTGTTAGGGGCTCTGAGCAGTTAACCCAACGCACACTCTGGGCCCCCCCGCGCCCCCCAGCCTTGGCTCTCGCCAACCTATGCCTAATACTCTCCGGAATTAGGTAAGCAGGATGCGTCCCTCCAGGGAGAGAGAGAGAGAGAGCGCCTTCTTTTCCAACCATCTATCTCTGGGTTTCCCATGTGTAGGTGGGAGGCATGGAATTCTCAGCTTGGTTTGGAGACTCTTAAGTAACGGTGAAGGGTTTCCGTGAGTATCAGACACCCACCCGGCTGGCTTAAAAAAAACAGAGACATTCCCAAATAACAGAGGCCCGGATAAGCCGGGAATCAGAAAAACAACTTGGAAAATACGTACGAATCTGGAAGAGTTGTCATTCCGGATGGTCTTTGCGTTTCCGAAGGCTGAGAGAGGGATTAATAACAACAACAACGCATGACAGTTACACAGCGCCTCTCACGTCAGGGGGAAGTCGAAAGGCGATGGACAGTCAGGGCTTTGGACCCGAGTTGGGGGTTGGGGGGATCAGGAGGAGTGAAGGGCAGGGAGGGTAAAGGGGTAGGAGGGTGACCGAAGGCGCGGTCGAAGAGGAAGGTCTTGAGACGGGTCTTGAAAGAGGCAAATGAGTGGGTCGCGGAGGAGGGACTGGGACACGGAGTTCCAAAGGGTGGGGGCAGAGAGGCTGAAGGCCGATGGTGACCGTAGACAAGGGGATAAGCAGCCGTGAAGTGCACGAGCAATTTTATCCGGGGGATGGGGCGGGGGGGCATGGCGGTTGGGATTGCTGCAGGGAAGATTGAGGGTTCAGGTAGAGTGAGCATGTCCGAATGCGAGTGTCCGATGTGAGGAGAGTACAAGTCCCCCAATCATTTGGGGAAAGCGAGTGAGCGAGCTGGGGCTGGGGGGGTGGGGGCTGGGGTGGGGGGGCTGGGGTTGGGGGAGGAGCGTACCTTCCAGCACAGGGTTAGACTGAAGCAGTTGTTCTTTTACTTTTGTGACCTCTTCTCCTTTACCACAAACGGCGGCAACGTAAGACATCACAAGCTTACTGGCCTCTAGGGCGGGGGGGGCGGTGGTGGGAGTGGGGGGGGGGGGCGGAAAGAGAGAGAGAGAGCATTCGTTAGCATCAGTGACGATAATAATAATAATCCTTGCATTTGATGCAACGCTTTATCGCGTCGTTAGTCGTCTCAAAGCGCTTCACAGGATACACTGTAAAGTGTAGTGACTGTGGAGTATTGTGGGCGAAACGCGACAACAGCAGCTTGTGTTCGCACTGCCCCCACACACTGGGATAGCGTCTCGGAGCGCTTGACAGTCGTGCGTGGGGTAGGGTGGGGTGGGGAGGGGGGGGGGGGGGTTGTGGGCAGGAGGCAGGCTGTGGGGTGCGGTCGGGACACTTATCAGATGGAGTTTCGACCGAACCTGGAACGGAGTTACAAGGTATGAGCTGTCCCTTCGGCAGTCGCTAGGTGATTATCAGCCCGTTAGTCATTAAGAGGAAAGTGGCCCAGAACGGCTACGGCTACGGCTGCTGCTGGGTCAACACCAAGCTGTCTCCCGGGGTTAAAGTTTGCATTGTAAACTTTCGGTTTCTCGAGCAGGCAGAAATGAAGAGATAAACTAAAATGCACCATCTCCCAAAGCCTTTCGCCTCCCTGAGGCTGAATATCCAGGGAGAGATCTTCAGTGCAGCAGGCGTATAGCTCTTACTTAGAGCGAGGATGTCCCGTATAATAATAATAATAATAATAATAAGCCTTGCATTTTATACACCGCCTTATCACGTCTTCAAGGCCTCTCAAAGCTTCTGCCCGGAACACGCCGCGTTGTGAACTGACTGACTGTGTGCTTTGTGGGCAAAGGTGCCGGGGTGGGGGGGTGGATTGGGGAGTGAGGAGGTCGGAGAGGGGGAGTGGGGGTGAACAGAACCTACCTGTCTTTCCTGATCCGCTCTCCCCGGTGATGAGAATGCATTGGTCCCTGTCTCTTTCCTGCAGCGATCGGTATGCATCGTCCACAATGGCGTAGCTGTGACGTTAAAAAACACACGGTTAAACAGGGAGTGAGAGATACACACACACAGAGACGCACATAGAGAGAGAGAGAGAGAGAGAGAGAGAGACGCACAGAGAGAGAGACGCACACAGACACAAAGCAGAGCGAGAGAGACTCCGAGGAAGATGCCCGAATAATAATAATTATCCTTGCATTTGCTATAGCGCTTTTCACGTCTTCTAGACGAATATACTGTAAAGTGTGGTGACTGTGTATTTTGTGGGAGCGAAATGCGGCAGCCGATTGCGTACAGCAGCGTCCCCACAAACAGCCGTGGATTGAGTGATGGGATTATTGCCCTCGGAAAAGCGGTCCGTCAATTGGCCAACAACCGGGTGCCTACTTACTGCCGGGTAAACAGAAGCGTGTGGAGTAAGGAAACGTGTTGATTTCTGCGCTGTTTTGTTTAACGCAATGGGTCGGGTCCCAGTTAATGCAGAGAATGGGTCTTTATCGAACATAAGAACATAGGAATTAGGAGCAGGAGTGGGCCATTTGGCCCCTCGAGCCTGTGCCCCGCCATTCGATAAGATCATGGCTGATCTTCGGACCTAACTCTAATTACCTGCCCTATCCCCATATTCCCCAATAAAAATCTATCAGTCTCAGCCTTGAAGATGTTCAGGGACTGAGCATCTACAGCCTTCTGGGAGAGCGAATTCCATAAGTTCACTGCCCTCTGAGTGAGGAAATGTTTCCTCAACTCTGTTGAATTTCAGGGTGCGCTCGGAACACTCCTTTTTCCTTACAAATATACATTCATTCCACCTGACGGTATATTTACAGACGTGAAAAGCTCCGTGTGAAATGCAAGGAAGGAAGGATCCAGGACTTTCTGCGGGCGACTGATAAGCTTTATAGAGGTTAAAGACCAAAGTAGGGGGAGGGGATGTTGTTTTCGAAGTAAAGTGCGAGACACTTTATTGCAGAGATGTTGCCCCCCCCCACCCTCAGCGGATGGTAACCTCTGATCTGCCCTCTCGCCCACACACCCCCCACACCCCCACACTTGGGAGGGCTACGCAGGGCAGCACTAACCAACCTGGTGCCAAGGTAAAGACCGAGGGTAGCCTAAGCAGTGGCAAGTGATAAGTAAAGGCTGACTGCTGCTGGTGAACATCGAACTCACCTCCGCCTTTCTTTTTGTGCTTACAGTCACCTCTTCCCTCCCTCCCTCCCTCCCTCCCTCGCTCCACCCGGCTCGACACCAAGGCTCGGCCACCCGTAAGCGCCCCGAGACACTGGGCGCTGTGTAAATGCAAGTTGTTGTGGTTGTGACAGGGCAAGGATGTGCGTTTCTACGTGCGACTCACATGTGGGGTCTGAGCTCGTACAGGTTACATTTGCGGTACTCTGCGATCATCTCCGGCGTGTAGATGGGCAGCGACTGGTACGGGTTGATTGATACAACTACATTTCCGATGTAGGTCTGTGCGGAGAGAAGATACAGACTTTCGTATCAGTGTCACCAGGGCTCTTGGAACTGCAGCTCCTGTCAGCAGCTACTGGTAGGTGACAACAACAATAATAATCCTTGTGTTTGATACGGGGTCTTTCACGTCTTCGAGACGTCTCAAAGGGCTTCACAGAACAGGCTGCAAAGTGAATTGACTGCGTATTTTGTGGGCGAAACGCGGCAACCAATTGCGCACAGCAGCGTCCCCTACAAACAGTCGTGGATTGAGTGACCGCCTTTTTTTTTGAGGGATTAATACCCCCAGAAAGCAATCTTCCATTCGACTAACAATCGGGTTCCTACTTACTGCTCGGTAAACAGAGGCATGTGTGTGTGTGTGTGCGGAGAAAGGAAACTTATCTAAGGTTTCGCCCCGACCTGTCTGGGAATCGAACCCGGGACCTCTCGCTTGAGAGGCGAGGGCTCTAACCACTATGCTACAGGACTCAATGAGTCAATCCTCGAAGGCCCTCCCACTCTAGCCTCTGGGAATAAGAACATAAGAAATGTTAGACGAGGAAAAGACCAAGGTCCATCCAGTTCACCTTCCTGGCAGGCACTTGCACATATGTCCTGATGTGGTTGTGGACTTTAAGCTCACGGTCTAGGTTAACCCTCCAGTGTAGTGATGGTGGTGAGGGAGAGAGTTTCATATTGTCAGGGTCTCCACGTGACCTCAGATACTCACGTAGATTTCATTCTTGTTGAACCGCTTCTTGAGGTTGGAGAGTAACGAGTCTTCGGTCAGCGGGTCGAGCAGCACCATGTCTCCCACCCCGGTGGTCTCGCCGAGCAGTGAGGGGTCCATGTTGACACTGGCGACGAAAAGGGAGCAGTTGTGAAGGGATATGCAGAGGGGAAGGATCCACATCACACTGTGATGGGTGGGGGAAATCCAGAACAAGGGGGCATCGTTGTATAACTCTTTCAAAGACTGAATGGCCTCCTTTTGTACCGTAGGATTCTATGACTATAATAATAATAATGCTTGCATTTGATACAGCGCCTTATCATGCCTTCGAGACACCTCAAATCGCTTCGCAGGATACACATAAAGTGAATTGACTGTATATTTTGTGGGTGAAACCTGGAAGCCAATTGCGCACAGCAGCGTCCCCACAAACAGTTGTGGACTGACCAAATTTTTTTTTTTTTTTGAAGGAATTATTACCCCCGGAAAAGCGATCCGCAATCGATTAGCAACCAAGTTCCTACTTACATCTAGGTAAACAGAGGCGTGTGAAGGAAACTTGCCCAACGTTTCGTCCTGCCCGGGAATCGAACCCAGGTCCTCTCTCTTGCGAGGCGAGTGCTCTAACCGCTGAGCTACAGGACTCCAGATTGGTCCCCAGTGATGGGGCTCAGGGTCCTCACCTTGTTGTCGTGATGATGGAATCTGTTGGCTTTGTTCCCCCCAGTGATCGACGGCCAAAGGTTTCTGCCCTAGGTTTGCTGAAAGCTCTCGGACTCTGGCTCCCTCGGCTGCATTCAGGAAGTGAATGAGTCCCTCAAAGAGCCAATATTTAAACTGCGTCTAAAAATAATCGTCCAAAGGGCGCCCAGCCTTCCCATAAAATCTCAGGTGCACAAAGTCACCAGGAACTCTGGCCTTAAAGGAACAGGGCACCAACTTGTTCAAGGAAGTTTTGTGCCTTAAAAGTATTTCATGTAATAATGTAATTAACTTTGCTTTTGAAATAGCGACTTATTACATAACATAACACAACATAACATGTAGGAGCAGGAGGAGGTCATTCGGCCATTTGAGCCTCTGCCCCGCCATTCAATCATGGCTGACCTTCTAATCTAACTCCAGCTAATAACCTGACGCTGCCTTCTCCCCATATCCCTTAATCCCTTTTGCAATAAGAAATCTATCTCTCTCAGTCTTGAATATGTTCAAGGACTGAGCGTCAACAGCCCTTTGGGGTAGTGAGTTCCATACATTCACCGCCCTTTTGAGTGAAGAAGTTCTTCCTTAACTCAGTGTGAAAGGGCTGTCCTCTGATTTTAAGGTTGTGACCCCTGGTTTTAGTTTCTCCAACCGGGGATACGATCTCCCACTGTCTACTCTATCATGGCCTTTGATGATCTTATAGGTTTCTATAAGATCCCCCTCTAATTCTTCTATATTCTAGAGAATATAGGCCCAAATTGGTCAGACTATCCTCGTAACTCATCCCCTTCATCCCTGGCACTAACCTAGTAAGTCTACGCTGTACCCCCTCAAAGGCAAGTACATCCTTCCTTAAATAAGGAGACCATTATATGGAAAGTGGATTGACTGTGTATTTTGTGGATCAAAGGTTAGCACAAATAGGTCCGCTCCACCATCGGCGACGGTGCCTTCAGTCACTATGCCCCGAGGCTCTGGAACTTCCTTCCTCACTCCCTTCGCCTCGCCCCCTCTCTTCCTATTCTCAGGTCTCGACTGCGTGGCCCCGGGATCCGTTACTGTGAAGCGCTCCGAGATGCCGTCCGGCGTGGAGGGCGCTATATAAATCCAAGTTGTTGTTGTTGGTGTTGTTTCCACTGGTTGGGGAGTCCAAACCATGTTTGTGTTACAAGGACACAGTCACCAAACTCGACTCGAAATCCATACGAAACATTTTATTATAATAATACTTGAATTTGATACAGCGCCTGTAATGTCACGGAGTCCCGTAGTGTAGTGGTTAGAGCACTCGCTTCGCAAGCGAAAGGACCCGGGTTCGATTCCCAGTCAGGGCAGGACCTTAGGCAAGTTTCTTTACTCCACACGCCTCTGTTATAATAATAATAATAATCCTTGCATTTGATATAGCGCTTTTCACGTCGGGAGGACGTCTCAAAGCGCTTCACAGAATATACTGTAAAGTGAATTGACTGTATATTTGTGGGCGAACGCGGCAGCCAATTGCGCACAGCAATGTCCCACAAACAGTCGTGGATTGAAAATGACCAATTTATTATTGTTTTTGGCTTTGGAGGATTATTATTAGGCTCTGTGTGGAGTAAGGAAACTTGCCCGAGGTTTGGCCCTCTGCCTGGGATTGAACTCCGGTCTCTCGTCTGCAAAGCGAGTGCTCTAACCACTGAGCTACAGGACTCCACTGCTGTTCACCGAGCAGTAAGTCGGACCGAGGGGTAACAAATTGTGGGAAAGGCCCTTTAAGTGTAATTTGGTGGTGGGGGTGCTCCCTCCCTTCCCTCCCCTCACCCTGACCATTTCCCCCCTCCTCGCTCCCTCCCTTCCCTTCCCACCCTGACCATTTCCCTCCTCGCTCCCTCCCCCCCCCCTCACCCTGACCATTTCCCCCCAATGCTCGGGTCATGACCCAACTGTGCAGCGCCTTGGGACGTCCTCCTGACGTGAAAGGCGCTTTATAAATGGAATCTTGTTGTTGTTGTTGTTGTTTTTGTTGTTGGTTGTCGTCGTTGTCGCTGAGGTGAATGGGGGAATTCCCCTGAAAGCCGTTATACAAATGTCACGTCGTCGTCGTCGTCGTTGCTCTCCACCCTCCCGAACCCCGACCCCCCCCACCCAGCTCGGGGGACCGAAATTCCGACGGTCCAGCGGCCTCGGGAGGCCCTCCGCGTGTAATTTGGTGGTGATGATGATGGTGGTGGTGGTTGTTGTTGTTGTTGTTGGTGTGGATGGGGGAATCCCCTCCCTTGTGACAGCTCTCGTGACGTCAGACGCACGGGCTGCGCGCTGACGTGTATTCTTGGAAATCAGCTGATCCGCACGGCTCGCGGCTCTTCCCGCCGCCGCCGCCCCTCCCTGCTGGGGGGGGCCGGCGGGCTGAGTGACGGGCAGCCCCGGCTGACCAATCAGCGGTCCGAGCTGCCGGCCGCTGCGGGACGCGATTGGTCGGCCGCGAGGAGGCGGGCGGGAGCTGGGGGGCCGGGGTGGGTGGTGGGGGGGGGGAGGGGGGGGGGCGAGCCGAGGCGCGCGCGCGATCGGAACCGACCAATGGGCGCGCGGCGTGCGATGATCGACAGGTTGCCGGGCCAATGGGGAGGGGGCGCGTCGGCGGTTGGGCGGGAGCGGGAGTTGGGAGGTGACGGACGGCCCCGCGCGAGCCCGAGCCCGAGCTGAGGAGAAAGTCTGCCCTGAGTCGGAGAGCGACGAGCGCCGGCGTCAACGATGTAAATCTGAGGCCTTTTTTTTTCCCCCCTCCACCACCCTCCACCCCCACTCCTCCCATCAACAGGTAACGGCGGCGCTGACTCCCTCACCCCCTCCACCGGTCCAGTCCAGTCCTGTCAGCGGCTCCTCACGTCCCCCCCCCACTCCCGCAATGTTCTGGATTCTTCTCTCAGACCCCCCCCACTCCGAACCCCCCCCCACCCCCCCCCCACCCGCCTGGAGTCTCTGCCCTTAAGTGCTCTGCTCTGGGGACGCTCCCCTGCGTGAAGGGTGCTGTATAAATGCAAGTTGTTGTTGTTGTTGTATAACTCCCCACTGCCTGAGCTCTCCCCCCCCCCCCTCCTCCTTTCCTATTACCCCCCCCTCCCATTACCCTCTCCCCCCCCCCCCACTCACCCCCAGTCTAGGTCTCCAGTTTCTATTCCCCCCCTACTTCCCCCCCCCCTCCCTGGGCTTTCTGCCTCTCCCCGTTCAACCCCACCCCCCCCCCCCCCCCCGGGTTATTTGCCCCCTTCCGATTGCCCCCCTCCACCCTGCTCCTTCCTATTAACCCCCCCCCGCCTCTACTAACCCCCCCCGCCTCCTATTAACCCCCCCGCCTCCTATTAACCCCCCCGCCTCCTATTAACCCCCCCGCCTCCTATTAACCCCCCGCCTCCTATTAACCCCCCCGCCTCCTATTAACCCCCCGCCTCCTATTAACCCCCCCGCCTCCTATTAACCCCCCCGCCTCCTATTAACCCCCGCCCCTCGCGCTCTACCCACCCGCTCACACACACACACCCCCCCCCTTTGCCATTTTACAGGTCAAAACCGCTTGAACTTCTCCTCAATGTTTACTTTCAAGCGTCATAACTGTTTTGTGTAGAGGAACGTGGCGGTTGTTTGAGTCAGCGCGAGTCCCGCATAAGTCCAGGAGGTGATTGACCCCATCAGCTTGTCGATCGGAACATCGGGAGAAATCCCTTCTCTTCTTTCCACTATGTCTTGCGGTATCTTTTGTGTTCCCCGTGAACCAGCAATAAGAAACTTGCGCTTACCCCGGACCCGTTCACGTCCCCGCCAACCCGCCCGTCCGCTCCCTCCGTTCTCCCCGCCAACCCGCCCGTCCGCTCCCTCCGTTCTCCCCGCCAACCCGCCCGTCCGCTCCCTCCGTTCTCCCCGCCAACCCGCCCGCTCCCTCCGTTCTCCCCGCCAACCCGCCCGTCCGCTCCCTCGTTCTCCCCGCCAACCGCCCGCTCCCTCCGTTCTCCCCGCCAACCTGCCCGCTTCCTCCGTTCTCCCCGCCAACCCGTCCGCTCCCTCTGTTCTCCCCGCCAACCTGCCCGCTCCCTCCGTTCTCCCCGCCAACCTGCCCGCTCCCTCCGTTCTCCCCGCTAACCCGCCCGCTCCCTCCGTTCTCCCCGCCAACCCGTCCGCTCCCTCCGTTCTCCCCGCCAACCCGCCCACTCCCTCCGTTCTCCCCGCCAACCCGCCCGCTCCCTCCGTTCAGCCGGTCTCAAGCCCCTTCTCTTCGATCGTGCCTTTGGTCGCCCTTACACCTCTCTGCCTTCCCTCACCCCTACACTACCACCCCCCCATGCTCGGGTCCCGACCCCTGACTGTTAAGCGCTTTGGGATGACCTTCCGATGTGAAAGGCGCTCTATAAATGTCATTTGGTTTTTGTTGTTGTTGTTGTCCCAAGGTGCTGGACAGTCCAGGGTTTGCTGGGGGTGGGAACCAATTGGAGGTGGAGTGGGTGGAAAGATGACCGAAGGCACAGACAGGACTTTGATTTAAAGTCTTATTTGAAAGATGCTGCCATAGACAAATGGCAATTAAAATGCTGAGAATGTGCCACTTAAAGGGAACTGAATAAAGATTTGAAGAGGAAGAATAGAAAAGACTGGAGTGGGGGAGGAGAGAGCGGTTAATTGTAATTGTAGTTCTTAGTTTAAGTGAAGAAAGGGGCCTCAGCATTGGTTTGTTGGGCTGAATGATTTCTGTTCTTGTAAACCATTTAGAGTTATTATACAGTAGAACCTTTCAGGTTAAAATGGAAACACCTGTATTTTGCCCACCTGAAACACAAAGCAAAGGCTGGGGGGGTGGAGAGGATCTAAATTAACGGCTCAATTGTTTTTTAAAAAATCTGTAAATTGAATATCGTCGTGTTACGACCCAAGATATTTATGAAAACAGATGGTACTGATTTACACACAGACCAGTTTGTTCAGATGAGGCGAGCTTCACTTTACTCCCGACTTTGATAGATTTATTGGGGGTTGTTTGAGTGGTGAATGCTGGCCGATTTGAGATAACACACAGACTGGCAGTAGGGGACTTTTCTGCGCCATCCCATGTAATCAGGAAGCTGATCGGTGGTCAGGCCATCAGCATCTCTGCCCTACCCTTAGGAACTCCATCCCACAGTCCCTTCGCCTTGCCCCCTCCCTGGCCTCCTTCAAGTTGCATCTCAAGACCCTCCACTTTGACTGTGCCTTCGGTCACCCCCCCTACCCCCCGCCATTCACGCCGCTTGATCCCAACCTCCTGCTCGGGTCCAGATCCCTGACTGCCCAGCGCCTTGGGATTGTCCTCCCAACGTGAAAGAAGCTATACTGCAAATGTAATTTGTTGTTACTGTTGGTTGATCGTTTGAGTAACAGCACGTTCTGTACTGTACTAAACGGTGGTGGCTTTTCATGCGTTGAATTTGAGAGAAACCTGAAAAAAACTTTGCAGGAGACAAGCTTCCCATTGTGCTGAGTGTGAAAGAGTTCAGTGATCAGTGATTCAGCCACTGCATTGTGAGAGTATGGGTGGTACATGGAAGGTGTGACCTGAAACTCATTGAGGAAAGTTGAGTTGACGTCTCGGGAAGCGAGTAGAAGCATAATTGACATCAATATTTTGTTCTGCAGCGGTTATCGCACTGCACAGCGCACTCACGAATGTCAAACACATACCTCTATGATTCCATTGCCCTTTAATCTAGTTTTATTGTTTGGGAGTATGTTATGTTGTTGGGAGAGGTCTGGTTCTGTTGCCGTTTGGGTCTGGTTTGTGCAGTGATTTTTGAGGTGCAGTGAAGTGTTATTCTGCGTATTATAACCCTCTAACCTCTTTGTTTCTCTCCTTCCTCATTGTGTCACTTTCATCTATGAGTAAGATGCCGTACAAGTTGTGGTGTCTATGTGTCTTGTTTGAGGTCGGTAAGCGGAGAGTGCTTTACTCTTTACCTAAAGCATCAGTTTGGCTTAGTTATTGGCACTCTTCGTTCTGGTTCGGAACATCAACAACAAATTATATTTACACTAGTATAATGTTCCAGGTGTTGTAGAAAAATGCAAATGTTGTTACCATTGCATCAGATTGCTTGAGGATAGTTGGTCTTCTCTTGGCAGGATGATGAGCCAGTGGGAATTACTGAAGCAGCTTGACACCAAGTACCTGGAGCAACTGGATGAGCTGTACCAGAATGAAGCTCTTCCTATGGACATTCGGGAATACCTGGCTCACTGGATTGAAGCGCAGCACTGGTACGGTTTGTTACACACTCCCTCCTATTTATTACATTCAACCTAGTTCAGTTTATTATTTATTACGATTATTATTCAGTGTAGTGTGACTGCTCAGGTTTGTGGTGTGTTGCCGATGCAGATTCATTTACACGTTTACCTCCTTCGTTTCGCTCCTTCATTTCTAATTGATCTCTTTCTATAAAGATCCTTTATTATAAAAGTAATCCTTGCATTTGATATAGCACCTTGTCGCATCGTTGAAATATAGAATATACTGTGAAGTGGAGTGACTACGTATATTGTGGACGAAAATTTAGGATGAAAGATGTATTTTCGTTACACCAATCTCATGTCTGACCCAGCGCCTCTCACCCAATGAGGACGTCTCAAAGCGCTTCACAGGATCACTGTAAAGTATAGTGACTGTCTGTTTAACGCAGCAGCTCCCGGTTTGCATACAGCAATGTCCCTGCAAATGGGCACAATGCGAGCGGTTTTATCTTGTCTAGGAAGTTTTGACATACCAGCCTCTGTAAAGTAGCAAGTACACTCTGTATCTCTCTCATGCACACTCAGGTCTATCTGGTTTGATTATTTACAGTAGAGATAAAAACATGTTTGAGGTACCAGGTGTCTACACTTTTCCCTGTCAGATAGTGTGGGTTGGGTGTTAATTTGAAGGTTGTTTTGCATAATAACAACTAGAATGACTCATAACATCCACTAGTGAATTGCATAACAGCTCAGGCTTCTGATTCTGAGGAATGCAAAACAAATTCAATACTGTTAATTTTTCACCAGATATTAAAACTTGTATGGGACCTACAGTGGAGCCTCATTATAAGACCATTTGGGCCTTGAAACCTTAATAATATATAATAATCCTTACATTTGATATAGCGCTTTTCACGTCTTCTCGACGTCTCCAAACGCTTCACAGAATAGACTGTAAAGTGAATTGACCGTATATTTGTGTGCGAAATATCTCCTAACATAGAATGGACAGCATAGAAACAGGCTATTTAATCCTATTAGGCCTTGCCTATATTCATACTTTCCATGAGCCTCCACACCTCCTAATCCCCTCCTATACCCCGCTATTCCCTTCTTCCTTCATGTATTTCTCTTCCTTTATTACCCCCTTCCTCCTCCCCTCCCCGCCCTCCCAGAATGAGTCAGTCAATGTATTCACCTGGCCCCAAGTTTCTAAGTGTCAAAAGATCAGAATTCAGCACCCAAGCGCTTTGGGACATCCTCCTGGCGTGAAAGGCATGATACAAATTTAATTGGTTGTGGTGGTGTTGTTAATTTTTGTCAACTCCTTTCGTTTTAAAGACTTGTTGATTGGAATGGCTCTTCCCTGTTTCAATGTGTTTGCAGGGAGCAAGCCGCAACTAGTTACTCCCAGGCCACCATCCTCTACCAGAACCTCCTGGAACAGATCAACAACCAGTACAGCCGCTTCATGCAGGAGAAAGCTTTCGTCAGCCAACACAACTTCAAGAAATACAGGCAGAACATTCAGGTACTGTGCTGCCCGCATTCCCTCCCTGCAACTCTCTGTCTCATAGGAACAGGAAGGAATAGGCCATTCACTGCACTGTGCCAAGTGGTACTGGGGGTTTTGGTGAAACCACTGGTTATTAATGTGAATGTTATTGCAGAAGTAGCACAGCTTTCAGCTGGTATGAAGGTTGCTTTGACTAACAGTTTTTTTTTCAATACATGAACTATATGGGATGTGCGATCACACAATGTCCTTGGGTAATAAGCCACTGACGATAACTGACACCAGAAACATTCTCTTCTGCTTTATGAAAACTTGTGGCTGAATCTGAGCCAGCGGGTGAGGAAAGTATTGTGAAATCCACTTGTAGCAGGGTAGAGCAGCTGAGTCCTGCTCTTTTTATCTTTCTCTTTCCCTCTGGATATCCTGTGTCGATTCCTGACGTCACCTTGTGAATACTTTGTGCTCTAACACTTTCCTTAGATAAACACTGATATCATTGAGACATAGAAACAACAATAATGCATGGATTATAGGTAGGGAATGGCAAATATTTAGTAAACCTTGTGATTTTGTTTTGCAATATTCTGCAGTCTGCCAAAAAAAATTTTAACAGTGCATTTACTTACTCAGGGTCTGTGCAGGAAGTGGATAGTTTAATCCCACTAACATTGACGTGCTAACACAATACATGTTCCATGGCTTCTCTGTGGTGGAGAGGGATAATGGTTACAACCACTTTTTGATCCAAGCTTTATGATCAAGATCACGTTTTGATGTTCTTGATTTTTCCGAACTTATTTCCTGTCCACTTCTACACATGACCAACCCATCACCTCCTGCTCGTTCCCCTCTCTTGCAAATAACCTCTCGCTTTCGTTTTTCTTAGGCTGTTTACGGAGAGGACCCTGTTCAGTTGGCAAAGTATGTGGCTGCTTACCTGAAGGAGGAGGGGAAGATACTGGCCAAGGTTGTGGTGGATCAGCAGGTCAGACTGAATTATTAAAAATCCTTGCATTTGATAGAACGCCTTATCACGTGGTTGAGATATGAGTCCTGTAGCTCTGGTTAGAGTAGTTGCTTTGCAAGCGAGAGACCTGGGTTTGATTCCCAGCAGGGTGAAACCTTGGGCAAGTTTCCTTACTCCACACGCCTGATAATAATCCCTCAAGAAAATAAAACAATAATAAATTGGTCACTTCAAACCATGACTGCTGTGCGCAGTTGGCTGCCACATTTCGCCCTCAAATATACAGTCAATTCACTTTACTATTTCTATTCTGTGAAGCGCTTTGAGACGTCTAGAAGACGTGAAAAGAGCTATACCAAATGCAAGGATTATTATAAAGCGCTTCATAGAATATATTCTAAAAAGTGGCATGACTTTATTTTGTGGGCAGAACTTGGCAGCCAATTTCGCACAGAAGTGTCCCACAAACAGTGGATTGAGTGAACAAATCCATTTTTTATTTTTTTAGGAGGGATTATAAGCGATCTGCCAATTGACTAACAACCGGGTTCCTACTCACTGCTAGGTAAACATAGGCGTGTGGAATAAGGAAATTTACCTAAGATTCTGCCCTGTCCAGGAATCGAACCTGGGTGCTTTTGCTTGCAAGGCAATCATGTTAACCACCACGCTACAGAACTCCACAAGACTCATTATTGTTTGTAAGCTGTTGCTGGCATAAATTCGCTGCAGCTTTTGTCTGAACATTAACATTCCCTTTGATTAATCTCTTTCTGTGAAGTGCTTCGAGACATTTCTTTTGCATATGAATGTACATTGCTGGATAGTGAAATGCTGTAATGGGAATGCCTTGCTATTTATTCCTTACTCACACTTCTTACCCCTTCTTGTTCTAGGCTCCAGTCGGGAAAAACCAACCCATGGAATCAGAGAAACAGCAAGACATCGAACAGAAAATGATGCATTTGAAATCGAGTGCACAGGTGAGAGCAGTGTGAATTGACATTATCTTTCTGACTCTTTCCTCCACACACCCCCACCCCACTCTTCTCCTCCAGACTCTTCCTAATGCCAGCAACCGGTGAAGCTGGGTTGTTGGTTTGTTCCCGTTTGATGCATTCTTAAAAAGGTTCCTATCTCCCTCTCCGCCCTCCTCCCAATTCCGAGAGACCCTGGCTCCTCATGTCAAAACGTTTTCTTCCTTGCTTGGAGGGCGAGGGAGCATTCTTGCTCTCTAACCGTTCTCTCTTATTCCTGCAGATGTGCGAGCAAGAGTCCACCTTTTTGGAGGAACAGCAGGACGAGTTTGATTTCAAGTTCAAGACTCACCAAGTGAGACGCCAAGGTGAGGGCTCGCAACTCCCTGTGCTTGTGGGATGTTGGGGTAGTAACACAGGAGCTTGAATGTCCCCCTGAACATGCAGGAGGGACCTCTGCTTCAGAGTCTCAATTGAAGGAGACCTTTTCCTATACTCTTGTGAGGCGAGCACTCTAACCACAATGTTATTCTGGAGTCCTGTGGCATAATGTTTTGCGCACTTGCCTCGCAAGCGAGAGGATCCAGGTTCCATTCCCGGGCAGGACGAAACCTGAGGCAAGTTTCCTTACTTCATCGCAAGCCTCTGTTTACCGAGCAGTAAGTCGGTTGAAGGATCGCTTTTTAGTGTAATCATCTCTCCAAAAACAAACAAATAAATAAATAATAATAATGGTCGCTCAATCCATGTCTGTGGATGCTGCTGTGCACAATTGGCAGCTGCATTTCGCCCACCAAATATACGGTCAATCCACTTTATAATATGTTCTGTGAAGCGCTTAGACGTTTCAACGACGTGATATAAAATGCATCAAAGGCGCTATATCAAATGCAAGGATTGTTATTATTATTACTCTTTTGGGATGTCCGTTTAGTTCCTAGCCCAAGGCTTGAACCCACAACCTTCTGATCCAGAGGTGAGGGTATAGTCAGCTGAGCCAGGCTCAGGCACAGTGTAATTTTTTCATGTTGATCCTTTCCATCTTTCAGAGACCAGCAATTACAATGATGCCCAATTGACAGAAGACTGGAAGACATTGCAGATCATGCTAAACAAACTGGATTCCAGTCGGAATGTAAGTCTTCTATCCATGAGCCGCAGCTGTCTGGGAGACCCGAATCCCACTGCTATACGTCTTGTGTAAATCTATGCAATTCTTTTTCAAACGCTGTTATAGCTTCTGCTTCAACCACTGGATTTTAGTGGAAAATTCCAATGTAATTTGTTGTTGTGCCCTTCACGTAGAGTGGTTTGCAAATACATAATAACCGTCTGTAAGCCTCTTAACTACTTCCTTTTTCTTTTTGGTGGTGTTAAATTTATGCCCCGGCCCTTCCAATTCGGAACACACCAACTAATGCAAATAGTGTTGCATGTTTCGCCTCATCAGAAACGTCATGATATACAACATCCTGAACTTGTTTACCACAGAGTTTCATTGATAAATTCAGCGAACTGCTGACCAAAGCTGAGAAGCTGCTGGACATTCTGGTGAGCGAGGAGTTGGTGGACTGGAAGATACGGCAGCAAAAGGCTTGTATTGGAGCCCCTATAACCGTCAGCCTGGACCAGCTGGAGAACTGGTGTGTAGAGATTACGTGCCGGGGAAAGAGAGGGGAGCGGGATGGGTGCAGAGGTGTGTGTTGGGGGTGGTGGGGGGAGTGTGTAGAGTTGCGTTGCTTTGTTATATAGTCTCTGTGAAACAACCACCTCTCCAGCTGCTGGACTGAAGACCCCGTTCCATTTGGTTGGATGATACAATACAAAATTACATTTACACAGTGGCTTTTGGGTTGGGAGGACGTCCCAAGGTGCTGGACGGTCAGGTGATTTGGACCTGAGCTGGGTGGGGGGGTTCAGTTCACCCCTCCCTCCCTCCCAACACTGTCTGTCTCTCAGGTTCACGGTGGAGGCAGAGTGCCTGTTCCAGCTGAAACGGCTACTGAAGAAGCTGGAGGAACTGGGGAAAAAGGTGACATACGAGAACGATCCCTTCAAAACGAAGATACCAGCTTTGAAGGAGCGAACTATCAAGCTGCTCAGCAGCCTCATCAAAAGGTTACTGCCTGGCCCTCCACCGCGCCCCCACACACACACCCACACACACACCTCGGACCTAATTGTGCTTCTACCTGCGGTTCAGATCAATGATAATAATAATCCTTGCACTTGATATAGAGCCTTATCACATCTTCGAGATGGCTCAAAGCACTTCGCAGGATATACTGTAAAGTGAATTGCCTGTATATATTTTGTTGAGTAAGCAAGTACTGACCTTAGTGGTTAGAACGCTCGCCTCACAAACGAGAAGCCCGGGGTTCGATTCCCGTTCAAGGCAACCTTAGGCAAGTTTCTTAACTTAACCTAGCAGTAAGTCAGAATCCGGTTGTTAGTTGATTGGTGGATCAGTTTTCCAGAAGTAATAATCCTTTTTTTTAAAAACAAAAANTAATTTGGTAATTTAATCCTTAGGAAAGTTTCCTTAATCCGTGACTGTTTGTGGGGACGCTGCCATGCGCAGTTGGCTGCTGCGGTTCGTCCACAAAATGTACAGTCAATTCGCTTTATAGTATATTCTGTGAAACACTTTGATACGTCTCGACGACGTGATAAGGCGCTATATCAAATGCAAGGTTGTTATTATTTTGACTTGCCTCCTTTAACGATTCACTTAGCTTCCGCTTGCTTTTTGCAGTGTTTTATCTGTGCGCTTAAATGAACGATTTCCTCATTCCAGTGCGTTTGTTGTGGAAAACCAACCATGCATGGCTCCTCAGACTAAGATGCCTCTCTTGCTGAAAACAAGCACCCAGTTCACCGTAAAGCCCAGGTAAGAACGTAAAGATGTGTTGGGTTAGTAGAAGATTGGTGTCCATGCTTTGGAGACGATGGCAGCTGACACGAGAGCGTATGGAGCTTCCATCTGAGTTGTTGCGTTAAATTAGTGGGCTGTAACATCCTTATACTGGGCAGGATAAGCAAGACATTCTGTCACGTAGTCCTGTAGCGTAGTGGTTAGGGCACTTGCCTTGGAAGCGAAAAGATCTGGGTTTGATTCCCAGCAGAATGAAACCTTAGGCAAGTTTCCTTACTCCACTTGCCTCTGTACCCAGCAGTAACTAGGAACCCGTTTGGTAGCCGATTGGTGGATCAGTTTTCCCTGTGTAATGAGCCTTTTTTAAAATAAATAAATAATTTATTCACTCAATCCTTAGGCAAATTTCCTTAATCAACGACTGTTTGTGGGCAATTGGCTGCTGCGTTTTGCCCACAAGCTATACAGTCAATTCATTTTACAGTATATTCTATGAAGCGCTTTGAGACATCTCAAAGACGTGATAAGGTGCTGTATCAAATGCAATGTGTTTATTATTATGTCAAGGACATGTCAATACCTCATACTCGCAGTCCGTGAGTATGAGGTATTGACATGTCCTTGACTTTGTGACCCAAAGCCCTGAGGAGTCGGGGAGTAAGTGGGGGCGGGGGGGGGAGTCGAGCACCATGGTGTACCAGTGCTATGTGGTTCCAATGTGTAGCTTGACGGGCAGTATTTATTCTTTGTGACGCTCGTCTCCCGTTTCCTTTCAGACTCTTGGTGAAGCTGCCGGAACTGAACCACCTGATGAAAGTGAGAGCTTGCATCGACAAGTGAGTGCCCACTGAATATTGCCTGTCAATCCCTGTCACCTCCTTTCTCACTGTCTTGACCGTCCGTTCCCTGGGTTAGAACATTCCTCCAGTGGGTACAGGGACCTTTGCTGCCAGAAAATTCGGCCGCCAGTCAAGTTGCATTGTACCGATGGCCTAATCACGTCGTTGAGACGTCTCAAAGCGCTTCACAGAATACGTTGTGTACGCCTACAAAACTACATGATCTGGCTTATGCTAATAATTGTTTTATGCTTCCTTGCAGGAATCCACCGAATGGGAAAGGGTAAGAGGCATTGATGTCACTAATCTATGTCCTTGCGTGCGTAGGTTCCATTGTTTGTTTATTAACGTTTAGTGCCCTCATTTCAGTTGGCCAGTAAGCTCCTCTCCACGTGTTCCCTCAGCGAAAGCCAAGTGAGACAAAGGTTACTCTCGCTAGAGAGAGTTTGAAGGGCAACAGACTTGTTTGAAGCTTTTGGTGGCAGAAGCAATTAATGATGGGGGTATTTTCCTCAGTCGAGACATTAATCTGAGGTTCTGTCTGCCTGTTAATGTGGCCAATAAAAATCCCACGGCGCTATTAATAATACTTGCATAGCACTTCTTCTCCTGAGAGTGTCTTAAAGTGCTTCGCAGGATATTCTGTAAAGTGAAGTGACTGGATGTTTTGTGGACGAATGTGGCAGACAATTTGCACGCATTGATGTCCCACTATTGGAAAAGAGTTTCTCCAGGTCCAGTATTGAGATGGATGATAACGTCTCTTCCGCAAACAGTGGTTAAGAGCAATTTATATGCTTGAATTATACAATAATGCTAATAATAATAATAATCAGGTTCAAGAGCACAGAAAGCTCCACAGAGACAGCTGCTATACTGCTGTCAATTTCTCTCGGCAGGTACCGGAGGTTCAATATCTTGGGCACAATTAGCAAGGCCATGAATATGGATGAGTTGAGGCACGGGGGATTGTGTGCTGATTTCAGACATCTGGTAAGGAGCAAAAGGTGGCTGGTTAGTGGGGCAGTTACAGTTTTACTGAGTTACTTGTATTTCGATTTGAAGATCCTCTCACTCTTCTTTTAATCCCTTCACACCTTCACACCTCCCTACCGCTCTGACCTGCTTACTCCCCAACCCACTACCCGCTGCCTCCGTTCGACTGGCTCCGGCCTTCTGTTTGTCCCTCGTGCCCTTCGTTCCACCAACAGTGGCCACGCTTTCAGCCACGACACTCTGGAACTCTCTCCCCAATCCCTCCGCCTTGCCCCCTCCTTCCCCATTTTCAGGTTGCGCCTGAAGATCTTTCTCTTCGACCGTGCTTACGGTCAACTCCCCCCGGCTTGGGGTTGTGCTCCACCACTGTCAAGCACTCTGGGACGCCTCCCTGCATGAGGGGCACTGTGTAAATGCAACTTGTTGTTCTATTATGCAGTGCATTATGTGAGGGTTCAGAGGAAATGCTTTACATATTTACAAGGCTACTTGACCGTGTGTTAGAGGGTTTCAGGGGACAGGGGGAAGGAGAGAAGTGGCTGTGAGTCAACGAGGTGGAAGTTTGAAGAAAAGTGCAGCTACCAGAATCCGCAGTGGTTCCCAAACTGATCGTTTTCCGCTCTTGTGATTTCAGCAACTCAAAGAGCAGAAGTCTGGCATTGGAGGCAAAGGCAGCAACGAGGTAAGGCAGTGTCCTCCCTCTATAGGGCAGCAAAGTTATGTTGCACCTTGCCACCAGCAATGGAGGAGGCGATTTTGGTTGAAGTGGTCAATACCATGTTTTAAGAAGCCTTGGGTTAGTTATAATGTGAAACGGTCTCAAAGTGCTTCGCAGAGAATCGCTGCCAAACTGCAGGGACACCGTTATGAGGGGAGTTGACAAAATATGCCATGATATAACTGAGGGTCCTGACCAGCAATGTTTTATTTGGTTAATTAATTAATACAAGTGCAAGTTATTAATAATAATAATCCTTGCATTTGATACAGCGCCTTATCACACTGTTGAGACTGCTCAAAGCGCTTCACAAATGTATTGTAAAGTGACATGGTGTATTTTGTGGGCAAAATGCGGCAGCCAATTGTGCACTGCATTGACCCACAAACAGTCGTAGAATAAATGACCAATTTATTATGTTTTTTCGGAGGCATTATTACCCCCAGAAAGCGGTCCGCCAATCGACTAACAACCGAGTTGCTACTTAGTGCTAGGGACCGTTCAGCCTATTCGGATGTCCTCCCTGATGTGAAATGTAAATTTGTATTGTATTATTTGCCTCCTGTACGATGTTGCTGATTTACTGTTTCCCCCATCCCCCAGGTGTCCCTGATAGTGACTGAGGAGCTGCACATCATTAGTTTTGAGACAGAGCTGCACTGGCAGGAGCTGGTGGTAAAACTCGAGGTGGGTTTTTACCCCTGTTTGTGTTTCACTGACATTACAGTAGCATTGGCACACGAACACACACCACACCTTAAACATCTGCCTTCTGTCCTCTCAATTCTGACCACTTCAGTGGAGGGTGCGCGTGGAGCTTAGCACGAGCACAAGTTCAGCCTCTTCAGGCAAGGAGGCACGATAGATAGGAAGGAAGGAACAACGCTGGATAACACCAATAGGACATGTTGAGATTGTGGCTGTATTGCAGTGGAGGTTAGAAATCGACCCTCATTTAATTTTCAACTCTGCTTTCTGTCATCTTTCCTCCGAACTACTCCACTCCTTCTCAGCTCAGGTGCCCAGCCAGCAGTCTAAAGCAATTTTGAGACCTCCCTTCACGAAGTGAAAGGTGTAATATAAACGTTAATTTTCTGGTGCTTTCTTACCACGTGTACTTTTTTTTGACGTCCGACTGTTTCTTCCTGACAGACCTCAACGTTGCCTGTGGTTGTGATTTCCAATGCCAGTCAGCTCCTCAGTGGTTGGGCCTCAGTACTTTGGTACAACATGCTGTGCAATGACCCAAAGGTGAGAGGAGGGATGATTTATAGTAGTGGTAGGGAGGGGAGTGATGTGTAATAATAATAATAATCAAGCACTCTGGGATGATATCCTGCATGATGGTTGCTGTATAAATACAAGTTGTTGTTCTTGATCACTCTTGCATTTGATATAGCACGTTATCATGTCGTCGAGACATCTCAAAGCACTTCGCAGGGTGTACTGTAAAGTGGTTTGACTGAGTGTTTTGTGGGTGAAATAACCGTGAATGCACAGTAATTACCCCTCACAGTATATTCTGTTAGGCGCTTTGAGACGTCTCAAAGCCACGATAAGGCGCTTCAAATGCAAGGATTATCATTAATATTATTATTGCATATTAGGGAATGTAGCAATTCAGAGCATGCTGAACGGGATTGAGAGAATAAAACCCAGAACAATATTCTCAAGACAGTAGGGTCAGTATTGTGGAAGGACGAGATTAAATAATAATCCACAGGACCTCCTTCGACCTCTCGAGTGATCTGTGCGCGGTCAGTCAGGACCGGGGAGAAGCCTCGAGAATTCAGCCCCACTTCCCAGGACCTTGCTAGCTAACCACTGATCCATTCGATTGGCTCTGGCCTCCTGCTTGTCCCTCGGGCCCTCCATTCCACCATTGGTGGCCGGGCCTTCGGCCGCTAGCCCCTCGAAACTCTAGAACTCTCTTCCTCTATCCCTCCACCTTGCCCCCTTTCTTCCCCATCTTCAGGTCGTGCCTGAAGACTTCCCTATTCAACTGTGCCTACGGTCATCTCCCCCCTCCCTCCCGGCTTGACATTGTACTCCACCGCTGTCAAACCTGGGACGCTATCCTGCGTGAGGGGCGCTGTGTAAATTTAAGTTGTTGTTGATGATGAATCCAGTTTTGAGAACATTGCATTTTTCTATCAAAGGCTTGGAGATTAAAGGTATTTTGTTTTAATTTCTAGCACTTGCTGTTCTTTTCCAACACTCCAGCGGCCCCTTGGCACCAGCTCTCCGATGCCCTGAGCTGGCAGTTTGAGTCCAACACCAAGAGAGGGTTGGACAGCGACCAACTCTCTATGTTGGCAGAAAAGCTCTTTGGTGAGTGAGTACCCAACCTCAGCCCTGCGTGGCATTGGAGTGCTTGCGTTTATATAGCACCCCTCACGCAAGCGTCCCAGACCGCTTACAACAAATGCAAGTTGCCTCCTTCGAGACCCATCTCAAACCCTCCTCTTCGACCGTACCTTCAATCACCCTCCTTTTTTTTATGCCCCCCCCCCCGCCCTCCACCCTCCCTGATCCCGACCCCCAGCTCGGGTCCGAAACATTAACTGTCCAGCGCCTTGGCACTTCATCCCGATGTGAAACCTGAAAATGTCATTTTGTTTTTGTTGTCGTAGTGTCCCTAGGATGTGTGTGCGCTCAGGTGCTTATGTAACGCATCAATGCTGGTGTTCAGTTTAAGAAGTGCATTCCTGTTCAGCGAATGTAACGTAAAGCTGCACTTTCCAAACGATAGAAGTTGAAGTAATAGAGCACAGAAACGGGCCATTTGGCCCAACTGATCTGTATTGGGTGGTCATGCTCCACATCGGCCTCTATCCCTTCTATTCTTCTCTTCTGTAACCTTTGCTGTAGAGATTCTTGTAAATTCGTGGTTAGAGCAATTGCAAACGAGACGACCTGGGTTCGATTCCCGGGCAGGACAGGGCGAAATGTTTGGCAAGTTTCCCTACACCACACACACGCGCTCCTTTCCTGTCGCTTCTCCCTCGTGAACACGTCACTTTTTCTCTGAAATCTGCTGATGAGGTTCTATACAATATTTACATTTTTATAAAAAAAAATTATTTCAACGTTCAGGGCCTCAACAGAATTACGCAGACTCTTCCATTTCGTGGGCAAGGTTTTGCAAGGTTAGTATCAGTGACATTACATTTGTTGCTTACCCCACAACCCGCTGCCTCCGCTCGACTGGCTCTGACCATCTGCATGTCCCTCGTGCCCTGTATTGCACCATTGGTGGTCGCGCTTTGAGCCACTAGGCCCCGAAACTCTGGAACACTCTCCCTCTATCCCTCTGCCTTGCCCCTTCCTTCCCCATCTTCAGGTCGTGCCTGAAGACTTTCCTCTTCGACCTGCCTACGGTCACCTCGCCCTCTTCCTGGCTCGGCGTCGTGCACCGTCACTGTCGAGCGCTCTGGGACGCTACCCTGTGTGAGGGGGCGCTGTGTAAATGCAAGTTCTTGTTGGATATTTATCCAGCTTGATGCCATTCTCAGCAATGGTGGCTGTAAAACCAGTGTCAGGGTATCAACCTCACGGCTCGTGGCGTATCTGGCAAACGACTGCTGGTTGTTTGACTTAGTATAAAGGCTGAATCCTAGTTGACTGCAGGTGAATGAATCCACACGTTAGATTGTGCTCAAGCCTTTGCCAGGACGCAATACTCCCAAGTGCAATACGGGGGGAGCTCTGCTGCATTGCTGGTGCTGTTTTCTTCCAGGGTGAGACGTCTAATTGCCTCCTTCAAGGCCTGTCTCAAGCTCCTCTTCAACCGCGCCTTCGGTCACCCTCCTACTTCCACCCTACCTGCCCTCCACCTCAGCTTGGGTGCAAATCCCTGATTATCCAGCGCCTTGGGACGTTCTCCCAACATGAAACGCGCTATACAAATTTAATTTATTGTGGTTGTTAACTGCCTGCTCGTGTGTCCGTTTAGAGATATTGTGATGCTTTTAAGAAATGAGGATGTTTCTCCCGCTGTCCTGGCCAAGAATCCTCCAGATAAATTGGTCCTGGCTGTTTGTGGGACTTTGCTGTGCTGAAAGTGGCTACGCATGCACGGCTTGCTACCCTTGTTAACAATTATCTGTGAGATGCTGTGAGAGGTTTTGTCGTTTCCAACTGTTATTTCAAGCGGAAGGATTATTACAGTTAGCTGCTATTAAGAAGCTGTCTAACACCAGTAACCCTGAAACGAGCACAGAATTCTTTGGTTTCCCAGTCGAAAACGATCCTAATGTAATGAATGATTCCCCTTTTGGTATTCAATCTGTTACAGGAGAATTTACCCAAACAAAATTTTTCCTTTTGGATTTGGCTGCAAGGCATTCTGGAACTCATCAAACGTTACCTGGAGGATATCTGGAATGCCGGGTGTGTATTTGGGATTTACTTTGACTGCGGGCTCTCTCTCAGATTGGGAATATCCGGCTCAATGGCAACTCGAGCGTCTCGGAGCCCTTTAAAGACCTTCCTTTTTGATCGTGCTTATGGTCACCGCCCCACACCCCCTCCCTCTCGCTCTGGCTCGGTGTCAGACTTCGCCACTATCAAGCGCTCCGGGACCCTACCCTGCGTGGAGGGCTCTATATAAATGCAAGTTGTTGTTGCTAAATTGGCTTTAATGCTTCACTGAACCAACGCCATAATCCTGAATGTCAAATGATACTTCGGCAGCAGTGCCTTGTCTTATTGTGTTCCAGGGGCTTTGGCTTCCACAGGTGCAATAGTTTTCACAGTGAGGGAGGGGGCTGGACGGGTGTGTGAGGGTGGAATGTCGCAGGAGGAGGCTGAATATGTGAGGGGTTGGATATCTGAGGCCAATATATAAGTGTGAGGTGGGGAGTGGGCCCGGGGGTGGGTGGGGAGATGTCTGTCTGACTCTGAGCGTGTGTCTGGAGTGGGGAGTGAGGGGAAAGGTGCTGAAGGTGAGACAGGCGAATGACTTGCTTCCTCTTTTCCCCCCCCACCACGCCTCGCATCCCCCCAGGCACATTATTGGATTTCTGAGCAAACAGAGGGAGAAGATTCTCTTGAAAACAAAGCCCACTGGAACCTTCCTGCTGCGCTTCAGTGAGAGCTACCGAGACGGAGGCATCACCTTCTCTTGGGTGGAACATTTACCCAACGGTAAGTGAAAGATGAGTCTCGGTTACTCGTTTCGCCCACAAAATACACAGTCAGTGCACTTTACACTGTGAAGTGCTTTGAGGCATCTCAACAATGTGATAAGGCGCTACATCAAGTGGATAAGCCTCTGTTTACCTAGTAGTAAGTAGGAACCCTGTTGTTAGTTCATTTGCTTTTGAGGTAATAATCCCTTAAAAAAAATAATAATCGGATCACTCAGTCCACCACTGTTTGTGGGATGCTGCTGTACCCACAAAGTATACAATCAATCCACTTTACAGTGTATCCCGCGAAGCGCTTTGAGACATCTCGAAGACGTGATAAGGCGCTGTATCTAATGCAAGGATGATTATTATTACTAGCTGGGTTCGGCCAGGCTGGGTGTGTTGTGCAGAAGCAGTTGAGTGTTGGGGTGCTTCGACCGTGTCTCTAACCGTTGCAGGAAAGCCCAAGATCCACTCTGTGGAGCCCTACACTAAGACACACCTGTCCAACATCTCTCTCTCGGATATCATCCATAACTACAACATGATCGCCGACGAGAACGTTCCCGAGCACCCCTTGCTCTACTTGTACCCCAACATCCCGAAGGACGAAGCCTTCGGCCATTACTACACCAACTCTGAACCAGGTAATCAATAATAATAAAATGTAGTAATATTTTAATAATAAATAATATTTACGCTGGAGCCAATGGAGCCAGCTTCAAGTTTGCCAAGTTTTAATAAGTAACGTTATTAAATAAGTGACAACGCAAGTTGTTGCCAACCATTCACTTTGAAGTGAAGTGCTTTGAGATGTTTTTATGTTGTTAGGTGCTGTATCCATTGCGGATCATTGTTATTGATTAGTGAGGTTCGCTTGTGAACTGAAGTCAGGCTGTGAAAAGGCAGAATGGGGAGTTGATTGTTCTGTGTGCTCTCTTTTTCCCTCTCTTTCTGCAGGTCTGATGAATCACAAATACTTGAAAACCAAGTTAATTGTGGTGTCCGAGAGGTAAGCGAGCGAAAGTCAACCGTAACTCTGATTCTCAGGCAGATAATGACTTGTCAATGATGGGGAAAGGATCGGGATATAACCTACAGAGACGTGTGTGTGTGTGTGTGTGTGTGAAGTATTCAAAACTCAAAGAAATTGCCGAGCTGCATAGTGGGTGACGTCCTCTGATGGAGAGCATTAATATATTTTAGTGCACGCATCAATACCCGCTCACAAACTCGAGCCCAGAAGAGGGAATGCGATCAGGCGGAATGTGGCCAGAGAGTGGGGAATTGTGTCAGGTTGTGTCAGCAATTCAAGAAGGCATTAGATTGACTGTTTGGCAAAGGGAGGCCTCGAGCTGTTAAGAGTGAATATTTTACTTTGGGGACAAGAGGTAGTTGGGACGCTCTCCCTGTGTGAAAGGGGTTCTTTAAAGGTAATTTTGTTGTTGTTGTAGTTTCAACAATTAAATTCGGAGAGGAAACGTTACGTTTTTCACTCTTTTATCTCTCCCCGCCCCCACACAATGGTCCGCTTTTTCCATCTCGCTCCAGACCCCCCACTGCTGTACCATCCACTGAACGGCTGGAATCGTTGGACATGGATCTGTATGACTTTCCGCTATCAGGTAACTGTTTTCTTCTGGCGCTCCCAATGTGAAGGGCGCCGTATCAATGCAAGTTGCTGTGGTGAAGGTCTTCCTCTTCGACCGCGCCTCCGGTCGTCTCCCTCTACCAACCCCCCGGCTCGGAGTTGTGCTCCGCCACTGTCAAGCGCCTCTGGGCCGCTACCCTGAGTGAGGGGCAAGTTGTTGTTGTAGTGCCTGTGTGTATTCCGTAGGAGTATTGGTTAACTCTCTGTTGCGTCTTCCTGCAGATTCAGATTTAATACAGCTCCTGGAGACGAGTGATCTGAATCAACCCTGAGCTGTTCTGACCTTCAAGGAGGCTTGTGCTATTGATGCAAAGACTGCACCCCCTTCCCCCACCCCCTCCAACCCCTCCTACCACCATGAGGATGTCTTGTCATTGGCTCATATGACCAGCTGTACTCCGGAAAAGACCGGATCGATTGACCACTGCAAACAACAATAACTTATCTTCTCGGTTGATCCACACCACAAATAGCATTGGGCTGAAATGTTGACGCAGGTTTCTCTCTGTATGCTTGTCAGATTCTGCCCTGCTGCACTGAGTGCTGGTGCTGTGAATGGGGTTGACAAATCGATCGAGATGTCCTTGCCTCGTTTTCCCCCCGAAATCATACGGTGGGGGTGGGGGGATTCCCTCCCGAATCCAACCCCCAACTCGCGTGCAAACCCTCGACTGTCCAGCACCTTGGGAATTCCTCCCGACATGAAAGTACGACTTGAATGTAAGTTGTTGTTGTTGTTGAGAAGACCACTGAATTACCCCCTTCGTTCCCAATTCCTTCTCATGCCTCGTGTATTTACACTGAGGTGACAGGAGCATAATATAAGAATTAGAAGACTTAAGGGCCATCCAGTTCGCCTTCCACCATCCAGGCAGTCGCTTGCACATGTCATGTCCCAAACTATTTCCTGTTTCCCAAGATATTATTTCTTAACAGAAATCTGTTATGTTCTTTCATTTGTTGTTGGAAGAATCAACACATTCTGCTTCCACCGTCTTGTCTGCCGGTCTCCCTAGGGAGCTTGTTCTATACATTTACTCACTGAAATAGTGTTTCCGCAGATTTGTTTTGATGCAGAGTGGGAATGGATAATCCTGTGGAGATAAATTAATCGCATAACCACTTTTTGACATCCCAACCCCCATCACTCATCATTGCCTTCATCACTCACCTACCATCTGGGCCACTTTTGTGGGTTTCTAGACGTCCTGAATGGATATGATGTGATCCAAGTGAATTAACTAGCGTCCAGCTGCCTTTTTGCACACTACTTTTTTTTATTGATGGCTATTAACGTTGGTGGGGTCGAGAAGTCACAGCCTCCATCAGACCTGTGTTTGGCTGTCTGCACTTTATGGCTTCAACCAGCTTTGTTTGCCTGGTATTGCTTTGCTCTCAGTTCTACTTGGGAGCAAATACCAGGAAGGGGAAGCTGGTCACAGGTTGGGGCTGCTCTTGCCTCTGGAGACCCACAGCACCATGTCCCCAGGGCTGGGGGCGGGGGGGGGGGGGTGCGGGGGTGTGTGGGGGAGAGAGGATGTACTGTGGGAAAGTTTGCTTGATAATGATTGTCACCAAAGCGGGAATCTCGATTTTGAACCTTGGAAGCAGCTTTGGCCATAAATCTCATCCTGAAAAGCTGGAGGTTTTTTTACTGGTGGGAGAGAGAAGGTAAGGGTGGGGGGTGGGGTGGGAGAAAGTGTTTATACCGTCAATAGGATTAGGTAATTGGAGTTGAGGTACAGGTTAGCCGTGATCTAATAGAATAGTAGTTCAGACTCGAGGGGCTGAATGGCTTATTCCTATTCCTATGATAGAAATATGCCCAAGAACCACTGATACTAATACAATTGAGAACAGTGTATATGTATTTATGTAGAATATTTTTGGGGAAAAATGCAAAGGGATAGGACTCGGGGTTATTTTTGTGAATTGTCCCTGGTACGTATTCGGTGGTTGGGGCTGGGAGGGTGCGTAGTTAGTGGCTTGAGGGGGGAAATCTTTGAGACCGGGGAAGGATAGAACAAAGTTTTATTCTTGTGTGGTTTAATTGAAGTAGCTCTTTGTCTTGCATTTGTTTTCTGAGCGAGTGTGACTTCTCCTTGCGTGTGGACAAAACTGATCCAAACTTCTTTTCTAATATTATACTGATTAATTGAGGTAAAATCAGTGTCAATAGTGCTACGACTGACATCTAGTGTCAAAGTGGTAAATTTAATAGTGTGTGCGCACGTGTGAGTGTGTGTGTGTGTATATATATTGCCTGTTAGAAATTCCTTTTTGTGTGATCACTACCCCGGGGCCTCTACTCAGCTGGCTCCGACCTATTGCATGTCCCTCGTCCCCTCCCCTCTACCATTGGTGGGCATGCCTTCAACCACTAATGGGCAGCGATGCTTCCAGCCACTACACTCTGAAACTATGGAACTCTCTCCCTCAATCCCTCCTCCTTCCCCATCGTCAGATCACCCCTGAAGCCCTTCCTCTTCGATCGTGCCTACGGTCAACTCCCCCTGGCTCAGCCACTGTTAAGCGCTTTGAGATGCTGCCTTTGCCAGGGTATGTGCTGCTGGAGTATGCAAGTTGTTATTGCTGTGTGTGTGTGTGTGGAGTGGGAGGGAGAGAGAGTATTTGTGTGGGCTGTAACGGTAACAAATGTTTGTGAATGTTTTGGGAGCGGCAGAATTCCTGCGAAGCATCTGTTGTGGGTAGGTTCCTGTACCGTGCCTGAAGGGCACTGTATAAATCCAAGTTGCAATAGGCACTTTTGGACATTGCGCCTCTTGCGATTTTCTTGTCGACGTGGTGCATAAGTCTTGTGAATTCCAATGACGAAACGGTTGGGTTAGATTGAGCTGATCTAACCAACAAGCCTTTTCGCTTCAGTCCAGAAACTCTTACTCTCAAAACCAGATTCCACTTTATGGATTGTTTAGACTGTTCTTACTCTTTATTTTTTATTCTCTCTCTCTTGTCTCAAAAGCTGTCGACATATTATTGGATATGTACTATCCTAGTAATTGTGACTATTAAAACAATTGAGAAACCGTTATTTTTTCAACTTAATTCATTACCCTGCGAATCCAATGCTTTATTTGCACTACAGACAGTGACAAGGCCCTGATCTCAGCCTCGGAGGTCAGTGGACCGTTTGCAAATGTGTCTCACAGTGTCACCCACTCCCAACCATACATTAGGTGGGAGCCCAGTATGTATGTCCAGTTCATAACCCAGTGCTTCTGTTTTTATTTCAGCAATAAACGAGAGGCAATTTTTTGCCTTTTTTAAGGTCCTGTAATTCCCAAGTTAAAACTGTCTCTTCCAGCCTTCCGTGTCCTGCATAGGGTAACATGGCACAGAACAGGAGGACGCACACCCTTCATTCAGCCCGTCGTATCAATCATCGCTGTGGACATTCTCTAAGCTGATCTTTCAAGATGGGGGGAGAGAAGGGGATCTCCCGAGTGCCAATGGTGGGGAGGGGGGGTCCCACTGAGGAAATGATAGATCTGCTTGTTGTAACTTTGTTGGGATAAGTCCTGCGGAAGAAATGTCTCCCAGGAGAAATTAGAGAGGGGAAAGTGATCAGATCTGGCTTGGAACCTGAGTCTCCCAGCAAGTCTGTCCTGGTGGTCTTTCTTCACACCCCACCCTTCTGCCCCTTCCCCTTCAACAGTCCTCCAAAACCTTTCATTCATATCCCTTCATCATGTATGGACTCTTCCTCGAGGATGGTCGAGGCGATCGAAGCTGGATGTGCAGGCCTGGCATCATTGCCCTCCACTTGGCGGTCGTGTGAAGATCCTCCTCTCCTTTCCTAACCCCGACTTGCCTGCCCTCCACCCTTCCTGATCCCAAGCCTCAGCTCGGATGCAAATCGCCAACTGTCCAGCAGCTTGGGACGTCCTCCCGACGTAAAGTCGCTGTGTAAATGTAACTTGTGCGTGCGTGCGTGGGTGTGTGTGAGAGGGGTGGGGGGAGAAATCCCTGCCTGGGAATGAGGTGCCAGTCACAATGAAAGGAACGTTAGCGTAAAACACACTGAGCAGAGGAAGGAAACCCGTTCCGCAACACAAGACGGAAAGATTGCAATTTATCACGCAGGCGGAAAAAAAAAAAGAACCATAATCGATTGACCTGCTTTTATACAGTGCTGCCCCAGTAAACACCAACCGCCACCATCTCCAAGGCACTTCGTAGAATTGCCCAGAATTGAAGTGAATAAGTAAACTTGGCAGCTTATCTGTGCCAGCGACTCCTCGGAAACAGTAATGATTAATGATAATCCTTGCCTTTTGACACCGCCAGCCCCTTTCACGTCAGACAGGCCAGCCCGAAGCGCTTCACGGGCAAACACGGCAGCCAGTTTCCACAGGGGAAACGACCGTGAGGCGAACGACCGATTTTATCCAGGGCTTGGATTGTCAGCCAGAACCCAGCGAGTGAGTAATTCCCTTCTCTTTTCAAGTCGTTCCACATAACAATAATAATTAGTAGTATTATCTTTTAATAATAATAATAATCCTTGCATTTGATTATAGCGCTTTTCACGTCGGGAGGACGTCCCAAAGCGCTTCACAGAACACACTGTAAAGTGAATTGACTGTATATTTGTGGGCGAACGCGGCGGCCGATGGCGCACAGCAATGTCCCACAAACAGTCGTGGATTGAAAATGACCACTTTATTATTGTTTTTGGTTTTGGAGGATTATTATTAGGCTCTGTGTGGAGTAAGGAAACTTACTCCTCTGCCGGGAATTGAACTCAGGTCTCTCACTTGCAAAGCGAGTGCTCTAACCACTGAGCTACAGGACACCCCACCCCACCGCCCCACCCTTCCTTTGCTCATCTTCAGCTCGCACCCGAAGACTTCACTCTTCGTCCGGGCCCGCGATCACCTCCACGTTCTCCCTGGCTCAGCATCAAACTAATCCATCGTGAAGGGGCGCTGTGTAAATGCGTGGTTGTGGTGTTTCAAGTCAGGCGCAACTCCACACACGCGTGCGCACACACTCGCGCGCGCGCACACACACACTCGCGCGCGCACGCACACACACACGCACAGGTTGCCTCACTCTCTGGCGCCGTTGTTGTGAGAGTTCGAGCCACTCTCTCCCGCGTTCTTGGAGGGAGTGGCAGTGCCCGCCTCGCCGGTCTCAGACTGCCCGGGCAGCGAGTGCAACAGCTGATCGTCGCTCAGCAGCTTCAGGAGCTGCGGGTGGTTGAAGTGAAGGGCGTCGTCCAGAGGCGTGTTCCCCCACCTGACGGGTGCGTGGAGACACGTTAGCGAGGGGTTAGCCTGAGATCCCAGACACCGCGGTGAGTGAGCGATAGATAGGCGCTCTGAGACGCTATCCTGCGTAAGTGCAAGTTTGTTGTAGTTGCCTCGCCTGCCCCTCGCAGTGACGATCAGCAACTACATCCCAAAACTCTGGACCATTCTGTCTCCATCCCTCCGGCTTGACCCCCCCCCCCCTCCCACCCACCTCCCTCTTCATCTTCGACCGTGCCTACGGTCACCTCGCACGCCCTCTCTCCTCCCCGGCTCAGCATCATGCTCCACCTCTGCCGAGCGCTCTGGGACCCCCACACCTTGCGTGAGGGGGGTGGGGGGGGGGGAGGGTGGGCTGCGTAAAGGCAGGTGGTTGCGAACCGTCGCTGGTGGTAACTCACCTGTCCTTACAGAGCGGGTTCACGTGACAGGCGTGGAGAAGAAAGCGAACAGCTTCCTCGTGACCTGTGAACAGACACCGGTGTCAACAGAGCTCCAGCCCTGGCTGCTCGGACACCACAAGACGGATATTGTTTGGAGTCCCGTAGCTCAGCGGTTAGCGCGCCCGCCTCGCAAGCGAGAGGACCCTGGGCCGATTCCTGGGCGGGTCAGGGCGAAACCTCAGGCCTCTTCTTTACCGAACAGTGAGCAGGAACCCGGCTTTTAGTCGATTGGAGGATCGCTTTCCGAAGGTAATAATCCATGTTTGTAAATTATGGGCCTCGGCAATGGTATTTGGTCCACAAAGCACATGCGAAGCGCTTTGAGACGCCTCGAAGACGTGATAAGGCGCTGTATCAAATGCCAAAATTATTATTATTATCTTGGCAAAGGCTGCCTGTCAGTCCTTACCTTCCGCTGCCGCGATGTGGAGAGGTGTGCGCAAGTCATAGTCTTTCTGTTGCATGTCCATGCCAGACAGGGCGAACCTGGAGAGCGGGGGACGAGCAGCTTAACAACCTGAGAATATTGCCAGCCCAGGACCCACTGTGCTGCACAGTCACGACAGCAACACAGCCTGTGGATTCCTGGCCCCTAACCCTCTCTCGTTCCCCTATCTCTCTCTCCCCCGCACCCCCCCCCCCCTGCGAATGAGGGAAAACGTCCCATAAATGCTCACCTCCTCAGACTGTCTGTGTCGCCGCTGTAAGCGGCGAAGAGTAGATTCACTGTAGACACCTCCTGTGAGAGATCACCATTGTTTTATTATCTACACGTTATCTACAGTCCTCCTCACACACTCACACCCACACACACACACCTCACACACACACACACACCACCCATTCCCTCCCCGCTCCTGTCCTCTTCTTACCCCAACTTCACTCCCAATCCTTCGAGGGTCCAGTTTCCGTTCGAAATGCCGCAGGTTGTCATAGTTGTGGAAATTAAAGAGAGAAACGAGCTCCTGGAAAATCCGACCGGTTATTACAGAAGCCAGATGTGTGTGTGTGTGTAATAATGGTGGCATTGATATAGCGCCTTATCACATCTTCGAGATGTGTCAAAGCGCTTCACAGAATATGCTGTAAAGTGTGGTGACTGTGTGGTTTGTGGGCGAAAGGCAGCAGCCAATTACTTACAGCGAAGTCCCCACAAACACTCATGGATTGAGTGACCAAATTATTGGGGGTTTTTTGCACTTGTGTGTAGCCGTGTGTGTGTGTGTATGTGTAGCCTTGGGTGTAAGTGTGTGTATGTGTAGCCGTGTGTGTGTGTGTATGTGTAGTTGTGGGGGTGTGTGTGTGTGTTTGCGGGTGGGGGTTAGTGTTACCTGGCAGAAGTTGATGCCACGCACGCTGTTGCCCACTTTGTCCAGGGGGGGAGACCAGCACATGACGCCCATCACGTTCGGCACCACCAGAAGAACACCGCCCGACACGCCCGACTTTGCCGGGAGCCCCACCTGCGCGGAAAACCGCGTAAAAGCGCCCTTTCCTCTCCCGAGTTGAGTAAACCCGGGGGCTGGGCTTCGCTTCGGGGAGAGTGTGGCGTTCCGCACCAGTAATCCAGAGACACGGGGAAATCGCCGTGTGCAAATGGCTTACTTGCGTGGCACTCTCAGTCCTGTTCGGACGCTCTTAAGCCGTGATGGGTTGGTGTCAGATTGACTCAACTATTTTACTCTGTAACGCTGCGCCCTGGGTATGCGTTCCCCCCCCCCACCCCCACCCCTGCCCCAAGAGGGGTGTTAGCGATGAAAGGGTCGCGTGGGGCGGAGGGGACGGTGCAGTGCTAAAGATTTGTTTTATTTCACAGGAGACACACACTCGTGCGTACGCGGAACTTGCACAGGACCCCCCCACCCACCGCCCGCTCCCCCCCCGCCCCGCGTTGGTGACTGAAGAGCCTGCAATATATCGATGCGAGCACTGGGTGGCGCAAATGGCACATTTCAGTCCAGGTGAGAGAAGCACTTGACTGGAACGTACATGTACCGTACAGTGTAGTGACTGTGTGTCTTGCGGCGGCGGCGGCTAGTTTGCGCGCGGCGGCGGCGGTCCGCGGGTAGGCGCCGAGTGAATAACAAATTTTATCTGTGGGGGAGGGAGGAGGGAGGGTCTGGCGGGAAACACTCACGTGGAAAGCGAACTCTCCCGAGAAATCGTACATCCCACAGGAGTGCATGAGGCTCAGGGTGTTCCGCACGGCCTCCGTACTCAACACGCGCTGCTCTGTAATCGGGCAGATGCCGCCATTTGCCAACGTGGCGGCGATCACGCTCCCCGACTCGCACGTCATCTCGATGGAGCACAGCTTGTCACACAGAAGGGTGGGTGGGTGGTGGGAGGGGGGGGGGGGGGAGTTGACCGGGACAGAGGGATTGAACGGAAAAAAAACATTTAGCGAATATAATGATCCTTGCATTCGATGCAGCGCCTCGTCGCGTCGTTGAGACGTCTCAAAAGCGCTTCATTCGATAGGATGGACTGTAAAATGTAGTGACTGTGTATTTTGTGGGCGAAACGCGGCAGCCGATTGCGCGCAGCAGGGTCCGCCACACAAACAGGCGTGGATTGAGTGACCGCATTTTGTTTCAGAGGGATGTAACACCTTTACAACGTCAGAGAAAAAAAATACTCGCATTTGGTGTTGCACCTTAGCGCGGCAGTGCCTCTCTTACGAAGTGCTCATCAGAGTTCTCTGCAGTTCTGTTCAGTGACCGCGTGTTTTGCGACAGCTAATGGTAACGGCGGAGTGACAAATTGGGTTTTGCACAGCGCCTTTCACGTGGTGACGGCATCCCAAGGCGCTGGACAATCAGGGGCTTTGTACCCGGAGCTGTGAGCTGGGATCAGTGGGATGGAGGGCAAGGGGAGGTGGGGGAAAGAAGATGACCGAAGGGCACGGTCGAACAGGAAGGTCGTCCCATAAACAAAGAGCTGTGCAGCGAACGAGCTATTAATCCCAGCCTATATTCCCAAGTTTCCCGTCTCCCGAGCGCGTTTTACCTGGAAGTACAAGTCTAACGAAGCAATCATGTTAGCGCCGTCAGGAAAACACTGAAACAAAGAGACGCAAATTAGCTCTTCCCAGCGCCTCTCTGCCTCCCCCGGGGGCTCCCCCCACCACCACCACCACCACCACACTGGCCTACCCACCCTCTTCTCCTTTAAGTAATATCCAATGGCGAAATTCCTGTCTCCCGTCTCCTTCTCAGACTGAAACCTGGAGCGGGGTGGGGGGGAGAAAAAGGCGACGTTATTCCTATGAGGGCAAATCCGCAGCCCCGGTCCCCAGGCCATGTTTGTGGGATCTGGACCCCGTTTCCCAAGCCCGGCCTCCAGGGCCACATCCCTAGGCTCCATTCCCCAGTCTCCAGCAGTTCCTGGGCCCCATTCCCGAACCCCGTCTCCGGACAGTGATCGCACAGGACACTCACGTTGCATTGCTGAATCCCACGTATTCACGGCCGGCCATTTTGTTCAGGTATTCCATCACCTGCAGAGAGAGAGAGAGAGAGGGAGTCAACCGGGTGGAGCTCCAAGCTGGGGACTCTCAGTCCGATGGAGCTCCAAGCTGAGGACCCTCAGTCCGATGGAGCTCCAAGCTGGGGACCCTCAGTCCGATGGAGCTCCAAGCTGGGGACCCTCAGTCCGATGGAGCTCCAAGCTGGGGACCCTCAGTCCGATGGAGCTCCAAGCTGGGGACCCTCAGTCCGATGGAGCTCCAAGCTGGGGACCCTCAGTCCGATGGAGCTCCAAGCTGAGGACCCTCAGTCCGATGGAGCTCCAAGCTGGGGACCCTCAGTCCGATGGAGCTCCAAGCTGGGGACCCTCAGTCCGATGGAGCTCCAAGCTGGGGACCCTCAGTCCGATGGAGCTCCAAGCTGAGGACCCTCAGTCCGATGGTGCTCCAAGCTGGGGACCCTCAGTCCGATGGAGCTCCAAGCTGGGGACCCTCAGGCTGATGGAGCTCCGAGTTGGGGCCCAGTAGGTTGGGTTTCGCTGTCCGGCCATGAGTGTTCAGGTTGCTCCACGTATCTACTTGTAGTCCCTCCTTTTCCTTCCTCCCTGCCTCCCCCCCCACCTCCCCCCACGCTACTGCCATATCGGACCGCAGACAAGTGGCCCATTCACCTGCCAGTCGGATACTCACAGAGTCAAACTTCTCAGATTTATTCCCGTCCGGCTGCAAATACAGAGAGGAGTCAAGAGTCAGGAATATTCCAGAGACGGGGAATACAGAGCGCTCACACCCTCTGTCTCACTGTGTATTCGGGCGAGAACGTGTCCTCCCCGACGTGAAAGGCACTTTACAAATGTAGTTTTGTTGCTGTTGTTGTGTGTGTGAGAGAGAGTGTGTGCGCGGTGGTGTACAATAGAGGGAGGGGGAAGAAGAAATAATATATATTTGGTATAGTGCCTTATCACGTCGTTGAGACGTCTCAAAGCGCTTCACAGAATATATCGTAAAGTAGAGCGACTGTGTATTTTGTGGGCAGAACGCAGAAGGACAATTGCTCTCTGCCCTCCCTCTCTGCCTTTCTCCTCTCTTGCACTCGCGCGCTCTCCTCTCTCTCGTTCTTCCCATCTCTTCTCTCTTGCCTGTCTCTCTTTCTTTCTCTCTCTCTTCTCTCTTGCTTTCTGTGCCCTTTGTGGCCTTCCCTTTTCCGCCCTCCACACCCCCCCCTTTCTCTCCCCCTTCCGACACACGGTTCACCTTACCTTGATGAGGGAGGTAATGATAATGGCTCCGGCATTTACCATGGGATTATGAGGTTTATCTAAACACGGAACAAACACAAAAAGCTTAGTTTAGCAGCGTTCAGTGTACGTCACTTGACATCCGATATTCAGGAACGTTTGAGTGAACAGATAATGCAATATAATAATAATCCGCAGATTGTATTTGATACAGCGCTTTACCACGTTGCGGCGATGTCTCGAAGCGCTTCACAGGATATATTGTAAAGCGTAGTGACTGTATATTTTGTTGGCGAAGCAGTGGGTGATCGTGAACGGAGAGCACAGCCTGAACTCAGCATCTTCATGTCTGCTCGGGCTGCGGAATTGGGCCATCTTGTAGGCCCAAGATGGTCCGACATCTTGTGCTGAGCCTAAACCAATCCGCCAGGGCCCTCTGTCTCTCTCTCCCCCAACGCAGATTTAAAGCGAGGTGAAGGGGAGATAGTTCCAGAGGGCGAGGGCGGGCGAGGGATGACAGGGTAGCAGGATGGAGGCCGTGAGGAACGAGCAGTAAGCCAGAAGCCTTTCACCCAGGCCCAGTTTTGGTCAAAAACCTGCCTGCCCGCCTCGGAAACCCAGTCATTAAAAACCCTCCTCTTGTTTTCCTTCTTGCGTTGGCAGATGTGCCCCCACCCCCGAGACCTCTCTTAATTGTCAGAAAACAGGTGGGTGTCATGCCAACCGGCTTGTGCTCAGGTGAGCCTAGGTTCTCCTCTGTGTATTCTGTTGCTGAGGGAGATACTGAGTTGCAGGATCAGAGCTATTTGCATGTTGCTGGGTTACTCCTTGTTGTTTTCATCGGCCAAGTAGGTGTCTGACACGTGCGGAAACCCATCACCGTTGCTCAAGAGTCTCCAAACCCAACTGAGAATTCCTGGCCTCCCACCTACACATGGAAATCCCAGGGAGAGATCGTTGGAATGGAACGATCTCTCCCTCTCTCTCTCTCTCTCTCTCTCTCTCTCCCTGGAGGGACGCACCCTCCTTACCGAATTCCGGAAAGTATTTGGCGCAGGTTGGCGAGAGCCAAGGCTTGGGGTGGGGGGAAGCCTTTGGCTTGCAGGGTTAACAGGAGCCGAGTTGGGTCACTTACCTTCTTCATTGAGAAATAGCTTATTGAACTTCAACCCACTGGGCTCTTTCCCCATGTAGTAGTGCACATGGTCAGTGCTGAACTCATTGACTGCGATGGCGTACACAAGGGGCTTCACGCATGACTGTAAGCAGAAGGGAATCTTGGTGTCTCCAACTGAGTACCTGCGGAGAGAAGGGGTGGGGAGGGGGGAGAGAGAGAGAGAGAATGAGGAGGAGTCCTGCAGCAATTTTTGTGCACAGCAACAGCTATAAAGCAAACCAACCCATTTTATCTGGGTGGGGGGAACGGTTAGGATAGAAAGGCTCTCGGACTTACCTCTGCCCGTCTACTGTGCACAGAGACACCCCCCAGAGGTCGGGGCTGAACTTGGCCAGTTGAGGAATGTAATCAGCAACCTGGCGGACGACACAGAGAGGGTTTGAGCTCAGTCTTGTCCCAAGTAACAGTGCGCCTCAGCTCAGGGTCACTCCCCAACATCACACCCTGAGACAGCAAGAGTTATGGTGCCTCATATCTTACCCACTGACACACACACACACACTGTACCCTCACATTGCCACTGCTCTTGCTCTTGGCGTTCCCGTAGAGCCGGTTGATGTGAGAGGAGAACGTCTCAAAGTCGGGAATGATGAACCTTTTCCTGAAGGCCTGGGACAGCAACACGGTGTTGTTTCCAAAGAACCTGGAGTCGGGGGAGAGGAGGGGTGGTGGTGGGGACGGGCGGGCGGGCGGGGTGTTGGGGGGAAAAACACGGAGTGAGCTGGGCAGGGAAATGGTCAACGGTTTCCAATCCAATCCTTTTTTTTTCGCGGGTGAAACGCGGCAGCTAATTTTACTCTCTCGAACCAGCTGTGAAGCAATCGAGCCATGTTAATCCGGGGGATTGTCAGCCAGGACACCGGGAAAGAGAGAGAGAGAGAGAGGGTTCTCAAAGGGCTTTACACGAATGCACTGTAAAGTGTAGTCACTATGTGATTTGTGGGCGAAACGCGACAGCCAATTGCGCACAGCAGTGTCCCACAAACAGTCGTGGATTGAGCGACCAAATTATTATTTTTTGTGTACATATTTTTTGGAGGAGGGATTATTATCTGCCAATCGACTAACAACCGGGTTTCTCCTGACTGCTCGGTAAACAGAAGCGTGTGTGTGGAGTGTGGAGCAAGGAAACTTGCCTAAGGTGGAATCGAACCCCCCCCCCCCCCCCACCCCACCACCGGTTATGTAACAGCGGAACCAATAAGTATGAAGTGCAGGAGAGAGGGTGAATATCAGGAGTGACTTTATGGCCTATAAATAGCAGCATTCCAGGACAGAATAAACTGTTATATGGTGACAGGTGCAGAGCAGAGGAGAGGCTTCCTGTGCCAGATTGGGAGGGTGGGAGAGAGAGAGAGAGAGAGAAAGTTGGAGGTGCGTCCACAAAATCCTGTTCCCCCCCCCATGATTTTTTTTTCTCTACGGTGCGCTGACCAACAACTGAGACACAAGGACGAATGATGACACTTGCGTTTAGAAGTAGGCAATTGTATTCAGTGCAAGTGTTTAAACTTCAAATTTTAAGCGTTTACAATAATTTAAAAAATAACCCTTGCGTTTGATACAGCGCCTTATCGCCCCTTTTAGACGTCCCAAAGCGCTTCACAGAGTATACCGTAAAGCGAATTGACTGTACATTTTGTGGGCGAAACTCGGCAGCCAATTGCGCACAGCAGCGTCCCCCACAGACAGCCGGGGATTGAGTGACCAATTTCTTGAAGGGAATATCTCCCCCGGAAAAGCCAATCAACTAACAACCGGGGTTCCTATTTACTCCCCGGTAAACAGAGGCACGCGGAGTAAGTAAACTTTCCCGTTGCTTCGCCCTGCCTGGAATCGAACCCAGCTCCTCTCGTTTGCGAGACGAGTGCTCTAACCGCTGAGCCACAGGACCCCCACAGGCTTTAACTTTAACCTTAAAAAATGGGAGAGGTCTGGGGACGCACGGCCTGAAAGGCTGATGGAAGCGCATTCGATAATGGCTTTCAAAATGGAATTGGATAGGTGCTTAAGGGCTACGGGGTAACAGCGGGGCAATGGGATTAGTCGGTGACTCTTTCAAAGAGCCGGGCACAGGCACGATGGGCCGAATGGCCTCCTTTTGTGCCGTAAGATTCTGTGACAGCGAGTGGTGGGGGGAGAAGGGAATCATCCCCACTCTCGGGTGTCAGAGAGAGAGATTCACGACCCAATTGCGAGTGATCCGGTCGCACAGCTCAGTGACAGGAACACTCGATACCCGGAGAAAACGACCGCTTGACATTTGCAGTCACAGCTGAGGTTCTCCGTGGCGGCGCCCGGCAGTTAAACCAGACGGCAACCGGGCGGGTCCTGAGGTTTTCAGCCCGAATCAGCTCCGATCTCTGGGTCAGAGGCTGTGAGCTCAGTCACCATTGTTCAAGTTCCTTTCCCCCACACCCCCTCCACCTTCCCCCCACCGCCACTCTTCCCTGTCCCACGTCAAAGCCGCTGTATAAGTGCAAGTTGTCGTCATGATTATTGTATAATTATTGTCGCGTGTTGAGCCACATTGCCGTTAGTTACTTCCTGAAGAGATGGCGGTCGAGCAGCGTGAGGCTGGGGGAGCTCTGTGTCGCCTCTCGCAGCTGATCCATGCACTGCTTCAGCCGGGGGTCAGACGTCAGTAGACCTGTGGATTTCAGGGCCTGGGTTTGAGGGGAACAGATACAGAAAAAAGTCAGAGTCAGTGGCTGAACTATAGGGTCCCTGAAACTTCCCGAAAGCCTCCCCCACCCCCCCCAAATGTGGTCACTCAACCCACGTAATTGGCTGACGCGTTTCACCCACAAAATACACAGTCACTCCACTATACGGTATATCCTACCCTGATGAAGGTGGGAACGGGTATCTCTTCCCGGCCGTGGCTGATGGTGTAGAACAACAGGTCCTCCAAGCCATGTATTAGGCTGGCTTTGTGTTTCCTCCTGAGGACAAAGTGCGGCAGTGAGGGTGGCAGCGAGAGAGAGAGAGAGCGCAAGAGAGCGAGAGAGCATGAGTGAGAGCGCGAGTGAGAGCATAGGTCAGGCACGTCACCTCCGTAAATAATAATGATCCTTGCGTTTGACATGGGGCCTTTTCACGTGGCCGAGAACGTCTCGGAAAGGCTTCACGGAATACAGTACAGCATTTACCGAACACACAGTCAATCCAAACCATCATTGTTATCCCAATACCATAAAGTGAATCGACTACATTTCGTGGGCAAAACACGGCAGCCAATTGCGCACAAACGCTCGTGGATTGAGCGACCACACTGTTGTTGTTATTATTGCTGTTATAACTTTGTGACCCTGTTTTCCTCTCCAGGGTCACTCAGTCCCAGCCCAATTATTCTTACGTTCCTAACGTCTATTTATAGGGAATGCAGCGAAATGGAACATCGGCGTCAGGTAGCATGCGGCGAGCGACCTGCAACCGCTCCTAACCTTGTGCTCCTCTCTTCCCTGTTCTGGCTCCTGCCCGTTCCCCATTTCTCCCCCCTCCCCATCCCATCCCATCCCATCCCACCACTGTTTGTGAGTGGGGTGTTTGAGGAATGAGCAGTAGGTTGGAATAGTAAGAGAGGAGCATTCGATGTCCCAGCACCTTGGGATGTCCTCCTGACCTGTCAAGCGCTTGTACAAATGTCGTCGTTTTTGTTGAGCGAGCACTCAGCCACTGCTCCCCACGTCCCGAGTCACTCGGGCCCCCACGTCCTCTCTCTTAGCCTTCGAAGCCGCCTCCATTGAAAGCCGATCTCTCTGCCCGCGTTTTGGTCAACACTCTCCCGCTCGCCTCGCAGCCCCCCGCCCGCGGCGTTCCGGCGCCGTGAGAGACTCCCGACAACCCCGTCCCGCCGCTCCAAGGGAACAGGGCTCGGTGACGAGTTATCGGGAGCGCATCCCCCCCCCCCCCCCAAAAAAAAAAAAATGCGGTCGCTCAATCAAGCGACATCCCACGTTGGTAGGACGTTGCTGCGCGCGATTGTCGGCCGCATTGTGCCCACAAAACGCACAGTCGATTCACTTTACGGTACATTACGTCGATGCAATCAGGTGCTGCATCAGGTGCAAGGATTATTAGTCTTAGCCGGAGCTCTGAGCTCACCGCCCCGAGGCCGGGCTGTTGCGACTGCATAACGGAATACAGGTAACCTCACCACTTCCCTTCAAAAGGGCAACTTCTGCAATCGGTTCCAATCTCCTGTCGCAAAAGCTCAACCGCAAGCCATGCAAATCGGGGAAAGTAGCTGTCGTCTGGTCGATTGAGGCAGTTTTGCATCGGCGGCGGGTGACTTGGGTGCGGGCCGTCGAACCTCCCAGTTGCACGTCCCCGCGTGTGGATGCGCCCCTGGTAAGAGCCGATCGCTTGCGTTTGCCTCGACGCCGTCACGCTCTCGCGCTCCTCTCTCTCTCTCTCGTTCTTCCACCCCCGCCACCACCCACCACCAATCTCCGTTCTCCCCTCCCCAGGTCTCCCCCAATAATTCCTTTTATTTATAAAAAGCTTAATAACGAATTGGTCACTCGATCCGCGACTGTTTGTGGGGGACGCTGCTGCGCGCGGTCGGCTGCCGTGTTTTCGCCCGCCAAACCCGCGGTCCCCGGCGCTCCACGATACACCCCGCGAGGCGCTTCGAGCCCCCCCCCCCAGCGGCGGGGCCGAGACGCCGCGTCAGGTGCGAAGCTCACCGCGGCGATTGTAACCGTCGATCGCAACAGCACTCACAGCAACGACATCAATTCCGATTACTACACATCGTCGTTATAATTATTACGCGTTACTGTACACATTATGTGTGACTCACGGTTCGCTCTGCGCAGAGACGTTCCCGTCCGCCTGTGTCAGCCCTGTCGGCTCCGGGGGGTGAGCTCCGTGACTGGCGCCGCCGCCGCCGCCGCCCGCGGGGCGCCCTGACCCGGGCCCCCTCCGCCCCGGGTCGGGGTGGGACCGAGCTCCGCCCGGGCTCGCCCCGGCTCCGCGGGTGACGAGCTGACGGACCCCCAGAGCGAAGTCGGGGAGCGATTTAAACCGATACATCACTGCGCTACAAGTGTTATCGATCGCTTCCCCTCCGATACCCTCTTCTGCAACTGTGTCGATTTACTCTACAAAGTATCGATTTGTCCCCCACACACACACCCCCTCCTTTGCAACTGTATCGATTTGTTGCCTTTAATGTATCGTTTCTAACGCACGCAGAGAGTTCCCTGACTTTGCAAAGCACTTATCGATCTGTTTCCTTCTCAAATGTATCGATACTATTGCTCCCCCTCCTCTTCCTCCTCCTCCTCTCCCTCCCCCTCCTCCCCCTCCTCCTCCTCTCCCTCTCTCTCTCTCAAATGTATCGTTCTACTGTATCTGTCCTCTCCACTGTTATCGATCTCTGTCTCTGTGTCTCTCTCTGTCTCTGTCTCTCTCTCTCTCTCTGTCTCTCTCTCTGTGTGTGTCTCTCTGTCTCTGTGTCTCTCTCTTTCTCTCTCTCTCTCTCCCCCTTCGTGCAACACATGTACTGCCAGGTACATTTCACAAGGCAGTGGTGGAGGGGAGAGGGGGGGGTGAGGGGTGGATTCTGAATCATGAGTGATTCAGCAAAGGTCCAACCAGCTGTCTGTGTGTGTCTGTGTGTGTCTGTGTGTGTGGGGGGGGGGGGGGGTGGGGGGGTGTGAGACACTGACTGAGAGACAAATATAAGCTGCCGACGGTCTCTCCAACTCTGAAGAAGAATCCTCGCATCTGCTGTGGCCCCTAAAACATCGCTGCGTTTCGAAGGACAGTGCGCACGCGGTCCGTGTACTTATACTAATAATAATATAATATATATAATATAATAATAATATAATATATAATATAATAATAATATACTATATGGTACTTGGCAGATAAACGAGCACACGAGTAAAAATGATAGTAATAATTGGGTCACTTCAATCCACGGCCGTTGGGGGCACCGTCCGCACCTCGGGAAAGATATGTTGGCTCTGGATGGTTTTAATAATAATAATAATAATAATTATCCTTGTTACCCGGCTCTGAAAGGGTTAAGTTACGAGGAAAGGCTGAGTAAACTTGGATTGTATTCCCTGGAATTCAGAAGGTTGAGTGGGGGGGGATTTTTTATTCAGGTATTTAAGATGATAAAGGGATTTGATAGAGCAGATAAACAGAAGCTATTTCCTCCGGTGGGGGTGAGGGGGGGGCACCAAAACAAAGGGGAAAATAGTCTTAAAATTCGAAGCATTTTAGAGTGAAATCCGGAAGCGTTTCTTTCATTCAAAGGGGATGGTAGAATTCTGAAATTCTCTCCCTCCCCCCCCAAAAAAAAAAGGTTGAGAGATATTTCAAGGGTGAGGTTGACAGATTGTTGGGAAGTCGGGGCGGGGCGGCGGGGGGGGGGGGGGTGGGGTGTGGGGGGGTTAAGGGCTCCGGGGAGAAAGCAGGAAATTGGAACGGAAAGGATTACTCGAGGCACAGATCGGTCACGATCTAATTAAATGGCGGAACAGGCTCGAAGGGGCTGAATGGCCTCCTCCTGCTCCTACGTTCCTTCCTAATCGGCTGCTGCGTTTCTCCCACGAAATACGCCGCCAATTCACTCGCGGTGTGTCCCGCGAAGCGCTTTGGGGGGCGTCTCGAAGACGGGATAAGGCGCTCTATCAAATGCAAGGATTATTATTATTATTTTTACCACCCGGGCACAGTAAGAGGAAGGAAGCCCTGAACTGATTGTGTACTAGATCAACGAGGATCTTTCCTGTGAAGATCAGTTGAGCATTCTGTTCAAACAACATGTTATTAATGTTTCAAAACTAATTGTAAAAGGCTGCCGGCACCATGGAAAGGGATATTACGCATTGTTTGTACATAATGCTGCAAGTTAATTGCTATTTTCTTTAATGAATGTTGGCTTCTTAGAACGGGTTAATGGTCCATAACTGCGATGCTTATCAGTGCAAATTAATGGTGCGCTTCCCGGCGCAGTACATATATATATATATTTTGTGGGCAAAATGCAGCAGCGAATTGCCCACGGCAGTGTCCCACGAAGGCCATGGCCACGAGCGACCAAGTTGTTTTTGGGGGAGGGATTATTACCCCCAAATGAGACCTTAAAGTGGAGCTCCTTATCAGGTGGATGTTAATAATCAAGCAGGTATCCTGACTCCACACGCCTCTGTTGACCCCCCAGCAGTAAATAGGAGCCCAGTTGTTTAGTCGATTGGTGCATCGCTTTCCGGGGGTAATAATTCCTCAACAAAAAAATCGGGTCACTCAATCCACGACTGCTTGTGGGGGGGCACCGCTGTGCGCAATTGGCTGCCACGTTTCGCCCACAAAATACACAGTCAATTTACTGTACTGTATATTGCGTGCGGCGCTTCGAGACGTCTCAGCGACGTGATCAGGCGCCGTATCAAGTGGAAATATTATCATCCTTGATCCAGTGCCGAGATGCCTCGCAGGATTTTGCAGTAGACTGTAGTGATTGTACTACAAAATCAGTCGGTCCACTGCTCACGACAGTTATAAGTGCGGAGGACATCTTAATGCAAATTCCTTTGTTCGTAAAAAAAACCCTTAACTCTTAAAAGTTTTCGGTGTGCGCGAGTGAGACAGGCAGAGAAGAAGTTTAACGCTGAGTGGGTGGAATGCTTTCACAAACACATCGATAAACCCAGTAAATGAAATGTTAAACGTGACGCAAAACTAAACGCTTTGAACAACAGGTGGCCTCTGGTTTGAAACGCACTCCAGAAATAAATAGTGGGGCGTTGTGTGGGATCCAGTAGAGGGCACGCTTTAATAATAATAATAATAATAACTAATAACAAGCCTCGGGTTTGATGCAGTGCGTTATCACGGCTTTGAGACGTCTCAAAACGCTTCACCGAATACACTGTAAAGTTAATTGACCGTATACTTTGTGGGCGAAATGCGGCAGCCGATTGTGCACAGCTGTGTCCCAAAGTGGATCGAGTGATCAAATTATTATTATTATTCTTTGAGGGATTATTACCCGCCAATCGACTAACAACCAGGTTCCTACTTACTGCTATGTAAATAGAGGCGTGTGCGTGGGGTGATAATAGTAATAATAATCATAATTCAATCACTCAATCCATGACTGTTTGTGGGACACTGCTGCGCGCAATTGGCTGCCAACTTCACCACAAAATACATAATCAATCCATTTTACCGTATGGCCTTGGAGCGTTTTGAGACGTCTCATCCATAAGAATACCCCTCGCATTCGATACGATGAGGCGCTTTTTTCACGTACCTTCGAGGCGTCTCAGAACGCTTCGCAGAACACAGCGCAAAGCGAATTGACAGTATATTCGTGGGCGAAACGCGGGAGCCAATTGCGCGCGGCAGTGAGTGAGGCGTGATATCGAAATGCAAGGGTTTTTATTAACAGGCGGACAGGGAGCTTGGGTTAACGGCTCGTCCAAAGGATAGATTGATCCAGGCTGATAGCAGCGTCGAATGACCTCCTTGTGTGTTGTCGAGATTCAGGTTCGAGAATCCCCAGAGAGAAAAGGAAGGGGTGTACTCTACAGTATTTATTATTGTGGTTTCCAGTGCGGCTGAAATTATCTGTCGGATCTGAGTTCGGGGCTTTGGCTCGTAGGTCGCGTTGCTTTCTACTGTGTTTCTTACTGATGTCGGGGCCGGAAAAACGGCAGCAAATACATCTCTCGCTCTCTCTCTCTTTCTCCCTCCCTCAAAAAAAAAATAACACGCATCTTCTCGTAAATGAGACCAGCGGCAGCTGGGGCGTCGATTGCATCTGCGACAGTCATCAGCCGAGCGAATGGGAAGCTGTGGATGAGTCATCTCTCTCAGGGCCTTGTTATTAGGTATAAAAAACAAGTCACGTCTATTTTAATTGACTGCGATTGAAGAGTTCACACCTTGCCTCAG